ATGTCTACATGCTCCAGTGTGTTAAACTACCCCAAAGTATTTCCTAATCCACTCATGATGGACATTGAGTTCATCATTTTCAGTTTTTGTGATTTGTGAACACAGCCATGAACATGCTTGCACCCATCTCCCTAGAGCAGTGGTTGGCAAACCGTGGCTCGCAAGCCTCATGTGGCTCTTTGGCCCCTTGAGTGTGGCTTTTCCACAAAATACCACGGCCTGGGTGAGTCTATTTTGAAGAAGTGGCATTAGAAGAAGTTTAAGTTTTAAAAATTTGGCTTTCCAAAGAAATTTCAGTCGTTGTACTGTTGATATTTGGCTCTGTTGACTAATGAGTTTGCGGAACACTGCCTTAGAGAGACATATTTGCAAATGTTTCTCTGAGAACTATTAGCTGGGGATAGAAATACTGGGTGGTTGGTTCTTACTTCAGTTTTACTAATTAAAAAAATATCCTGAGGTTTTGCATATTTTCTTAAAATTTTAAAAGACATGTTCTCTTGTTATTTTAAAAATAATTTAAAAAATCATTTTCTTAATTTTAAAAAGTTAAAAGCATGACTTCATGTAATACAGAATGAACACATGTCAAAGACTTTTCAACTCAGTAATTGATGAGGGAATGATTAAGATGGTGAAGTTCGGTTCAAAGAAGAATCTGAGGAGTGGAGATTTGCAATTAGCTGGTTAAAGGAATGCTGAAATAATGTTGCTTACAGACACAGAACTGGTAACTGATACAACTAACCTTCGGGCTATCTATCCCACTAGTCAGAAATCCACTGGTCAACATGCCTGAGCTCTAATCCAATAGTAAACCACACAGCCTAACAGTGTATTCCAGAAAACCGAAAAGCTCTTAGATGAGCTTGTGGAGCGAGGACACTAACAGGGCAGGTGGCTACTTTCCTGTCTTCTTTCCAAGTTTTGGATTTTTTTTTCTTAACAATACTGACCTTTGTTTCCACGTTTGTGGTGAGGATCAAATGAGAAGATGCTGAAATGCTTTGTAAACTGTAAGGTGCCAAATGTAGTTTCATTATTATGGTTGTTTTATAAAGCCCCTTGAATAACCACTGATGTGGGAAGGAAGTATTGAATGCCCATCCTTTAAACTGTTGTTTTTATCCCAGTTCTTACAAAAGGACTGAAAAGACACAGAATCTGCTTTAGTTGCCCTGTCTGTAAGATTTTGAGCTAATAGTAGGGTGTACCTCCCTGGGCTTTGTGGGAACCGATGAGTAATGCAGACTTCCCGCTAAAAACAATTCCTGGTACACAGTGAGTACCCAGGAAATACTGCTTCACTAAATACCTACTGTTATCTCTCCCAAAGTTTAATCTTCTTTAACACCAATGTATTTGATTTCTAGAAGTTCTATTTGATTCTTAGTTCTTTCATAAATCTGCTTTTTTTTGGGGGGGGGTGCCTTATTCTTGTCTCATGTTTTAAATCCCTCGTCTTTAATCTTTCTAAACAAATGTATAGTCTGTCTTCAATCCTGTTGTAAGAAAGACTGTTACATAAAATGTGGGTCTAATCTTGCCATTTGTTTTGTTTACTGATTCTCACAGGGATTGCATCTTCATTTTATTTTTCTAATTAAAAGATTTGCCTGCTGTTGAAACTCTACATAGATGCTAGTAAAATAAACCATAGTCCCTTCCATTAATTTTTAAAATAATAGCTTATTAACTAGAGATGACTTAGTTCTTTAATTGAAACAGAGGAACTCATGGTGCCATTCTAGCCTTGTGAAAACAATGTCCTCTTTTTTTAGACTTTTATTTGGTACCATGTTTATCTGCAATTTGGCCCAATTCCCTGCTGGATCATTTGTTTTATGCTTTGGGATTTTCTCTTTCCCTGGACACTAGTTTTCATTTTGATGAATGTCCCATTATGCAGTGAAAGTATAACTTGGGGCCAGTTACCTCTCTTCTGAGTCTTGGTTTTCTTCTCTGTAAAATGGGGATGACAGTTCTGACTGGTTTGGCTCAGTGGATAGATCGTAGGCCTGCGGACTCAAGGGTCCCAGGTTTGATTCCGATCAAGGGCATGTATCTTGGTTGCAGGCACATCCCCAGTAGGGAGTGTGCAGGAGGCAGTAGATTGATGTTTCTCTCTCAACGATGTTTCTAACTCTCTATCCCTCTCCCTTCCTCTCTGTGAAAAATCAATAATATATATTTAAAAAAGGGGGGATGACAATAGGGATATAGAAATTTTAATTATTGTGCACCATGATGCCTATCATAGTGTAAGCCCTCTGTCAACTCTTATTGGTATTATTTTTCTTTTTACCAACTTTTTAAAAAACACTCTTTCGATATTTTTATGTTTTATTGATTTCAGAGAGGAAGGGAGAGGGAGAAAGGGATAGAAACATTGATGAGAGAGAAACATCCATTGGCTGCCTTCTGCACATCCCATACTGAGAATTGAGCCCACAACCCTGGGCATGTGCCCTGACCGGGAATTGAACTGTGACCTTCTGGTTCATAGGTCAACACTTAATTACTGAGCCATGCCAGCCAAGCTGTACCAACCTTATCCCAATTGCATTTATAGTCCCAAATCAAATGCAGCCTGATATTACAACCTTTATAACAACATAATTACTATTAATATTAACTCCTCACCCCCTCCATAATGCCTCACTAACCCAACTCTCCCTGGCTTATCCATCCTCATTTTCTCTGGCTTTCTTGTTGTCTCCTAATCACATCTTTCCACTTAATGGAGTTTTCTCAGTCTCCACAAACCCTTTCTTTTTGGCTTCTAACTAAATCATCTCTCCATTCTAAAGAGCACAAAGTTCCACATCCTTTATGAAGGTTTCTGACCAAATTTAATCCATACGAATTTTGTTTGTAGTAAAAGAGCCTCTATGGAGAGGAACATGGACTGTAGCTTCCTCAGGATTTGTTGGCTTTGTTTGTGGTGTGGCTGTGGATGTCATCCTAGTGAGACAGAACATTTTCCTACGGGTCAGGGACATGGCATTGGGTCAATGTGTGAATACTACCACTGGGTTCAAGTAGGTACTCTCATGTGTTTTTACATTTTGGCTTTTCAGCATATATTTGGTGGGAATTTGGGGTCTGGTCTGTGTCCCTTTAGAGAGTTCTCTTTATTTCTGTCAAGTGCTCCTTGGTCACCAGCCTGGGACCACTGTTTGTTGTTCATTTTTCAGCCCCGGGGGCTCCTGGATTATTCAGGTAGTGTAAATTCCAACTCCAACCCAAGTGAGGGACTTGAGGTTAGGAATTCTGTGGTTTCTTGAAATGGGAACTATTGGAGGTATAAAGACTTGAGGGCAAACTGGGGGTGTGTGGGGGGAAGATGAACTCTTAGACTTAATGGTTCTCTTTGTTGCTACACTGTGGTAAGCCAGGAGCACAAGTTATGATGAGGCAGTTTTTTAGGACGTGTGTGCCTTTGTCACTGTTTTTTGGTCCTTAGGAAGAAGTGGAGCAGGTATGCTATTCCCACTGGACAAACAGAAATTGAAGCTCAGAGAACACTGGGACAGGACTTAGGTCCTCTGGGGACTCTACCCTGTTTTGTAAAAGATGATGACCCTTCACGAGAGGAAGGCAGGCATTCTTCATCCATCCATCCATCCATTACTGCCCCGTTCCCACACCTGTCTCCAGACCTCTCCACTTCCCCTGCAGTCTGAACACTATCTCAACTCTCCACAGAGGAGAAAAGAGCTCCTTTCCAGGTGTGCAGTATTTTAGAGCATTTTCACAGGCATTTCTTGTTTTCCAGCTGTGCTGCGAGGCAGGCAAAATGGGTTCTCTGAGTCCACTTTTATAGAGGAGAAATCTGAGAGACCGGGGCTCAGGCTGCTGATGGGGTTTGCTTGGTCTATATATTCAGATGGTATATATAACTGGGGTTCTAACTCACATTCTTTGTCATCCCACACTATATGATCGGAGATATGCTTAGAATGCAGATGATAATGGATTCATTTTGCTTGCTTTTTATTGAGGTGAAATTCACAGGACTTACAATTAACCTTTTTAAAGGAATAAGTCAGTAGCATTCACAATGCTGCGCAACCACCACTCTTAGTTTCAAAACTCATCCCCTCCCTGGGTTTTTGTGCAAAATCAAAGGAATGATCTGGGAAAGACATCTAGTCAGGGTCTTGCCGTGGTAGGGCCTGGGTTGTCAGACTCTCTCTCAGCAACCTGGTAACGTAGAAAGAGGAAATCACTTTGAAATTTAGTCCCTGGAGTAAGCCAGGTTGAGGATATGTAAGGTGTTCATGTTCCAATCCTTTATCTTTTTTAAAATGGCATTTCAACATTGTCCTCTTTCAGGAAACTTTTGCCAAGGAACTCTTCCTAGTCTTGAGAGCAATCGGCTGTGTTTACCCGTCGTTGCCATAGTGCTGACTTGTACTATCACAGAGCTTCTTGTCTCTTGAAGGAGTTTGTCTTCTTGGCCAGGAACCTCACAGCCTTGGAGGTACCACAGTGCTCTGTGTTGTCCCGGGTCCAAAACAGGTGCACGGCAGGTATGTGTTGGACTGTAATGGATGGTGGCCAGCCAGCTCCCGAATTCTAGCCAGCACCTGCTGACCAGTGTCCTCCCCACACTCTAAGTAGTGGGTTTGGGCATTGAGGATCTGCTCCTCCAGTGCTGACTGGAGCCCGACAGGGGCCGGTCTGGTTCGGGTCGGCCATCACTTGGGCAGCACTGTCTGAGATGACACGAAAGGCTCTAGCTCCCACATCCTCATCACATGACAAGATGGAAGGCAAGAGCTTCAAGCAGGTTCACCCAAGAACAGAATGGCTTTGGCCTTCATTTAAATCCGCCAATTCCAGGAGCATTGGTCCCAGGCCTTGGTAAGTCAGGACGGTCCTTTTGGCTTCCAACGTCACCAGGTGTGGAAGCGCTCTGTGGTGGCTGAGGTAGAGGGCTGGGGAGGAGTGTGTGGCTGGGGTTTCTAGGATGAGCATCCATGCAGCTGGTGGGCCTACAAACTCACAGTGTTCAGGTTTATTGGAGGATCTTCCTTCTGGCGGCTTCTCATGGCTCTCCATGCCATCACCACACCGACACCAACTGCAAGGCCACCACCTGCCGCCACTGGCACGGCCCAGGGGAGCATGTTGGGGCCTTCTTCAGCCTGGCTTTGGAGTAGCTGACTATTCCTCAGGGTGTGGAGGTAAGGACTCTCCTGCAGAGGAGGAGAGGGTCAGGCGTTGGGGCCTCTGAAAACCATCTAGCTGCCCACCTTGGGCTCTTTGGTCCCGGGCTGGAGATGCTACCACAGCCTTGCACATATCCCCAGCTCATGGTCTGCAAAGCTCCTTCATCCACTGGGCCCAGACCTTCTGGAGGAGGGTGTCCAAAGTGGTCAATACCCAGTTACAACCTCCTGTGTGTCTCACCAGCATCTCCCTCCTGTTGACCCCATTGTGAAAGATTGGGAACTGACAGTGGCCAATAAAAGTCTTGATGGAGAACCCAACTCTTTCTTTTTGGCCACTGCTGAACAAATATTCCCATCCTCCCATCCAGGGGTGCTGGGGGAGCAGAGAAGGTCAGGGTGGAAGGACAGCTGGTTCTGCAGTCAATTGGAGAACCAAAATGAGAGGGACCGGAAGAGAAGGCGCTTGGGCCTGCCTCCCTGGGTCCCTTCCTCCCTTTCAGCGAACACAGAGTGCCTGTTGAGGGAGCCATGGCTGGGGGAGCTGTGCTAGTGCCTGAGAGCTAAGATATGACATCTCTCATTGCCCAGGTGGGAGATAAGACATGTTGAAAAGCGATCACATCACTGGAGCCTTTCAGTGTCTTAGGAGCAGTGTAAACACAACAGAGACTAAGGCAGGTGTGCAGGGACAGTAGCCCAGACAGGGCCTGGAGGATGTAAAGATTTTCCAAAGGCTGAGATGGGGGATGTGCCTCCAGAGGAGGCAGCAGTAAAAGCACAGACAGGGCAATTGTGAGGCTCATCAGGGAACTGCTCTATTTTCAGGAGCAGAGAGTGTTGAATGTTGAAGGTGACAGAACAATGTCTAAGGTGCCTTTCTTTCATGGACGGTTTCATGGAAGGAAGGGTTTCAAGTAGTCCTGACAATCCTGACAGGCTGGTGTCTGCAGTGATCATGGGATGGATAGAGTGGGGAGAGGAGAGAGCTGGGGAGCAAGTTCGGGACTTAGCCAGTGGTCCAGGTAAAGGCAGTAAGGACCTGGAAAAGGCAGTGGTGGGAAGGGAGGAGGTGGATTGTAGGCTCCCAGGGCAGACTCGGTGTCTTATTTCTCTCTGCCTCCCAACCCCCCAGCCCTAGTGGCATGCCTGGCTTGGGAGAGCTCCTCCACCTTGTTTAAGACAGAGCATGACTCAGACTCCTCAGGGCAGAGGGTGACTCAAGATTCCGCCCGTCCTGCCTGCCTCCCCTGAGTGCCTCTTCCCTCTTCAGTCAGGACCTCTTGCTTCCTCCTGCCCCTCACCCCTGGCTGCCCCCACTCTGAGGAGCTGAAAGGTGCCTGGGACAGTGGGGAAAGGTGAGATGTGAGAATGGTAGCAGTGAAAGAAGTGTATGATGCCAAAGCCTCCCAGGGGATTTGTGTGTCTCCCGGTGGCTCTATCGTCCCCATCCCCACCCCAGACGCCTGTCCCATGCTGGACAGGTGGGACCCTTACTCACAGGAGAAGGGCACTTGAGTTTGGTTCGGCTGTAGGTGAAGTTGTTGGAGGTCGTCTTACGGCCCACTGGTTCCAGCTGAGGAGAGAAAGGAAATCCTGATTCCTCCGAAGCTGGGAGACCCTTCCTGAAAGAGTGGTCTCTCATACCAGACTCCTTCTCTTTCCAAAACTGAAACCAGCTATGAAGCAAGACCCACAGCAGATACCAGCAGCTCTGGGGCCAGAGCTGGACCTGACTCTCTCACAGAGTGACAGGCCCACTAGGGTGGGGGGTGGGGGTGGGGGTAGGGGACTGAGTCTGTGTCCTGGATTTACTGAGGCCCAAGAGAGACTGACCGGTCTAGAGGCCACACTGAGTGGAAGTCAGGGCCCAGCACCTCCATTTCCTGTTTTCCTTATGGGTGGCTGTGATGGCAGACATTCTGCATTTTCAATTTGTGAAATGGTCATCCTCGTATTTACCAACTTCTTTTAAGTATGTGGGGCTAGTCAACTTCAGGAAAACACATTGGTTACCATGACACCATGACTAGACTCAGCTTGTCAACCTTAAGAAATTGGGTTTTCTCACTTGAGCATCTTTGCATGTTTTTCTCATAGATAAAAAGGTTTACTCACAACATTTCTGTGGTTTAGAGAGGTTCTCCCAAATACGTTTGGCCTTGGGGCCCTCTGAGGAAGAGCTGCAAGCTGCTGGACCTCTTCCACCCAGCACCTTCAGTCTCAAAAAGGATGAACACTGATTTGAACTGTCCTGAACTTCTGGCCTCCACCATCTGATAATCTGTCCCTACCTGTTCCTTACTTCAGCAGCTCCTGACTCCAGGTATTGCCTGTGAGGTAAGTGGAAGTACTCTGTGCCAGCTAATGACCACACCTGGCTCATGGTCTTGTTTTTGTGTTGACTTAAAGCCTTTAAACCTGTTCCTTAGCAACACAGAGGAGGAAGGGCTGCTCTGGTGCCCACATGGTGACTGGACAGAGCACAGCAGGGTCATCCGCTGGGGTCCTGGCTCTGCTGATAACGGCCAGTATGAAGCTAGGCTGGCTCCTGAACTGTCCCAAGGTTAGGGGCAGGGCATTAAACCCTGTCCTGACAATCCCACATTGAGTTGTTGTGAGCATTAAATGAGAAAATGAAATGAAAGCACGTGTGAGCAGGATGTGACTTACACATGTAAGAGAGCATTATTTCTACTTAGCACCATGGTAACAGAACCACCTGATGAGAGATGAATACCGAAGGCCAGTTTGGATGATTCCCAATGATGTCCCAGGGACCCAGGAACCAAGTGGTGCCGAGGAAGGCAGTGATCATTTGGGTTTGATGATTGTATAAGTTTCTCCCTTTTTACGGGTTCCCTGCTATCAGAGCACAAACTATTCTATCTCCCATCTTTTAACTGCCCTCCCCTGGATTCCACATCCCCTCCAGCGACCTTTGCCATTACTTCTCATATCCCTAGGGCGAGTTGTTTGTAATCACTGACTGGACTTCCTGGTCTTCCCTTTTCTCTGACACCCATTCCAGTGGGTCTCCAGTCTCCTCACTTGGCTGAAGCTGTCAGTCACCAATGGCCTCTGCATTGCCAGGTCCAATGGTCACTTTTTTTGTGTGTGTCTACGTCTTGTTTGACTTCTCAGCAGCATTTGTCAAAGTTGATGCCTCCCTTTCAAGCCACTCACTTCTCTGGTTCCCTGGAGATCATGCTCTGCTTGTTTCCTTCCTCCCTTCCCCTCTCTCATCTTCCTCTGTTGCTGGTATCAAAGGTTGGAATGAATGTCCTAGGGCTTGGCAGTTGGTCCTATACTCTTTTCCACCTATTCTTTCTCTAGGGCGCTCAGTTAAACCAGTGGTTTGGAATACCACCTCTATGCTAATGATATCTACCCCCACCCCCCCAATCTCCATCCCTGACCAACTCTCTGAGCTCCAGACTCAGATATTTAACAGCTCATCTGATAACACCAGGTGATTATCTAGAAGGCATCTCTAACTTACCACATCCAACAAAGAACTTGGAGTTTTCCCTCCTAAGCCTTCTTCCCTCTACCACCTCAACCACCCACTCCATTTCCTTAACCTCAGACTAAGGTTTCATCACTACTCAACAGTAAGAGGGTTTATATGGCTGGAAAGCCATCCAAGACCCTGCTCACCTCTCTGACCCTTTCTCTCCCTCCAATCACACTGGCCTTTATGTTCCTCAGAAGCTTCAAGCTCATCCTGGACTCCAGGCCTGCACAGGTCCTACCTCCTCTGCCTGGAGCAGTCTGGCCCAGCCCTCTGCATGCCTGGCAGCCTCTCTCAGTTCACAGGTCACTTCTTCAGTGAGGCCTTCTTCTCACCCCCCATTCCTCTCTGTCATAGTTCCCTGCTTTGCTTTTTCTTAAGCCCCGAATGTGGTCAGAAATTACCTTGTTCATTTGTTTGTTTGTTATTTGTTCCTTCCCAAGGAGACTGTAGGCTCCATGAGAACAGGGCCATTCTTTCTTTTTGATTGCTGCGTCCCCAGCACGCGGAACAGTGCCCACCACCTAGTGGTTGAGCGATTGGGTGGTGGAATGGAGATTGCAGTGGAGAAGTGCAGGGGCAGGAGGCATGGGCTGGCCACAGAAACAAGGCTGTTTTTTCTAGAGTCCATTTTTTTTCCTGAAACTATATGCACCAATGAAGAGCCAAATGACAGGTCTGGGCCAGGGTACAGTGGGGTCGGGTGGGCCTCTAGACTGCTCTGGGGATTCAGAGAAGACTTCCTGCGGGAGCTGGCACTGGAGTGGAGTGGCGAGGAGGGTAAAAAGCAGGTTGGAAGGGCAGTCCAGAGTGAGGGGTGAGTGACGGCAGACACACAGAGGCAGAGACAGCATGGGCGGCGCAGGAAATTTCACTCCTTATTAGACTGCCAAGTGCAAATCAGAGGGTGGCGGAGTGGCTGCCAGACAGATTGACTGGGGTCAGGTCGCAGGTGGCCTGGTGTTTGGTGCTAAGGGGCCAGGCCTCTCCTTTGGGGTGGGTGGACCTTGGAAATTTGAAAGCAGCGTCAGCTTTTCATTTCTGCAGACTACTGTGGTGAATAAATCTCAGGCGGTGGTTTGCAAACCCTGTATGATAATGCCACCTGGGGAGCTTTTAAAATATACTAAACCCAGGTGCCACCCAGACTAAGTCGGAATTTCTGGGAATGAGGCCCAGACATTTTTTTTTTATTGTAAGCAAATTTTTCAATGAGGCTGACACACATATAGAAACAAGTACAAATCATAAGTGAGCAGGAATTATTACCAGAACCCGGGGCCCCTCTGCCTCCCTCATCCAGTATAATTCACCCCCAATAAGACCATATATTAATTGACTTGTTTTTGAAATATATGTATGTTGTTGAAGTGTGTTTCTCCTAAGTGTAAGGTATTCCACTGTACGAAGGTGTCACAGTTTGTCCATTCTCCTGGTGGTGGACATGGGGACTATGAATAATGCTGCTGGGAAAAGTCTGTATGCAGCTGTGGTGGACCCATGCATTCCTTTCTGATGGGCACATGCCCAGGAGTGGAATTGTTGGATCACAGGGAATCCATACGTTCAAAGTAGTTGCAGGCATATATTGTGTTTAAAGTCTCCAGAGGATTCTACTCTACAGCCAGAGCTAAGATTTGCTGTTTTAAGGGCCATAAGCCTGGAGACAGGGATGCCATCATGAGGCTAGGCTATCACTCAGAGCCTGGGGAGATGCACATAGCAGGTGGGGAGGGCGGGGGGGGGGGTGAAATTTCAATACTGCTGGCTACGCATCAGAAAAAAATAAGGAAAAGCTTTATAAGAAGACAAAAGAATAAAAAGGAGGAGAAAAACATTTCCTGGTATTGCTAATATTTCTGGCTTTGCAAACGTTCCGAACGAAGCCTAAATTTTTAAGAGAGGAGATGATGAATCAAAAGGATGTTTGCTGCACAGTAGGATACCTTGGGTTCACTGACCAAAGCTTGCAGACACTATGTCATAGGACTCTAATTATGAGACATGAATTCACCGGGTACATATGAGCTTATCTGGTTGGGAGCGGGAAGGCCAGGTGGTCCTGTATCCAGAACACTAGACAACTAAGACCTTTCTGATGGGCATATGCCCAGGAGTGGAATTGTTGGGTCACTGGTAGGGTACCTTGGGATCACTGGCCAACCCCTGCTCTGCCACTGTGTGATCCTGGGCAAATGGCTTCGTGTCTCTGTTTTAGTTATAGAGCATTCTGGCCAGAGGACCTCTAAGAGTCTGCTATTTATTTATGTCACTCTACGGGGGAAATTCCAGTAAGAAAATACTCTGGAAAGTTGGTGTGATGCAATAGCTTTATAGCTGGGATGGCTTTGGATGAAAACACTGGACTGGATAATTATTTCCCAAAATTACACAGCAAAGGATAAGTTATTCTTAGATGATTTTCATCCAGTTTTACTTTGTTGTTTCTTAAATTAGAAGTATGGCTGGGACAATGATGGGCGGGGAGCCAAGGGCAGTCTTGTATCTTTATCTAACTGGCTCCATGGCAGTGTGTACCTTTTGTTTTCAGATAAAAACCCCTTCCAGTTTCCTTTATGTATAAAAACCTCTCACCTGTGTGAATAGGGAGAATTACTGAGCTGCTTGGAAGAGGCCAGAACGACATCCTTAATTCATGCAGAAAGAGACCAATGAGCTCTGTCATTTTTGAGTCATCAAGCCCGAGGAGACTCCTGGCATTAGGCAGGCTCAGAATGCCACCAGAAAATGCTGGGAAGGAAAGGCTAAGGGCTTAGAATTCTGGGCCCTTCTTGAAATCCCCTGACATCTCAGGAGAATAATTGCATAGAAACCCATTTCTTGGGAGCAGGGGCGGGGGTTTTAAAAGGAATGAAGTTGTGTGACTCAGCCACTGAAAGACAATAGGCCTTTGATTCATTTCTTTCATAGATTTTTGTTTTAGGCTGCACAAACTTGGATTAAAACAATGACCCTGTGGAGGTTGGGTGGGGAAGGAACTAAACGATGTTGCAGTTAAAATTCAGAGTCCTGGGCTGAGAGTATGATGAAAGATTTAGGAGTGTGATGTCAACAGATGGGAAACAAAAAGTGGAGGAAGGCTGAGTCTGCAATGAAGCAGGCCAAGGATAAAACCGGCTTACGTGCTGTTCTGAGGAGAAGGGATGGCGTAGCTAAGGGAAAAGTCAATATTTTGAGTCAGCCGAGTGAGATACTGGATCCATTGGGTGAGTTGACAGGTGTGGGAATATTTGGACAGTGGTGGTTGGCAGGGACACGGTGGGCCTGAACGGCAGTAAAAGTAGCAGGAGTGCAATCTGTTTAGTCACCATGGGAGAAATGAGGGAACATGCACGTGCGGGTGGAGATTGGGTTACTCACTGAGATTAAAGCAAAAGAAGCCAGAGGACTGGCAAGGCGTTTCATTGCCCTGTGCAGACGGAGCTGGTTGTCTAGTAGTGAGTAGCCGGCTATGCAGGGCAGAGGCAAGGCCAGGGGTTCCTGTGGCCCCTGGGCTGTATGTTCATTGTATAATGTCCCCTTTGCCACCTTAAGAAAGGATGGGAACAGGTGACAACCTGGGAAAACAGGCCAGTGGCTCTTTTCTTTTTGCTGTTTAAAGAAATAAAAGTTGGGAATGTGTTGAGACTGGAGTGATGGGGCTGACATTTGTTGAATGTTAATTATCGTGCTGAGGGCTGTTTTCACATTACCTTCAATTTCTGAGATCTGTGCCATTTTCATTGTTTTTACAGATGATGATGATACGGGTGGCCAGAGAGAGAGAAAGATCATTTGCCCAAGGTCACACGGTAAGGGGTTGAAACTGTTGTTTTCATCTAGTCCACCTGATTACAAAATCATCCCCCCACAGTACTAGGGTGTTACTGATAGGATCATCTGATCTGTCAGGACAAATGCGTGTGCTACCCTCCTGAGCTTTGGGGAGAAAGGAGCTCTGACAGCCACTAGGCTTTTGTTGTCGACATCCTGGGGTGGCCCTCTTTGACAGGAGCCCACTCGGACCCAGGCACTCACCATGTTGTTCCAGAGCGCAATGGCCATCTCGGCATGCCCGCGTTCTGAGAAGTAGAAACAGTCTTCGGAGAAGAAGGTGAGGTCAGCTCCTCCTCTCTGTGACCAAAGGCAAGGGCATTATCTTCCTGGGACAAGGGCACTGCTACCCGCCCCACCCACCTAGCAGGCGACCTGGGCATTTCTTCTTTCATTCTTTCCACTCTGCTGATAATGGGGTCACCCTCCCAGATACTGATGAAGAAGTTGCCCAATTTTTCAATGTTTAGTTTGTAAACAGACATGAATGATAGCCACCCACAGTCCATCCTTTTCCGTGAGCATCCCTGCCCTAATGTGTTGAGAAAGAATAACATATTTATTTTTATTTTTATTTTATTTTTTAATATATATTTTATTGATATTTTACAGAGAGGAGGAAGGGAGAGAGATAGAGAGCTAGAAACGTCGATGAAAGAGAAACATCGACCAGCTGCCTCTTGCACACCCCCTACCGGGGATGTGCCCGCAACCAAGGTACATGCCCTTGACCAAAATCGAACCTGGGACCTTTCAGTCCGCAGACCGACGCTCTACTGCTGAGCCAAACTGGTTTCAGCAAGAATAACATATTTAGAAAGATTTCCATTCTATCCCAATCTAGCAAACAGCAAGGCCAGGCCTCAGGAGCTTGGTCAATGTTGAGTTTCTCCTTTTCTTTCCAAATGAAGCTAGGTTTTAATCATATTTAAAAAAAAATTAAAAAAAATTTTTTTAAAAAGGGTAAAGGAGAAGCAGACAGAAAAGCCTACATAGAGAAGAAAACACACCTTCTAAGATATGGCCCCACACACGTGCCTCCTAGAAATGCCTGCAGCTTACCTCGTTCAGGGGGACAAGGGTGTTTTGGAAGAAAGGCTGCACGACCACTGTGAAGTCTTCACGCTGCAGGTACTGGTGCCAGTAGGAGAACCTGGACACACCACTCTGAGGACGGAGAGAGAGGCTGCTCAACTCTCCTGGCCAGGACAGACAGGTCCTAGCCTTGGGCTGGTCATGATGGAGGCCAACCCACTCTAGGCAATGGGGACTTAAAGGGGCTGCTCTAGGGTACAGGCAGGAGTACCACCCAATTCTACTCTGACATTTCTGCAAAGCTGGGTCTGAGCTGCTGGCCAGACTGCATGGACCAAAGGCCTCCCCGGTTCACACGGCATGAAGAGGTGAATTATCACATGGGCCCCCAAATGCTTGTGAACTTAGGGGATGAGTGTCTTTAGTCTTTGGATTTAAAAACTATGGACTCTAAAAGAGATAGATGAGATATGCTTATTCTTAAGGAGCTTATAATCCAATTGGGAAAATGAGACAAGATGTAAAAAAACCCCAAAAAAACCCATGAGCAGCAGGTAGGGTCAATGAAGTGCAGGCTGCTCATGGGGAGATATGGGGAGATATCTGAGGGTGAAGTTGCTCATGGGAAGTGGCTTAGAAGAGGTAAGATGACATGGCCTGTGCATGAGATGGGTAAGCTGCAGAAAAGCTCAGAGTGGCCATGTCAATGGAGGAGACGGTAAGTTGGGAGAAAGACCAACAGGCAGTAAATGCCCTCCTCCTCCTCAGGGAGGGAGATGGCAGCCATCACATGACATCAACTCTGGGAGCCCAGTGCTGCTACACTCTCGGGCTGACCCAGCGCTGGCAAATGGAAGTTCTCTTAGCTTCCCTTCTGAGATTTCTCACTCCCCCCTTCCATTCCACCCCCCACCCCCCTCTCCCCAGCCTTGGTGTTTGATCCACCTGAATAAATATTTCAGGGGCTGTGACTTGCCCTTAGGGAGCACTTGCTTTCAGGAAAGCCCCGCTGAACGCGTGACTTTGGACCCTTGCTCTGGAGTAAAGGTGCCTTTCACCTGGGGCAGGAAGAGAAGGGGTGCAGATCTACCTGAAAGTTCCAGTTCACCTTCTTCAGTTCCTGCATCTCCAGGGAGTTCTCCTGGAAGCGCCTGAAGCAAGTGCAGTTGCTCCTACAAGGCAAGGAGTCCTATGGAGAAGCTCCCTGGGGGCAGCCTGACTCTGGGCCCCTGGGAGCATGACCCCCCCACCCAGAGGAAGCTGCTGCCCACAGAGGCCTGGACCCTGTGCTGCCTCACATGGGAAAGGAATGACATCCAGGTGCCTCCACAACACAGCCTTGCTGACTCATGGACCCCGGTCACAGACCTGAACCTCAAGGTCCAGCAGGTACTTGTTGAGAAAGAAGGTGGAAGAGTTGGCACCTGATGCCTAGGCCTCTGCGTAGAGAGGCTGCCCATTCCCCATGCCACCTGGCTGCTCCATCCCAAGCTTGTGGCTTCTGTGGTTTGTCCAGAGAATGACCAGATGGCCCAGTCCCTCTCCTTAATGTTCCTGAGGCCTCCCTTCTCTATCTCCAGCTGCTTGGGGCTCTCTCTCAGAGCTCCAGAGTGAGAGGGTAGGGCGGGTCAATCAGCTTGAGATGCCTTGACAAGGTGGAATGTAAGACCACCTTGCTGGAGGAACCCGCCATACCCACACCTGTTGGCCACTTCACCTGGGGGTCTAGGTTCCTATCAATAATGGGAACTAGCTTGTTGTCTTCCCACCAAATCCATTTGACCCCAGAAAGGACCCTTCAACCCCCTACGGAATCTCCTCCCCATAGCAAAACTCTGGGAGACCTCCTGGCCTCAGAAGATGGCAACTTCCTGCCAGGGTAACAGCTGAGCTTTAAATAAATTCTAGCCCCCAACAGAAATTCTCCTCTTGCAGTGGCTTTCAAGGACAGTCCTATAAAGGACATTATAAAACCTACTATTTCCCAAGAGCCTGCCTGACTGGGGCCAAGTACTTGGCATACATTTCCTCTAGACTTCCCATCTCCTTTGCAAGGAACTTCACAGGTGAGAAGTAGAAAGCACAGAGAGGGTTGGGTGGTTTGGGCAAGCTCCCACAGGTCCTAAATGGCAGAGCCAGGACCTGAGGCCAGGTGGAGCTCAGTGCCTGCTGCTGTCTCTCAAACACAGAGCGACTCGCTGGAGCTGGCGTTTGGAATCGTTGACAATTCAGGAGGCTTTAAGGATCATTTGGTGTGTCTGTCTCCCTTTATGGAAAAGCAAACTAAGGTCCTGAGAAAGGAAGGGACGTGTTTATAGTAGGCATTCAACAATGTAGAGGCCTGTCCAAGTGATTTTGCAAGTCCCTGGCTAGTTGCCCGTTAGATAGGACTGTGTGCTCTGAGCAATGGTCTCACTGTTGGCATGTGTGAGCCCTGCTCCCCAGAGTACCCTCACCCTGGGACTGAGACCGTGTACTTACTGAGCTGCCAGTGGCATGTCGCATTTCCCGCCTTGGCCCTGGTGTAGGCTGGTCAGCTCCATGACCTCCACCACATTGACAAAAGCCCTTGGAAGCTGTGGGATCAGAGGGGTGGGCTTCCTTAGTCCCCAAGCAGTTGCGAGGGGGCGGGGGGACAAGGGGTGTGGGCACTAACGACTACTGGAATGAGCCTAAGGGATCATCTATACAAGCCAACTTCCCCGCCATACTTTTACCAATAAAGAAACTGAGCCTCAGAGAGGAAATATGATTTCTATCAATCTCACTGCATCTTCTCGATCGGCTCCACTTTCTACATTGAAAAACTGAGATCCGGAGAAATCCCATTACTGGTAAGCTACACTACCTGGCTGCAAACAAGGCTAACGGGGTTCAGAGGCAAACTCTGTGCCACCAGCAATGTAGTCTGATCCATCAGAATGTCCCCGCAGGGAGCCGGCGGCTGCCTCTCCCATGGCATCTGGTGTCCTGGGCCTGCTCGCTGTGGGGCTCTGCTCAGCGTGCAGCTCCCCGAACAAACTTGCCCAGGTGCACCCTGGGAGCAGCCCCAGGGAGTGAGTGGCAGGCAGGTTACCAGCAGGACGTGCTGCTGCTCTGTCCTACCTCATAGAGGATGTCCAGGGCCTGCTGGATGTGCCGAACGTATTCCCCGGCTGAGTGGGCCTCCTGTGAAGAAAGGAGGGGCTCTCCTCAGCCCTGGGCCCTCCTCAGAGGGAGAAGAGTGGTCTGCTTCCAGCCGAGGGGGCCCAGGGCGCCCGGGATGGCGGCAGAGTGAGTGCAGAGGGGCTTTGATGGCCCTGGACCGGCTAGAAGCCCAGCTCTCACTGCTGGTGGACAGGGTCTCTATTTGACACCATGAATCCTCCCCTCCTCACCCTACTCTGTGGCATCTCAAACCCACAGGCAGCCCCTGGCAGTGCTGGGCCTGCCACTCCTCTATTCTCTTCCATCACCAGCCTCATTCTTCTCCAACCATATGGCCATGTTGGCCCCATGGGCTCCCCCTAACTCCTATGGTCCTTTTAGGGCTCCTCTGACCTCCATCTTCTGACTGGAGGCTGGTTAGGCCTCTTCCTAGTTAGTCCTGTGGGGTGGCAATTGGGTCCTTTTCACAAAAATACTCTCAGTATAAACCTACTTACACAAGGACAGGCATTCTGGGGCAAGTGGAGGCATTTTCCTGACCCAAGTGCCCACAGTGGCTCCGAGGTCACTTCTGGCTTCCGGGACCCCGTTGAGTTTAAGATGCAATGACATTTCAACACCCCTGGGGCAGTGTCACTGCCTCTAGGGTCTGCACAGTGAGGCAGTGAACAGAGGGGGGCGGGGGGACCTGGAAGAGCAAGCCCCGTGTGTCGGGGGAGGAATTCTCATGCAGCCTCTGGTGGTGTCTGAGCCACAAGGAATGATGAATGCTTTCTCCCCCCGCCTGCGCCTGTCAAACATCCTACCATGACCTCTGAGTAATGGCAGCTGTCTTTTCCTGGCCAAATAAAATACAGATGTCCCCAACTTAGAACAAGATGTATTCCAAAAGTTACAACTTCCCAAGGTTTGTAAGTCTGGACCTGTTTCCTCAGAGAAACAGCGTTAGGCATGGGGACGGGTTCCCAGGCTGGCAGGCTGAGGCTGGTTCACTCATGATGTCCCTGAAGCACAGGGAGCCTTAGCCAGCCCAGGTGTGACATGGTTTCAGCTCCCCTGCACCCCCTCCACCCCCATGAAAAACACCAACAAACAGGGGAGGGACGACAAGCAGGTGGGGGTGGGTCTCGCAAGTTACCCACTGGCTCCCAGAAACCAGTGTGTGTGCATCACAGAGGCCACCCTAATGGCAGTGCCCAGCATGGGTGTTTCTAGACTCTTCTGGAGTCAGACCAATGAAGCTGGTCTCCGAGGGGCCTCCCGCAGTGGGAAATGCCAGGCCTCCTGGGGCATGTGTGAGCCCGGGCTGCCAGGGCAGACTCGGTGCCTGGAGAGCAGGCACAGTGACTCCCACGAGGGAGCTCAGGGCCCCCGGCACGATAACGCCGCTGGTCAGCATCTCCCTCCCCTGGTCCCCGAGGCGCAGGCCAGTGGCCTACCGGATCCTCGCAGTAATGACACAAGTCGTTGCTCCCAATGAAGAGAGTGATCAGCTTCCAGTCTTTCTCCAAGTTGATTTCCTGCGGGGACAGAGATCCTAGGTTTAGCGCGTGGTGTGGGGCATATTCAGGAGGGGCTTCCCTGGCCAGACATCCCCCAAGTGTCCCTCACTCTCTCTGTCTCACAATAGAGAGACAATGCCTCGCCCTCACTGTGATGCTGGAGCAGGAAGAGAGAGAGGGAGAAAGAGAGAGAGAGGGAGAGAAAGAGAGAAAGGAACAGAAAGAGAGGGAGAGAGAGGGAGAGGGAGAGAGAATATGAGAATACACAGGTGTACACATGTATCTGCTCACACACTGCAGGAGACTATTTTCCTTTGAAATGCTCTTTAGAAAGTTGTGCAGTGGAGGCATCAAGGCCTTCCGAGGAGCCAGGGCAAAAGATGCAGCTGGAAGCAAAAACCCAGAGCTGTCTCTTGTGAGGGCTCTTCAGGTGAGGGAGCAGGGGAGAGACCAGGTGAGGGAGCAGGGGATAGACCAGGTGAGGGAGCAGGGGATAGACCAGGTGTGGTAGAAGGGGGCGGACCAGGTGAGGGAGCAGGAGACAGACCAGGTGAGGGAGCAGGGGGCAGACCAGGTGAGGGAGCAGGGGTAGGCCAGGTGAGGGAACAGGGGGTGGACCAGGTGTGGGAGAAGGGGGTGGACCAGGTGTAGGAGAAGGGGCAGACCAGGTGAGGGAACAGGGGGCGGACCAGGTGAGGGAGCAGGGGGCAGACCAAGGTGGGGCCTGGAGAGGAGCTATGCGGGGACTCAAGAGGTGGGGTGTGGGGTGAGAGGCCCTCCAAGGAGCTGCTCTCCACTCAGCCACCACCATAATAGGAGTCCCGCCAGGAGCTGGATTCCGAGGCATAAACACAGAGCATTAAAAAAGCAATGACTAGTGAGAAGGTTGCGAGGGGCTGGGATCGGGAAGGAGGAAGGACTGGAATGAGAAGCCTATTTTTAGAGCCAGCATTTACATAATAGGGCTCTGCAGAGCCCGCTCCCTAAAGGGGGACGCTGTTGGAGGCCTACACCACAATCTCCAGCTCTCTGCTCCATCTCTCCCTTCTGCTGCCCACCCTAGGGGTAGGGGGCAGGGCCTGCTTCTGGTGGCTCCTTTGGGCCCTCATATGGACATGCCTGGAGCAGGAGCTGCAGTGGGATGTCCATAGGGGTCTCTCAGAGCCCCTGACCCACCCCAGCTGGAGCCCCGGGTCCTGTACTCACAGGGCTGTTTTTCATTCGCGTCACCAGGTCCCGGGCCTGGGCTGGCATGTCCCTAGGCAGGAGAAGAGAGGGATGGTTAGAGGGGGCCCAGAAGCAAGGGCTCAAGCAGCAGGAGTTTGGCCCAGCAGGGATGTGTTTCCGAAAGACTCACATTATGTTAAGTTTATTCCCTCAGAATGTATTGAAAGGCTTGACTCTTAAGAAATGGCAGCCAAGAAATCAGAGCCTCGGAGCCACATGGACCCAGACCCCGCTGGAGGCTCGTCTGATCCCACCACCTCTTCCTGTCGGCCAGTCCTCCCGGCCACATGAGGTGGCATCTGCTCAACCTCCCAGCAGGGAAGCGCCCTTACAGTTCACCCAGTGCTTTCACTGCAAGCTGAGCCCGGGCACTTCTTAATCGGCTGCCCGTTTTAAAAATAACCTTTTGTGTATTTGAAAAAAAGCCACAGCCCTCCATTATCCCTCCGCGTTCCCCTTCCCGGCTTCCCGACTCCGTCAGCCTTCACGTCGGAGCCCCACTCTCTGCCCTTTAATCCTTTTGTTTTCCTTCTGGCTCAACACCATTCTCCTTCTCCTGACTTTCCCCTCCCAGCAAGACAGGCTGGGGAGACAAAAAAGGACAGGGTTCGCTCTCCCTTCGCCTCCCGATGCCCGCTATGAATAAGGCAACAAATGCTCCGGATGAGAGACCTGCCGGTCAGTGGAATGCTACTCAGCAATCAAGACGAACGGACTACCGGTACAAACAACAACATGGAGGCATCTCAAAATAATCCTGCTGGCTGAGAGGTTAGACACGAAGGCACCCATGGTCTATGATTTCAGTTACATACGATTCTAGAAAAAGAAGACTCATCTTAGCGCCAGACAGCAGGCCAGTGGTTGCTTGGAGTGCGGTAGGGACAGGAAGGGGAAACGGGGAGCGATTACAAAGGGGCACAGGGAGACTTTTGGGGGTGATGGATGTGTTTATCATCTTGATTGCAGTGATGGTTTCACAGGCATATGCATATACAAAGCATCAAACTGCAGACTTTCAATGACAGTGTACCGAATGCCAGTGAAACCTTTTAATTTTTATTTTATTTTTTAAAGTATGTATATGAGAAATTATGTCAGCAAAGAGATACAGCCAATCGAGGCTTCCTTGGAGGATATCTTAGGAACAGTTGCTGGTACAGTCTGGCCATTTAAAATCTCTGCATGCCCATAATCAGCTGTGGCCGAGCAAACATGACACCTTTCCCTGCCCTTGTGTCTCATTTACACACCCGGGGCCACACCCGTGCAGTCCTGCTATTGGTGGGCACGTCAGAAAGCTATAAAGGAAGCCTGACCTGGTTAAAGGTGACCACAGAAGTATTTATAACCTTTTGATGGGTTCAAGATGTGACGAGGGGCCCTCAGGGGTGATAAGCTCACGTGAGCACTGGGGGAAGTCAGGAACGCCCACTTCCTCCTCTCTTCCCAGCCCTGTTCTTCAGGCTCAGAGCAAGTCCCATCTTCTCTGCGAGCCTTCTCTCTGCTGAGCTCATTCATCCATGACTCCTCCATTTCCTTCTCCACCTCGACGCCAAGACTTACAGGGCCTGTGTTCTCCTTTCAGCTCTGTTACCAACTTGTTGCATGAGCTCACTCCAGCTAGCCAACCCTGCCAGGGCTGAGTTTTCCTCACCTTTTACAGGAAGAGGCTGGATGCATCACTTTTCGGGTCCCTTCTGCATCTGTATTGAGACCGTCTAGTCCTCATGCTACACTTTTCTATCCTCTTGGTTTGCACTCCAAGTACGAAATCATTTCGGTCTGCCAGGTTGCCGTACGGAACATCCCCCCCCAAACATTATTTGTTTGCTTCACTAGACTGTAAGCCCTTGGGAGGGAGGAAGGAGGTTACCTTCTGACTTTTCTGTATGGTTTAGTAGCCACCGTGGAGCAGCAGTGAAATAGGAAAGGCAGTGAGAGCAGTGAAGTGGGAAAGGAGCTAAAATGCCAACAGACTGAAGAATCACCTCCTGGCTAACGAAGCCTGGGCTATAAATAATAATGAAACAATGACAATGATGATGACGACAATGGAGGTAATAATAATAATAGTCCTAACAGCAGTTAGAGGTCGACCCCACGAAACCCAGATTTTTTTTTTTTTTTTTGCAGAAAAATTAGTTCCTCCTGTTTATGACGTTGAGGAACCGACATGGCTTCCTGAGTCTCAGGGCCGGGCCGAGCATGGGGCCCTCCGGACTGACGGACTGACGGAAAGGAAGGCTCCTGTAAACACAGTGAGTCAGGGCCACGGCGTTTCCTTGGTGATGGGAGTGCAGCAATCGTGCTAAAAGCAAACAGCCAGCACGTTCGGTGCAGAAAATCAATGAACTCTGCCAGGCATTTCAGCTTTAATTATCTGAATTATTGTCAACAACAGAAACCGGAGTGAAAACAAACACCTACCCTGCTGTTCCCGAGCCGCACACCTCACTCCCTAATGTCAAAATAACAGCCCTTTCAGAACCCACACTGCAGGATCGGAGGCAATGGGGAGAGAGGAAGGGGGCTGCCCATGGGGTCACGCACTGCGTCCCCAAGTCCCTGAGAAGTTAGCTGACCCTCTGCCTGGCAGGGAGCTCAAGGCCCGAGTCAGGCAGGGCAGATCCTGAGTCCCCTGACAACATTCACTGCTAAGCTTGGACCATTCGGGAAACTTTCTAAGCCTCAGTGTCCTCATGCCAGTGCCCATCCTGAAGGGCACGAGATCACAGGAGATCACGTGCGTGAGGGCCAGCTCAGAGCCAGCACAGAGAAGTGCTCCGTGCCCGGCAGCGATGACTGCTCATGGGGCCAGGCTCCCAGGTCCCGGCCTCTTCGCTGCCTCCGTTTCCCTCCCTGACTTCCCAGCCCACCCGCCCGCCCACCTCCCTCCCATGCCCACGTCCACTCACTGAGCGCTGGCACCTTCCACGGCCACGTTCAGGCCTGCTGTCTCCTCCTGGGTGCCGGTGGAGAAGCCAAGGATTTGAGGATTGAACTTCTTGAGAATGTCTTTTCAGAGGGAGAAAGCAGGCAGAAGTGAGAGGGAGCTGGATGGGCAGCGTTGGGGCTCAGGTGGGGGACAGGGCGGTTTGGGGTCTTTTCGGGGCTGGGCGACTTCCCTCCTTGCAGATAACGCCTTTGCTGCTGCTCAAGGGAGGCCCTGGCTGCAGCGAGGGGCTGTTGTGGCCCCAGTGATGCCTCTGCGTGTTGCTACTTACTGGGCAGCGTGGTGTGGGTCTCCAAGACCCCATCCCCTCCAGCGCTGGGGAGAGAAACACAATTTGTTCAAACCGCCCGGCCTGCTGCTCCACAGGTCATCATGTTTCTGAGTCCGAGCCAGAGAGTCTGCCCCTGGTATGGGATTCCCACCCCCCTTAGGACCAGCGTGAGCACCAGAGCTTTGGCATCTCGGCCCTGGGCCACGGAGCCTTGTCTCCGCAGGGCTCACAGGAAAACACCACTCACGGCCGCTGGGGGAGTGTCGTCCAGAGAAATGAAGTGGGAACATCCTTACCTCCAGGACAGTCCCCGCCAGGAGACCAGCTGGTCACTGGAGTTGCTGGGGCGGGCTCCTACCGCTGCCTGCGAAAGACAAAGAGAAGGCAGGCTGCAGCCTGGGGGGCGGTAGGGGGTGGGAGGGCAGGCTGGGGGCATTGGGAAGGCCCCTGTGCCCTCGCGTAGCAGCCGGGGCCTGGATGGACCTTTTCTGAAAATGTACGAGCTCCTACTTCAGGCCACGTAACCTCTGAGCCGTCCTGATGCCCCAATCTGCTACATACAACCAGCAACCAAGTCCTAGAAGAACCAAAGTCCTTCCTTCCCACACTCTCTAGCTCCCACTTCTTTCTTGTTCCCTTTGCCATAGTCTGAGGTGAGGCAGTCATCTTCTCACCGTGGGCAACACGGTGACCTCTGACCTGACCCCAAAGTCTCCAGCGTCTGCTCCCTTCTTACCAGTTGTCCGGCTGTTCTCAGCTCACCTGTCCTTACACCTCCCCTTGATCCTGACCTTTCAGTGGGCCTCCCTTACCCACAGGGTCAAAGCCAATCCCCTTTACCAGCTTCCTGAGTTCGCCATAACCTGGTTTCCACTTTCCTTCTTTCCTCCCTTCTTTCCTTCTTTCCTTCCTTCTTTCCTTCTTTCCTTCTTTCCTTCCTTCTTTCCTTCCTTCTTTCCTTCCTTCCCCTTCCCCTTCCTCTTCCCCTTCCCCTTCCCCTTCCCCTTCCCCTTCTCCCCCTCCTCCTCCTCCTCCTCCTCCTCCTCCTCCTCCTCCTCCTCCTCCTCCTCCTTTCCTATCCACACAAATCTCCAGGTCTAAGCAAATTGATCTGATATATGAGGGCCTTGGACCAGTGCGGTGCTGAATTCATTCTCTAAGATCTTTGCCAGTTTTTGTCTCCTTTATAAAACTTTCTCGAAATGCCCTATCTCAAAAAAGAGAGAGAGATTTCTCTTCAAATCTTATAAAAATAATGCATAGTCGCCATAACTAGTAAAATGATGCAAAGATTTTTTTAAATTAACCTACCCCATCTTATAATCTTGCCCCATCCCCTCCTCATCCCTGACCTACATACACATGCCACCAAAGCTAATCATACCAAAATTAAAACACATTCACACACCTGGGGGGAAAGTTGTTTGTTTTTACAGAAATAAATACCTGGTTTAAAAAAAAGGGGGGGCCCCCTGTATGTCATCTATATGATTATGTAGCTTCTTCTGTGTGCATTCCTTGTTTTCAATAGATTTCTTGAGGCTACAGCTATGTCTTTCTTCTTTCCCCTCAGAATTGCTAGCAGAGTGCACACAGCAGTAGCTAAATAGTCGGCTAATAGGATTCACTTGGAGAAACTGTGCTAAGTGCAGGAATTGGGCTCTCTCTGCCCCAAAAAACACATCTTCAAATGGGGTGAGGGGGCTCTGGGCAGGTGTGGGTAAGACCACCACTCTGTGAGTCCGGTAGATGGAGGTGAGTTTCCTGATATAGGTGGCAGGTTTGGCTGAGTACCTTAGCAGAGACAAAGTGCTTGGGGACAATGGGGCAAGGGCATGTATAAGTTTATGGCTTCTCCCTGGGGAGGTGGTGTTTGAGTGAGACTGTGGAAGGGCAGAGGGCAGAGCATTATAGATTGTCTGGTGATGTTTTGTGGCTGCCTGGCTGTGTTTCAGTGCCTGACACAGGTTGGTTCTCACTTGTGCCAGCCAAACGCAGAGCCAGTGTGGGGGGAATGTTGATTCCGCACAGGGCTTGGTGGGTGCCCGTACTGGCACAGTTCAGTACTCACAGTTAGCGAGTCACCCAGGGCGGCCACCACTTTGATGTCTCCTGGTCGGAGCTCATGGACTAGGATAGACAGGCAAAAGGATGTGATCAGGGAGAGGTCTTTCTTTTAAAGCACCAACTTGACTAGAAGCTGAGATTCTGCTGTAGTCCCACAGGTCCCCACTACATTATTTCCAGCCTCGGGCCTTAGCAACTTTGCCTCTTACATCCATTAGAGCAGTGATTCTCAACCTTTCTAATATCTGTGTTTTCCGATGGTCTTAGGCTCTATAGCAGCGGTTCTCAACCTGACCCACATCGGAAAACACAGATATTTACATTATAATTCATAACAGTAGCAAAATTACAGTTATGAAGCAGCAATGAAAATAATTTTATGGTTGGAGGCCACCACACCACGAGGAACTGTATGAAAGGGTCAAGGCATTAGGAAGGTTGAGAATCACTGCATTAGAGGAACTCAAGGTAATGACCTTGATGGCCTCGTCCATCCTGAGAGGAGCCAGATTCCCACTGGAGCGGTCCAGGGAAGTCCTAGCTGCGGGGGTCATGAGTGTAGGCAGAGAGGACCCTAATCCCTGACCGTCCCCACCTCACAGGGCAGGGAGGCCCGAAGGACTGCCCCTGGGACTAAGTGGACCTGAGAAGTGTGATTGGTGGAGAGGCCTGGCAGCCCGGCAGGGCTTTTAGGCCAGCTATTCTTGGGTTGCACCAGATCTAGGACTGCATTGCGTGGGAATAGGCGAGGCCTGCTCAAGGCTCCAGGATGTGCTTGCAGGATCTCCCACCACCTGGACACTTAGCAAGGCCCTTGAGTGGCGTGGGAAATGACGCTTTCACTCACCCGAGGTGGGAACACTGCTGGATGGAGTCCACTCCTTACACAGGAAGTCACTGCCCCAGTTCTAAATCAACAGGAGGAAAGACACAACGCCCAACACTCATTGTGCAGGGAAGTTAGCTTTGGACCGAGACTATTATTATTGATTTAAGAGGGGGCAGGGTAAGGAAGAGGGAGAGAAAGGGAGGGGGAGAGATTTGTTGTTCCACTTATTGATGCATTCATTGGTTGCTTCTTGTATGTGCCCTGACCAGAGATCAAACCTACAACTTTGGCATATCAGGACAACACTCTAACAACTGAGCCACCTGGCCTAGCTAAGAAACATTTGGTGGCCGCTAGAACTATGTCACTGCAGGGGGTCACGTGAGGGAAGAATCTGTTAGTTTGTAGATGGTCTTCGAGGGAAATGAGAGAGGAGAAAGTGGGTGTCTGCTCATCCCTGCAAAACACATATTGGTGGGTGCGCGCACACACACACACGCACACACACACACACACACACACACACACACACACACACCAGTCTTTTCCATCTCCACTATCTCCACTCTTAAGTGGAGCCAGCAGTCCTGGCAGAACAGGGGAGAAACAGCACAGTCATTCACGCTGCAGGGGCTCTCCCAGAGAACACATTTCTGGACTCCCAATAAGCAGTTCCAGCTGGGTCTTGGTGTTGTTATTTAACATTAAGCTAATGGACACTAATTAGGATGCCAGAGCCGAAACAATAATTATAGTTAGAATATATTTAGAAAAAGAACATGGCATTTTTACAATCACAGAGTCCCTGGTTTCTGCGTGTTTTTTCCTGCATATTGTGTGTATCTTTTTGGATATTTAATGTAATAGCCAACCATTTCCTTGTATGTGTGAACATTAATGCCTGTAACCTGGGCACTTTTAGTCAAATTCCTTCTTTCTTCCTCTCTAAAATATAGAGCACCTTGCCCTGGCTGTGTGGCTCAGTTGTTAGAGCGTTGTCCAGATATGCCAAAGTTGTGGATTTGATCTCTGGTCAGGGCACATACAAGAAGCAACCAATGAATGCATTAATAAGTGGAACAACAAATCTCTCCCTCTCCCTTCCTCTCCCTCTTCTTTCCCCTCTCAAATCAATAATAATATTATTAATAATAATAATATGGAAGCAGAGGACACATAAATGACCAGTACTAGTAAGCTGGGGGAGACACAGAATCTCCTTCCCTCTCCAGAGGTGCAAATACCTGCATGTCCCTAAGATGGCCTGAGGGACAAGCCCAGTGCTGAGCGCACAGTAGGGCTCCACAAACAGGTACTGACTGGTTGGCTGATTCTCCACAGAGGTTTTGGAAGCTCATTTCTTCTGTTTTAATCAGATGATGACAAAGACAAGCCTTCTCAAAACACTATTCTCACCAGGGAGCAAAATGAAACTTCTTTTAAATATTATTTGCTTAATTTGATATAATTCAGTTTATTCCAAGGAATTGCTCAATTCACCACACGCATGGATTCCTTCTTCTGTGCGGACGTTCTACTCAAGTCAAGAATGTGCTTGTTGTGCTATGGCAAACATCAGGGGGCATTTTAAAAAATGTTCTATAACTGTGAGTACTTCAGAACTATCTCAGCCAGCCGGTGAGCCAGAGACAAGCAAGTGCCGTACCAATGAAGAGACACAGTTGGGGTCTGTCACAGGGGAGAACCCCACACTGCAGTGTGGCCCATATCCCGTTAACTGCAGATGCTGGTTCAGTAGGACTGGGGTGGTGCCTTGAGTTTTGCATTTCTAATGAGTTCCCAGGAAATAATGATGTTGTCTGTCTGTGGCTAAATAGCAAGCTATTGAAAAAAAACACACCTTGAAGGGCTGGGTTTTGAACTCATCTAAAGCAGCAGAAGCAAAGACACATAAGACAGAGGACAGGCCTGGTGTGGTCCAGGATCCTCTAGCCCAGTTGTTGGCAAACTCATTAGTCAACAGAGCCAAATTTCAATAGCACAACAATGGAAATTTCTTTGGAGAGCCAAATTTTTTAAACTTAAAACTCCTAAGGCCACTTCTTCAAAATAGACTCGCCCAGGCTATGGTCTTTTGTGGAAGAGCCACACTCAAGGGGCCAAAGAGCCACGTGTGGCTCGAGAGCCGCCATTTGCTGACCACGGCTCTAGGCCATCATCTTTGGAGTAGTAATCATTAAAGCCATGGGCCCCGAATCCTTGGGGTCCCTCAGAGCCAGTACCATTAACTGGAACCCAACCAGGCTCGGAACCCGCCTGGATATGCATCAGCTGCCTGTTGGGCCCGGGCCCTGGAATTGAGATTCTTTCCACTCGGCTTCCACCTTTCAGGAAGTCAGTGGCACATCATACCTATGGCCTCCCCTTCATCCTTTGAAAAGCTCAGTTGCCTAATCAGAAATGATGTTTGTACAAAGGTCAAACATGCATGGCCACTTCCTCTTGTTGGCTGCTAATGTCAGGTAAGCTCCGAAGAACATGTTAGGACAATCCTGGAACTCTGTGGTTCGGGCGATTTTTTTTTTTTTTTAACATTTCCATTTTCAGTATGTAAGAAGGGCACACTCCTGCTTAAGCTAACTACCACTCTGAGACCTCCATCCCACCCCGAGTCACCGGCAGGTGGGAATGGTTTGTCCCAGAGAGAGGCAGCTGGGCACCAGGAGTTACCTCGATGGCGGGCTTGGTGGGGTATGTGTAGTTACTGTTCTGGAGGGTTCTCAGGAAAGGCTCATTCTAAGAGAGAAAAGAAACCACAAGGAGAGGTTATCTGACAATATCAGAGGTTGCTTAGGAAAGAACTAATAATCCTGTCCTCTAGATTTATTTAATGTGAGTTTTCTGCACTCAAATAAAAAAGAACTGTGTAAACATAATTTTGTTCATTCCTTAGGGGGTTTTTAATATCATCTTTGGCAAGGGATAAAGGAAAGGCCTAAAAAAGGGCCATGTATGTTTTATTCAGGGATCTGAGAACATCGCCCTAATCATCACACTGATCTGTTTTCTTTCCTTTGCAATTTCTCTGGCAAGAGATTCACATTATAGCAATTTTTTTCCTTTTATAAACAGTGTTATGATGATCAATTTGCTTTTAATGTCTTCTTTCCCCCTCGTTTCAGAAGAAACAGGCTCTTTTCGGTGCCAGTCCTGCCACGGTCTCTCTTGCATCCCAATCCCATTCACACCATCATGTTCCTGCCGGGCATCAGATCTGAGTTCGCAGCCCCAGGAAACCCTCATTTTACAGAGTAGGAGCAACTGAGGCCCAGAATGAGCGAGGGGTCTGTTCCAGGCACTGAGCAAGTAGTGAGTGAGAACAGGGCCTGACCTGCCTGGGCAGGCTCTACTGACCAGGAACAGCCTGGTTCCATTCCTCATACTGTCAGGCCCTGTGTGGTCAGACACCGAGGGAGTGGAAAATGGACTCAACTTAAATGTTTCCTGAGACATTTCATTTTTCTTCGATTGAAGAATCAAATCTACATACGCCAAAGTCCCAGCCCCCCACACGGGCCCTGGCTCCCTGGGTACCACACACATCTCTCCTTCCTCCTGAGTGTCAGCATTCCTGCTGACACATGGGCTGGAGGAGTACTCAGGGCCGAGACCAGGAAGGGCGCCCTGGACCACCTGTAACCGTGCGAGGAAGAGAGGCCTTATGCGGTGTGTCCCCGGGGCTAACCAGGCTTGTCTCCGGCTCATGTTACTTAGCATTCCAGAGCATTCGCCATCACGAGGGCAATCTGGGAGCTTTCTATACATAACTGGCCCACTTTCATTGTGCCCCCTTGTTCAGAGCACTGTGCTAAGAGCTAGGATGAGGGGAGGATACAGGGAGGTGTCCAAAACAGGCAGACAGAGAGCGTGAGAAGCTTCCAGGGGGCGGTGAAATGTCAAAGAATAGTGTGCCATAGTGCAGTGATTGGGGAGGAAAGGCCATGAGATCTGGGGATGTACGGTTCTCAAAGACCAGACCAGCAGTGGGTGGGTCTCTAGTTAACATGGTTCCGGCCCCCCCCCCCCCCAGCCCGTTCAAGGGAGCCCTGACTGGGCCTAGGGTCTGGGGCTGGAGCTAGTCCCAGAGTGAGAAGCACAGGAGGAACCAGAGGGCAGAGGTGCACCCTGCTCTCCTGGAGGTGCTGAATGTCAGACTGGAGAGTGTGCCTGGTCATCCGCTGCAAGGGTTGGGAGAAGGGCCAGAGAGGGCCAACTGAGTCAAAGGGTCAGAGGTCAGGGAGACACTGGGATTCAGCAGGGAATGAGGTCAAAGCAGGAACCGTATAAACAGGTCCAGGGCAGTGGCAGACAGGTAGCCAGGCGCCCAGGGCTTGTTTTATTTATTGACCAGAGGCTGCTGGTACGTGCATGAGTCAGAGTGGCTTCCAGGCCTGGAGTTGAGCAGATGCCATGGAGGAGAGAGCCTATTGTTTGATCTGATTGGCTCTCTTCGGCTCTGCTGGTAACACCCGTAAGCAGAAGGTGAAGCCCGTTCAATTCCAGCACAAGGAAGTCTTTGCAAAGACGGTGTGGCCTGCCTGGCGGTGGGGGCAGAGCCGGGACAACCACCTGACGTGAGTCAGCACCATGCGTCAGAGGCTTTGGGAAAAGGTCACGTTCGTCTTGGCTGTGTCACAGGTTTAAAGTTCCACCGCGAAGGAGTGGTGCTTCTGGCTCTGTCTGTGCTGCTCAGACCAAACAGGCAGGTTTGGGGAGCCCCCTGGAAAGGGGCCATGCTCCAAGAAGGCATGCCTGCTACGTGAGGCAGGGCTCGAGAGGCTGTTCTGCCATAAACGGTTCAGGGCGCTGAAGAGAAGATCGGGGAAGGGTGGTGGGAAGGAGGAGGACATAGCAGCCATGACCTCTGACATCCCATCCCATCCCATCCCATCCCATCCCATCCCATCCCATCCCATCCCATCCCATCCCATCCCATCCCATCCCATCCGGGCTGGTTCATGACCTACGAGGCTAATTTCACAACCTGGTCATGGGTTGCCACCGCCTGGAAAGTACAGACATGTAAGTAGAGGCTGTGGCGATGCCTTGGGAGAATGTGGTAGAAGAATTCATTTATCCAACGAGAGTCACATCAATAGGACACCAAGACCCTCCCGCTGAGAACCTAAGATTATAGAGTTCTCTGTTGTTTTATGATGGGAAGATAGGACAGGTAACCTTTAACCTGCAAAGTGCTAAGAATCTGAATGGGGATGGGGGGAAGGAGGGGAGAGAATGGAAAGCAGAGGCAGATGGGAGGGGCACTGGAAAGTCTCCTATCAGGTAGGGTCCTGCCTGAGGTTCCATGCCTGTAGAATGGTGGAAACCATGACAGCGACAGAAATAGGAAAGCCCTAAGGAGCACAGAGTCTGGGAAGACAGATATTTAGTTCCTATTTTAATACTTCATATTAAAAAATGGGCTTTTGAATGAGAGCTTGTTGAGTTTGAGGTGATGGTGAGGTCAGGGCAGGATCAGGGGATTCAGAAGTCCAAAGCATTCAGAAGGTCACAGTGTCCCCCACGAGTCATTCGAAATAGAAACACCATCAAACAACATGCACAATGGAATCCAACAAACCTCCGCGTTTTCAAAAATAAAAGGCTGGCTGTGCTATTGCTGGAGATGATTTTGGTTTCTCTTTCTCTGCCTCTCTCTGCGCCTCTCTCTGGTTTGCCTGCTTAGCGGATGCCCTGACGATTCATTCCTTTCAGCTGCCGTCTCAGTGACCTTGTAGCAGAGAGAGCATCCAGGGGGAACGGCTCTCAGAGGTTAGACAGACAGAGGGGAGTTTGGAAAGAAAGAAATGAAGACACAGCCTGGGGAGTCTGGTGCAAAGGAATTTAACAGGAAGCCCCAGAAACGGGCAAATCTCTGAGTGAGGGGATGGGGGGAGAGAGATGAGAGAACAGGGCTGAAACGTGATTGGATAATGTCCACATTTGCAAGGCTGGAAGAAGAGAAGAGGGTCATTAAAACAGATAAGTGCCTTGGCTGGACAGCTCAGTTAGTGTGTCGTTCCCAAAAGCCAAGGTTGCAGGTACAATGCCTGGTCAGGGCACATGTAAGAATCAACCAATGAATACATAAATAGATGTAACAAGTCAATCTCCTCCCGCCTCCCACATTCTCTCTCAAATAAATAAATAAATAAATAAATAAATAAATAAATACTCAATAAATGAAAAATTTAAAAGATAAGAAGGGGAAACAACTAGAAAACAGAGCAACGAGGTGCTTTCACATCTAGGAAACTCAGGGAGCAGAGGGTTAACTGTCAAACACTTAGAAAGAGTAAGATGAGTAAGAGCTTAGAAAGGACGGGGCTGGTCTTCAGCTGCTTTCTTCCAAGCCTGAGGAGCCGCCGCCAGCTTCCTGAGTTAGGTAATAAAGGCAGGAAGGGGAGTCCACAGAGTGGCTATTCAAAAGTTGGCTGTGAAATCATTTGTCCAGCCCGAAAGTCCATTAGAAATCCATGGAGTGTTAAAGGCCCGAGCTGGCCTGGCAGAATGCACTTGCAGTTGGCTGGGGCAGGGGAAGGGCAGGGAGGAGTCTGAGAAAGCTCCCCATCGCTCTCTTCTCTCCCGGCTGGGTCCTGCCTGTCGCCTCTATGTTTAGACACGGCTCGCACTAAAATACGAGCTGCCTGGCCCCCGTCAGCTCACACTGAGATGCTGGTGGACTTTATATAGCTCTCGGGCGGGCACACGGGAGGGAGCAGATGGGACCTGAGGAACACAGAATGCTACATTGCCTGGTGCGGTGAAGTGGGGCTAGCTGACAGATGGAGCCTTTGGGAATGGGCCCCAGGGTTGCCTGGCAACCGCTTCCTCCAGGCTGGGCTTCTAGGGCTCTAAGAGGTTGGATTTGCTCTCCTCTGCTCACCAAGGCTCAGCCAGGCTCAGCCAGGAGGAGGAGCGGAGCCCACTGTGGCTTGAGTATTGGTGGAGCGGCACCCTGTCGGGGCTCCTTGCTGGGGCAGAGAATTGGCACAGGTCCCTTGAGGCCCATGGTGACCCAGTGCCAAGGCTTCGACCTGGTACTTAATAAATGTTTGTGGGGAGAAAGAGCAATGACAGACCCCTGGAATGGGCTGTTATCACATTTACTATTTAGTGGAAGGTTGAATGGGCAGAGTGAACATCTATGGCTGATGCTCAATGTAATCATATGGGTGTAAAAATATTGAAACACTGGAGGTCCAGTGCACAAGATTTGTGCACTCAGGGAGGGGGTCCCTCAGCCTGGCCTGCACCTCTTGTAGTCTGGGAGCCCTCAGGGGATGTCTGACTGATGGCTTAGTCCTGGTTATCTAAGCCATCAGTTGGGACATCCTCAGCATTGCTGTGGAGGTGGGAGAGGCTCCTACCGCCTCTGTGCTAGCCAGTGTGAGCCTGGCTTCTGGCTGAGCAGCACTCCCCCTCTAGAACACACTGACCACCAGGGGGCAGCTCCTGAATTGAGCATCATAGCAACTGGTCATTCCACCGTTCGGTTGATTTGCCTATTAGCCTTTTATTATATAGGATTTACCTCCAACGTGGTTTATAGTCTCTTCTCTGAGTCCCCAAGTACCCCCACTACAGAGGTTGCCTGGTTCCTCCCCGAGGACCTCTTAGCCATGCTCAGAATTTTGCATTAGACTATTTACAGCTGGCACAGCACAGTCCTCTGGGGCTCCCCAGCCTTTGGGCCAGCAGCTGGCCTCTGAGTGGAGGCATCCACGTGCACTGGTTGTTACTATCTCCTTTGCTCCAAGAACCAGACCCAGCCACCAAGCCCTCTGCTGCCTCTGCCCTCACTTCTGCATTCCTTCTTTCCATCACTCCTGTTCTCCAGACTAAGGCTGATGGCACAGAGACTGAGCCTGGGCTGCAGTCTGGGGTGAGGAAGGTAGCAGACAGGGTGCTGTTACCCTCTCTGGAGCCCTGGCAGACACATGGGGGAGTTATAGGGCCATTCCCTGTCCTGCCGGAGGGTGGGAGCCAGTGATGCAGCCGACCCAAGAGGGAACCCAGCGTCCCAAATTGGGTCAGGCCCCTCTGCTTCTATTGCCACTGAGGGCTCTCGGGCCTCGGCCTTATTTGGTTAACAAGTCATGAGACAGGGCCAGGCCGGGAGAGCTGCAGGCAGTAGGAACATGAACTTGCCCCTACCCTAGACCTGAGATCAAGTTAAATAACCACGTACATTCATTCCTTAAAAGGAACTGAGTCCTCACCAGAGCCCTCACAAAGGCCACTGCGATGTGCCCTTCTCCACACAGCTCCCAGGCTGTCCTCTGACCCTCTTTCTGCTGGAAACTCCCCATTCAGGCTCTACAGACACTGATCACAACTTCTGACCGGCTGGCTTCTTTCCTGGCCTCCACCTGCAGACTGACTTTCCTATCTGCCTCATGTGCGGCTGCTCAAAGGAGCCTTCTTGCCCTAGCCAGTTTGGCTCAGTGGATAGAGAGTCAGCCTACAAACTGCAAGGTCCCAGGTTTGATTCTGGTCAAGGGCATGTACTTTGGTTGCAGGCACATCCCCTGTGGGAGGTATGCAGGAGGCAGCTGATTGGTATTTCTCTCTCATCAATGTTTCTGACTCTCTATCCTTCTCCCTTCCTCTCTGTAAAAAAACAAAACTCAATAAAATATATTTAAAAAATAAATAAAAGGAGCCTTCTGGTCATCCTTCTGGCTTCCTGACTCCCCTGCTCAAGAATCCACGTTCCCCAACCTCATCCTCAACCCAAAGAAATAAGTGCTTCTCCCCTTTCCATTCTCATCCACTTCCTCCCACCCTCCAAAGGCCATCCGCCTCCAGTGGACAGCAAGATGGGCAAGAGGAACCTGGGGAGTATCGTGAAGGGGGAAGGGCGGGGTCAGAGCTCTGGGCTCCTCCCTCATTACCTGTGTAGGGCAGGGGAGGGGTATATCTGCTGTCAGGTCCAGGGTGTCCGTTTTCCTTCCCAGGGGTTCAAGCTGATTGGGGAAGGAGAGAGAGACATAGGTGTACTCATTTGTTTACACAGAAATGAACATCTCCCTGCCCTAGGAAGGCTCCCTCTTGATGTAAGGGGCCTTGGCTTCCACTCCTGGCTCTGCCACTTGCCAGCTGTGTGATACTGGGCACATCTCTCAGCTTCTCTAGGATTCGGCTTCCTCATACATTCATAATGTAGCTGGGCTGTTGAGAAGCCTCAATGAGAAGCCTATGTGAGTGCCTGGCACACAGAAGATGGTGCATGTATGTGAGGGCTCTGCTTTGGATTCATGTAAAGAGTCATCAGCACAGAGGAGAGAGTGTGGCTGATCCTGGGATCATAAGGACTCTGTGTTTTCAAATCCATGGACGTGTACAGATGTGCGGCCATTGCTCCTCTGTACCTTGCTGGCCAAGGAAGGCTGGGAACTAGCACCTCCAGTCTATGGGGGCAGGTGCTTTGCTCTAGACTAGGACCCCAGAGAAACAGGGCCCCCTCACTTTACCATGTTGACCCAAAGGGCTCTGGAGAGCTGGGAGTGGAATTTCTGGCTTGGGTGGATGCAGTCGGGGGCGAAGAAAGACATATCCAAGCGCCCATCCTGAAGGAGAGAAACAGACCTTCCTCAAGACCTTGTTGGCGCCGAGGGTGGAGAGGGAGCCACAGCTGACTGGCCTCAACACACGTCTCACCTGGGGGTGCTCTGAGCCACGGGGCAGGGCCTGATCACCTCAAGAGGGAGATCAGAGCAATCCCACAGATCAATAGCTTTGGGTGACCCCAAACCCCATTGTCCTTCTGGCCCCACAATTTCCCTTATTTAACAACAAAAGAGTCCTATTTGATTTTAGGCACATTGGTGTGATGCCCTAGCCCATGCCACGCTTGAGAGCATGAGATCTAGTCCGTAAGGAAGTCTTGGCCAGCCAGATGGGGAAAGCTACTTCCCAGCCATTGGCCAGATGCTCCTGGTGGACTTGGTGGAGAGAATGAGACCCACTCTCAGGGAAGGCCTGGGCAAAGCCAGTACCAGGGCAGTGTGCCACCTTCCCCTTTCCGGAGGCACTCAAGGTTGCTCGAAGCTCCTTCCAGTCAGGTGAGGCCCTTAGGATGGACACCCAGGTGGACAGAAGCAAGTCTCCACCCGGGTCCCCTCACAGCTCTTCTGCTCAGAGTGGGAATGTCAGGTGCAAAGCGAGCAGGGGTGGAACCTGAATGCCCAGGGCCCTCCTTTGTGACCACAGCGCCATGTGTAGGTGGCAGAAAGGAAGTATTCTGGAGCCGGACATGTTCGAATCTTGCCTCTGTGTCCTGTATTTCCTCTATGATTTCAGGAAGGCTACTTCACATTCCTGAGCCTCCGCTCCAGGGGGAAAATAAAACTCACCTCCAAAGGTACTTGTGGCAAGCACAGTGCCTGGCACCTAGGAGATGCTCTATAACACGGAGGCTGCTTTCCCTCCTCAGGCTGGCTCTGGGAATGCAGCTCAGCTGCTCCAGGAGGCTGCACTCAGCAGACCTGCACCTGGGGAGCTGCCCGTGTCTTTCCCACGTTGCTCACTCTCTCGCCGGGAACACGTGGCATTTCTGCCCTGATTGTCCTCCTCCCTCCGGGAGCCCCGCTGGGCGGGGCAGGGACGTACCTCCAGGACGGGGAGCCTGATGTTGCGGAAGAAGGGCTGCAGCACCACCGAGAAGTCCTCCCGTGTGTCGTAGCGGCCAGACTCCACCAGCTCGAGCATGCTGCTCTGGGGACACACCCATGGGTGCCTTCAGCACAGGCCCCCGGTGGCCCCAGGGCCCATGGGGCAAGGGTGGGAGTGGTGGGCAGAGCGCCACCGCCCTGGGAAATGGGGGTGGTGGTGCTGACTCAGTCCTTCCCCGGAGCTGAGCAGGCAAACACACTTGATTGCAAAGCTCTTTCCAGAGAATTGGAAACAGGTTGGGTCACCTCTTTTTTTTGTTTTTAAGGGGTCTGCAAGCTCTGAAGGGCCAGGCAGAACGTCCCACAAGAAATGGAAACCTGGGAAGAGTCTCCCAAGAGCCCTCCAGGCTGGGGACCTGCAACCTCTCCACCCGCTGAGGAGGTGAGCTGGGCCCCCGTGCAGGGGAGGGGAAGGGTAGCCCATGAGGTATCCAAGGCTTTTGTCCTCCTCAGGCCAAGCGTCAGGCCATGGGGCTTGGCCACCTAGACTCCCTTGAACCCACTCCAACCAGCTGCCTGAGATGCCTCAGCCAGGCAGGAGGATCTGGGGGGTAGAGGAAGGGGCCTAGATGGTGAAGTCTTCCTTCAAACCCTGAACAGCTCTTCCCTTCCCTGTGTGCCTCCCTCCCCTCGGAGGCTCTGGGCAGGTGTGTACATTGCATGGGGGCGGAGGGAGGGGGGACAGAGCACACCAAATGGTGCCCTTCTTCTCTCACCTGGTAGGCTCTGGTGATGGCTTCCAGCCTGGCCAGCTCCAGGGAGCTCTCCCGAGGCGTCAGCACGCAGTTACACAAGATGCTGCACAGAGAGGGAGGCAGGAGGGCCGGAGCCCGAGCTCCAGTAAGGGGCTGGCTCCGCTGCACCGGCAGCTCATGGAGCCCGGGCTTTGGAGCACCTGCACCCGAGGCTCTGATGCACGCGCTGGGGGCGGGTTTCAGGCCTGTCACGGGGCCTCAGGATGCAGGGAAGAGCACCCTCTCGTAGTAACAGAGCACAAGCAGTGCAATGCAGGCGCTGGGCCAGAGCAAATGACACCGAAAGAGTGAATCTAGGCCCTGACCGGTTGGCTCAGTGGATGGAGTGTCGGCCTGCAGACTGAAGGGTCCCAGGTTCAATTCCAGTCAAGGGCATGTACCTTGGTTGCAGGCACATCCCAGGTAGGGAGTGTGCAGGAGGCAGCTGATCAATGTTTCTCTCTCATTGATGTTTCTAACTCTCTCTCCCTCTTCTTTCCTCTCTGTAAAAAATCAATAAAATATATATTTTTAAAAAGAATGAATTTAGGCAATGAAAGTACAACGTTTTATTTTTATGAATAAAATAAACATGCATCCTTTGGCATTGGGCTTCCTGTGCTCAGGCCCTCAGAAACCTCCTTAGTTGGCACCAGTGCCCAGTGTGGCATTTATTTTGTTATGAATGATTTCATGCCCATGAAATGCACTTCATGCTATCAGCTCAGATGGAGTGGCTCAGTGGTGGAGTGTTGACCTATAAACCAGGAGGTCATGGTTCGATTCCCAGTCAGGGCACATGCCGAGGCTGTGGGCTCCCTCCCCAATGGGTGGGGGAAGGGGTCATGCAGGAGGCAGCCAATCAATGATTCTCTCTCATCATTGATGTCTCTATCTCCCTCTCACTCTCTCTTCCTCTCTAAAATCAATTTTTTTAAAAAGAGAGAGCACTCAGGACAGTGCCTAGTTCATAATAAGTTCTGTCCAAGTATTTGTTACATAAATACATGAACATAGATGGTATCTTCTGCTTCCATTTCGCCATCCCATGCTGTACCCCCCACAGCTGGGGCCACCTGTCTTTCAAGCACTAGCCTTTGTCCCAGCTGGCCTCTTCCCTGGGGCTCCTCCACATCACAGACACCCTGCTGACACGTTGAGGTTGGATATGGGGTGAATCATGGCTCTAACCTCTCAAAAAGGAGTTGTCCTGGCACAAGGCCTCCTGTACAGACTTGGGCACGTGAACAGACCACGTCACAGAGACACGAAGGCGTTCCCGCTGCACAAGCCAGGCCAGGAATGAGCGCTCCTGCCACCGAGGGCAGCCAGCACCTGCTTACCTGGCCTGCTGCACCGGGCACTTGTCTGGGTTTGCCAGGAACACCTGCCGCATGACACTGGGGCTCATGAAGTCCACAAGGTTGACCAGGGCCCTGGGCACCTGAGGAAAAGGATGGGGGTAAGAGAGGGCTCCAGGGGCGCCTCCTCCCTCCAGCTGCTGAGTGGGGGTTGGGGAAGCGCCGACACTGGGCTTTCACCCAGGATCCTGCCGCTGTGCTCCCTATGGCTGCAGCGAAGGGCAGCCCAGGGGACGGGGTGAGGTGGCAGACCCAAGTCTAAATGCCGCGAGCTCAGCTCCGTCCAGCCATCAGTCAGTGAACCCAAACCTGTTAGCTTTCAGTATAGTGGGCTAGGTACCCTGTTTGCCAGACATTAGCCCTGGACCATGTCTCTCTGGCCCCGTGGTTGGCAAACTGCGGCTCGTGAGCCACATGTGGCTCTTTGGCCCCTTGAGTGTGGCTCTTCCACAAAAGACCATGGCCTGGGCAAGTCTGTTCTGAAGAAGTGGCGATAGAAGAAGTTTAAGTTTTAAAACATTTGGTTCTCCAAAGAAATGTCAATCATTGTACTGTGGATACCTGTTGGTATTTGGCTCTGTTGACTAATGAGTTTGCCGACCACTGCTAACCTGGACTAACTCTGCTGAGCAGGTCCAGACTCAGCCACCCAGAGAACGGCCTGGTGGTTGGAGGGGCTTGTCTATGCCGGGGGTGGGGGCAGAGCCCCATGCTGGGGAGGGGCTTGCTCTGGACACATGTGTGGCTCAGAAGGCAGTGCCCAGCCTGAGAGTCACCCAGCTGCTGCCCCCAGGGAATGTCCTGGGTACGGGTTGGGGGGACAATGAGCGCCCACAATGCCTTCCCTGGTCAAACCCGAGATCCTTCTGGGCTGATTCCAAAGGCAATGAGGCTTCAGTGTGCACAGGCCCCAGCCTCTGGAAAGGGGAGGAGCCTTCACCTTCTCTCCCCCCTCCACCTTTGCCCTGCCCCCCGTGCCTGGCTGTGCCACCCACCTCTCTGTGCAGGGTGTCCAAGGCACTGCGGAGATGGTTAAAAAAGTTGGCTGCAGAATAGAGATTCTGGAAAGAGACAGGAGGGAGAGGAGGAGCTGGTTAAGAGGAGAGGGCTGTGGGGTGGGGGTGGGGGGGGCGAAAGCCCCCCTTGGCTCCAGCCTCAAGGACTTGTCCTCTCTCTGGCCTCCAGCTGTCACCAGCTCATCGTCTAAATCTGAGACGAGCAGCCACTGCTATCAAAGATGGGCCAGCAGAAGACTGGAACCTTCAGCCAGAGCTTGTGTAAAGGGGCAGAAATGGAGAGTCTTCCTTCAAACTGCTTTGGGGGGGGGGGGGGCGGGTCCCAATCTCTTTCTTTCGGAATTTTTGGGAATTGTAAGAGGGAGGGGCAGGGTAGAAGCACCACTGAGCTGCCACCTGATACCCTCACACTACCTGGAGCCAGAAACCTGAGGGTCCTGGGTAAAGGAGTGTGCCCGTGTGTGCGCGCGCGCGCACACACACACACACACACACACACACACACACACACAGGTGTAGGCATGCAATCCGAGGGTGGATTCTAGGGATCCTCAAAGAGGCGCTCCCGAGCCTACATGCCGAAGTCAGGAGCCATGAGCAGGCCGGGCCCCCGTTACCGAATCTGTGCAGAAGTCACACAGGTCGCTGCCTCCAATCAGCACCGTGATGACCTTCCAGTCCTCTTGGAAATTTACTCTCTGCGCAGAGGGAGGAACAGGCTTGATGAGTTCCAACAAGCAAATCCAAACCACCACCGCGCTAAGACGCCCTTGTCCGCTTGAAGTCATAAAATCAGAACAGCAGAGCTGAGAGGACTTTAGGGGTTTATTTATAGATCACAGGATCTTAGCATCTGGAGGGACGCTCAAGGACGCGGTGATCAGCAACAAACCTCTCCCCATCGACGCAATCTCCTCTGAAGGGTGGCCCTGGTTGGGTGCCTCTAGCGAGGGGGGCTCGCTGTTCTCACAGCACACCAGTCCACGTGGGGACTTTTGTGGGTTAGGGCATGAGGGTTTAAAAGTAGCCGTAAATCGGACTCACGTGATCATCTTTCATCCGCTGCACCAGAGTCTGGACCTGTCTTGTAAGTTCCCTGAAAGGGAGAGGAGATCAGTCCTGTTCAGGAACAGTGCCCGGATTTTCCCTCCTAAAGGGCCTGTCCTGGAGGTTTCCAGGGCGGAGCCCCACTGCGTGAGCTGGCGGAGACCCCGCGGCTCAGAGACAGGAGCGCCTTGCCTGTTCTGGAGAGTTATTACAACAAACAACCCTTTGAAAAGCCCACTGACTGTGTGTCCTAACGCTGTAGTCAAAGGACCTGCCAATCACAATTGTTCCTCATCCTCTCCTTTCTAGAACCACACGTGCAAAGCGCCTTTTAGGATTCCATGCTGGGATGCAATGTGTAGCCCCTGAAGGACTGGCCTTGCGCCTGAACGTAGGTCCATGGAGCATTGGCATGCTTCCCCTTTCTGCCCTGGCTGCCGGGAAGCTCACAGCATGATGCTCAGATACAGGAACCATCCAAATGCTCCTACTGACGGAGTGCTTTCCTCTCCCCACCGTGGCTGTGGTTTTTTCTCTTAAGTATATGTTATTTTTAAAAATAAACGTATCTCAATGCTCTTAGAAATAGATGGAGAATAAATACACATGGCATACATGTGTGGGTTTGTAATTTATGAAAGGACTGGGTCCCAGGCACCCCAAGCTCCCACTGGTTCAGGGCCCTGTTGGGACGGATCCTCAGCCTGGTGATCTCCTGGGACCTGACGGTGGGCCCGTCTGACCTGACTCCCATTCCCCAGGCTCAGCAAACAGCTCTGGGCTGTGCCCATCAACCAGAGGGCATGGGCGTCCGTAAGAAGATGACAGTGTGACAGAGGCGCAGCCGACGGGGGCTGAAACAAGGGAACCCAGGCCTCTGGGACCCCTGGGACTACCTTGGGAGATCGGCTTGGGAGGCTGGGCACTTCTGCTACCTCCGACTTCTCAGTGGCACTGCTGCACACGCATACATGCCCCCTTGGCACATGCAGGGCAGCATCACCCCGAAAGGGGGTGCCTCCCACAGGCCCCCTCCCCGAATGCATACTCAGCCTTCGCGCCAGGAACAGCCTGATTGAGGAACGCGTTGGTGTCGTTGGCCTCGCCCGTGCCCAGCGCATAGCCTGTGAGGTACCTGTTAAACTTCCTAAGGATGTCTGCGAGAAGAGGGGAAGAATGGGACGCGGACCTCAGGATGGAAGGCCAGGGATGTCCTCTGGTCTAGAGTCGCCAACGTGGGCTATGCTACCACTCTCGTGCAGCCCGGGAGGGAACAGGACGGGACAAGACAGCAAGGGCATCCCAGCGCTCGCTCGCTCGCTCTCTCTCTCTCTCTCTCTCTCTCTCTCTCTCTCTCTCTCTCTCCTTTACAATCCACAGAGAATCCTCGCTGTCTCATCTGATTGTCTCCTCACACTCTGGGCCCGCTGAAGAAGAGGAGGCTCAGAATGTCTGGTGACCTGTCCTTGGTCACCTGGCAAACACACAGAAAGGACAGGGCTTGAGCCCAGGTCTCTGGGCTCCAAATACAGTGTTTATTCCACCCCTATCCGCCCCCTGTCCCCATGCTTCTCCTTTCTTTTATTTATTTATTTTACAGAATATTAATTCAGTGTTTGGTTATTCATAGATTACCCCCATTAAAATTTAATGCATGCCTCACCTACACAGTCTTTTTCTGCCCCAGGTGCTTTGAAGCAACAGAGGCATTAGATAGGAGTGCAGAAGGCAAAGCTGAGCAGGGAGCAATGGCAGCGCATGTTAACAGCATCACTGCTGTTCTGCAGAGGGCTCTTTTTGATCAGGCGGCTTAGTGGAGTTCCAATGAATGTGTCTAAACATGATCACAATTCATTTATATTGTCCAGAGAATGACCCCTACCCAGACAGGACGCTGAGGGTATTTAGTTGTCAACAAGCCCCTCCTCCCAGGTCAATAGCAATCCAAAGAAGACACCATTTCCTCCTTTCCTAGCTGAGAGGCATCTCAAGAAACCCGAGGGTCAGATGCAAGGAGTGGGCAGACGCCAGCCCCTGGCGGTTACTCACTCGGCAAGGTGGTCACGGTCTCCAGGGAGCCGTCTCCTCCTGAACTGCAGGGAGGAAGCCAGTGAGATCACATCAGTACGAGGTTTTTTGTTTGTGTTTAGCATCCATGCCATCCGATGTGCTAAACCCACCCGGCTCTTTGTGTTTGAGGGATTCTGAGAAAATCTGAATTTTCCAATGGGTTGGTTTCCCTCAAGTCCAAGATTTGAAGGCAAAAGAGAGCTGTTTCTTTTCTCCAACAAATCAAGAGGGAGAGAGCTTAGCTGAGTATCTACTATGTGTCCAGCCAGGAACTCCACTCTCTGCATTAGTTATCTCACATCTCCCCAAGCTTATGAGGTCGATGCCACTATTTCCATTTGACAGAATAGGAAGCTGAGGTTCCCTAACTTTCTACAGGCTACTAAAACCCAAAAGGTGACAAAAACCAGCTTGAGCTGGAAACCTTTATAAAACGGATAACTCCTTTCTGTCTAGTGGGGAGGTCAATCTCAGAGCCTTTCTACCACACTCCAATTTCATCTAATTAATTGTTTTCTGGCCTTCAATCTAACCCTAAGACACATTCAAAATTTCCTTTCCTTCCCTGCATTAAAATTGAATGTATGTGGGAAGGAGAGAAGTATACCTATTTTAACAGAGTTCAATGGTCAGATGCACTGCATTTACTGTTATTTTTCCCCTCTGCACTTCCCTCCTCAACCCCAGCCTTAGTCTAGGACCATGGTCGAAAAACTGTGACTCGAGAGCCACATGCGGCTCTTTGGCCCCTTGAGTGTGGCTCTTCCACAAAATACCACGGCCTAAGCGAGTCTGTTTTGGAGAAGTGATGTTAGAAGAAGTTTAAAAAATTTGGCTCTCCAAAGAAATTTCAATCATTGTACTGTTGCTATTTGGCTCTGTTGACTAATGAATTTGCCGATCACTGGCCTAGACCAATAGATCATGAAAACACAGTGTTTAGCATCCAGCCCACCAGGACAGGCTTCTGGAGCACAGGCCATAAATCAAAGTCATGGCTGTGCTTTACTCAAGGAATGCTTGGCATGAAGTTGACTCTTGCATACCAAGGTGGTCAAGGGCTTACTTAAGCCAAATGCTCAGCAGTCCCTGGTCCTGGAGAGAGAGAGCAGCCAGGTGAGCCCTGCCCTTCCAGCCTCACTCAGGTCTTTCTCTCTCGCCTCTCAAAATACGTCTGACCTGAACTTGGCCAGTGGTTGGGCATTTGTATGCGCTTCTGATTCTTTCCCAATTCTCCACCACGCTGCTGCGTTAGTTGCTTCTGACCCTCCTTTCTTTGAACTAAAAGCATGAAATCAGAACACCCCACACTTGCAAGAAAGTGATAAATCATGCACCGTCTCTAATCATGGTGTTCTCACTCTGCTTTTTTTTCTCCCTCAATCAACACAGAAACATAAACACAGAGACACACGTAAACACACAGGACAAGTGCTTTCTACTATAAAAGGTACCTTTGTTCTAAAAATAAGTGTTCTAGCCGATCAAGACCAATAGGCTACAGAATCTCTCTCTCTCTCTCTCTCTCTCTCTCTCTCTCTCTCTCTCTCTCTCTCTCTCTCTCTCTCTCTCTCTGAGCCCATTGTAGAGCGAACATTTCCAGGAGAAAAGAGAGAATTAGACGAATACATATGAAACGGGAAGTGTAAGCCCTCATTGTGACCAGAACGATGTGAAGCGTGAAAGAAAACGTATCCATACGAACAGCGAGTCTACAGGAGAACTGCAGACTCATGTGATTGGAATGACACCATGAGCTCAACGTTACACCATGAGCTCAGCGGCTGGGCTTGCGCCTCTGCTGCCAGCACAGCGCAGGGAAACGCAGAGGAGATGCTCAGGAATGCTGGCCGAAGGAGCTTCGGTAATGTGAGGCTGAACTCATTAACAAGACAAAGAAATGCGTTTTCTGGTAAGTTTTATTTTGGTCCTTTGAATGGTGTCCATTGAGTTCGATAAAAAGAAAAGGCAATGCTCTGAAGTCCTCTGGCCTGCCACACTGTTAAGCTATGATTCTCACAGGTTCAGGGGCCTCAGAAATACGCTCAGCCAAACCTCCTGCTCACAGCCACCCACCTCCCGATAATTCGGGGTCCACTTCTCCCCGGTGCAACTCCCTGAGGCCCGCCCTGTCCACTTTCCTTAGAGGAAGCAGATCTAATTGCATTTTTAATTTTCGTAGGATCATTCACTGTCTAGTATTTCCAATCGGGGAGCATTATTGACTTCAGAAAAACTGGCTTTTCTCAGATTAGTCTAGTACAGAGATTTTTAACTTTTATTCACCTTATGGCACACATAAACTGATTACTAAAATTCTTCAGCATACCAGAATATATATTATGATTTTGGCCGATCTGACAAAAAAAAAAAAAAAAAAAAAAAAAAGGTATACATTTGACTCATTCACAGCGATGACTGACAATCTAAGGGAAAGAAGTCAGTGCCCCTGACGCAATAGTCAGGGATTGCATGTTTTAAAATTGCTGCGGCACACCAGTTAAAAATTGCTGGGCTTGTACGGGGACTGTTTCCAGGGGATGCTAATAGGTATACAAACAAAGCAAGCATTCTGGGATTAAGGAAAACACTGGATTAAATAGATACAATTTAAAAAAATTTTCTTCATTGTAGATCATCTCAGGGCCCTTAATATGCTAACATGCATGGGAATTCCCTAGAGGAAGGCTATGGTAGGTAATGTTTCCCCTAAAATACAAATAATTTTGCCCTCTTCAGGAACGTGGCTGGGGCTGGTGTTCCCTGGAACACACTTTGGGGAACAGTCTATATAGTCCACCGTGTGTCAAGCTGTCTCTCAGGCTCTGACCCAGAGCTTCATCTTGAACACCTGGGAATCCTGGGACAGGTATTTGAAACATTTAGAACAAACGAAGGACTTAAAGGACTAGCAGCCATCGAACAGATGGGCCTTGGAATGAGAACTCCAAGACAAACATGAGTTCCTATGGGACCTCACTTGCAGGAAGAACTGGCACAACGGCCACATGTCCCTCTTGCTGCAGAGAGGAACGTTAGGCAGAAGGTGGCCTTTGTGCGTATCTGACTCCCAGCACCTGTCCAGGCCAACTGTTTGTAAAAGTGTCAGGTCACCTCCCTTCCCCGACTGCACGCCAGATCCAGCGTCGCCATCACCAGTGGGCGGGTGCATCTATTTTCTGTTTCCCACACTGTGACGAGAGGCCAGGGCCCTCGCTGGCTAAGACTACATGCAGCTGCCACGGCCTCAGACTTTTTCCGGGTTGGAATAAGCTCGGGTTCCTTCCTCTCTCTCTGGTGTTTCTGTTCCTCACAGTCTCAGTAATGTTTGGGGCACAGGGGTCCGGAGGGGAGGCTCAGTTTTGCTCCCAGCCAGCCTGCTAGTGGCCACTTACCTGGCTAAGATATGTGGAAACCTAGGGGACCTCTGAGTGTCCTCAGGGATGACCAGAGAACGGTCACAATCCTAATCACCCCAGTGTTCCCTCTCACTTTCTCAGAAGGAACGACTCATTGGAATAATTCACTGGGAAGGAGAGGGAGGAGGCAAGTGCATGGCTAGGCCACCCAGCTTCTCGTTAGCACGCTGCCCTCTCGTGGCTGGCTTTGTTCTACAGTATTTTCTGGCGTATAAGACGACCCCCTAATTTTACAGTTAAATCATAGGTTTAGGACTATATTCGCTGTATAAAACTACCCCCCACCAGTTCTTTTTTTTTTAATAGACCGCCTCTCTGACTCTGGCCAATCTGAGTAGGCTTTTTACTAGAATACAGTGTAGCTTCGGGTACAGAACATGTATAATTTGCATGCATAAAAAGCCTGCTTTGATTGGCTGAGTTAGAGAGGTGGCCCAAGCAGCCTTGCATTGATTGGTGGGGAATCGAGTTGGAAAATTCGTTTAGTGGCAAATCGAGACGTTTTTCGGGATATACTCGGCGTATAAGACGACCCCCAATTTTTCGGTTGACTTTTTTTTTTTCATTTCAAAAGTCGTCTTATACACCGGAAAATACAGTAGTTGTTCTGAATCCTGAGCTCATCGCCAAGGACTGGGAAGTGTGCTTCAATGCGAACTTTATTAGGAAGGAAACTTAAGAACACCCACATCTAACCACTCCCCTGCTACCTTGAACTTTTCTACGTCTGTGGCTGGAAAGTTCTCTTTCCCCCTTTCCCCAACCTAATGGCTAATCTGTGTCTCGACATGACTGGGGTCCCGTCTTCTCTGGGAAGCCAGGTTGGAAGTCCCCCTTCTGCATCCATGTGGCACTCGGCCACTGACCAGATGAGCACATGCATTTGCCGTGCTCCCCCTACATCCCCCTTAGTCCATGTGTGTTGGCTGTGACATTGTCCTGGTTATTTTCCTCCCGAGGCGAATTGCATCGTGGAGTTTTCTGAGTAGGTGTGTACATACACGTAAAGGCAGAGGTGCGACTACAGACCGACACGAGTGGACACATAGAGACACAGCTGACAGAGACGTGGTGCACATATACATGCAAACGGGTGGGTGGAGACTCAGAGAGCTGGTGGGTGTTTTTCAGGTGCATTTCATGTTGGCTTTGCTGACCCAGGAGTCTGATAAGGACCCTGGTTTGCTTTTTCTGCGCAATTAAAAAAAAAAAAGAAAAAGAAAAAGAAAGGTCACCAGCAGTCAAAGATCTCTCTACTCACCACATGGTCACATCTGGCAGACAGACATAGAGGTTTTCCTTCTGAAAGCCCCTTCCAGACCTGGTCCCAGCTATTTGGTATTTATGTCTTTATAGGAGACAGCCCCTTCCCCCCCCCCCCCCCCAATCTCTGGGAGTGGACATGGGATGGGAGGGGGCTAAGGGTTAACGTTACCTATATGACAGCCCCCGATACTGAGTGGTGACATCAGAAAGGTCGTCTGGTTTGGAGCCGATTCCATTGCCAGCCTTAGGAAACACACAAAAACCCACCGGGAACTCAGCAAGGGAGAGCGCGCAGAGGCTGCGGGCGTGCAGGGGGTCCCCAGCACACGCATCACGCATGAGCAGAATGCTGGACGGAAGTCAAAAACCCTGGGCTCACGGCCTGCACACTGCAGCTGCCTCCTCGCTGCACGGAGGACCTGGCTTGCTTATGTCACAGCGCTCCTTGCATGACCAAATGGGATCAGAGTTGTAAAAAAAAACAACAACACACAAAACAAACAAACAAACAAACAAAAAAAACGATTTGGAAGCCTCTGAAGTGCTTTACAAACGTGAGACACTGTTTTGGTTTTACTATCAGCGTCATGCTCCGGAGTTCCTCCTAAGCCCGAGGAAGAGGCCACAGATCTTGGCGGGCTGCAGTGGGCAGATTTCTCATGAGCTTGATGCTCCTCTCCTTCCCCGCTGGGGCCTTCTGCAAGGCAGCCCTTGGCTGTAAAAGAGCGGCCTGCCCGCGGCCCTCTGGGACGGCGGAGTCCTTCTCTGAACTTAGGAGCAGCACGTCAGCCACAGCCCTGGAGTCGCTGCTGCTCTCCGTGCCAGGCAAAGCGGACAGGGCCTGAGCTGCACCGTCCGCAGGGGAAGTGCGCCCACTCGAAGAGGTGTAGAAGGGTTTTTGAGTTGAATGGCATTTTGCAATGGTTAAAAAATGTAGTTAGGTGTCTGAAACCTCCACTGCCTGAGAGTATTCAGTCCCCTCCTGACAAGGACCTCCCTTGGCACAGCTGAGTGAGAAAGGGGCTGCGAAACAAGCCATGGCCATGTTCTTAGATGGACAAGGCCAGAGCAGAGAGGGGGACAGGGCAGGGATCGGGAGCGCAGATCCTGGAGTTGGCACTGGCACCGGGAGCTACTGCAGCTACCCGCCCGCCCCCCCCCCCATTCCACCCCTGGGGCCTTACCGTCAGAGAATCCCCCAGAGCAGCCACCACTCGGATGTCTGCAGGTCTCAGGGCGTGCACTATGGGGACAAGCATACACACTTGAGTCTGCGGGAAGGAAGCTGGGTCGGAGCCTAGTGCTTCTTTAAGCGAGATCGGGAATGCCAGCGCAGGGCGCCTGGGCCAGCGCAGGGCGCCATGGGCCCTGGAGGCAGGGGTTATATAAGGATGGACTTTCCCCATAAGGACACAATAGAGGAGGAATCCTGGACCTATGGGAGGGAGAGGTGCAGGGAGAGAGGAAGAAAAGGGAATGGAAGGAAGGATGGGAGGAAGGAAGGGAAGGAGGATGAGAGGGAAGGGGAGGAGATGGGGAAGGGGGGAAGAGGGAGGGAAGGCGGCACAGTGGGAGGGAGGGAGGGAAGGCACGGTAGGATCCCACCACTGTGGTGCCAGCTGTCATGTGGAATACCGGCTGTGGCCCCAGTGCAGAACCAGGTGGGCACTGCGCCATCGGAGATGCAGTTCCGGGCCTGACGCACTCCTCCGCCCCCCGCCCATTTGGAGCTGGTTCTGGATTTCCAACAACAACTGAGAAATAATTGGATCAGGCCTTCCTGTGCCCCAAGTGCCTTCTAAAGCTTCAGGTGACAGGGATCACAGAGCCTAGAGCCCAGGACAACTCATAGAGCTGGGCCACTCTTGGGGCTCTCTCAGCACCCCACACCCTACCTCTGGGCCTCAGTGAGGTCAGGACACTGGGTGAGGCCACTGGATGGGAGGTCACATGGCTCCTCCCTGTGCTCCCTGTAAGGGGCTGACATGGAAGGGCAGCGGACAGCTCCTGGCCTGACACCTTGGGGCCTGCCAGGTGAGGCATCTCACAGGGCAGAGGGAGACCAATCAGGGACTTATCCCAGGCGACCGCCCAGACAAGAAGCAGGCACTGAATTGCATGTGAAAAATGCTGTCAGAACATTCATGGGCTCCGGCGACCCTGTGGAGAGCCCTAGGTCCTGGCGTACTGCTGAGGGCTCACCTGAGGTGGGTGGTGAGTCCGAAGGGGTTTTGTCACCGCACAGCAGCTGGCTCCCATGACCCTAAGGGCACAGAATGAACCTCAGGGGTGGACGGACCTGAGCGTCAGACCCTGAGAGAGCTTTCACAAACAGACTCCTGTCCCCTTTCCCCCTGGGGAGGAGCCAAAAGGGCATTTGAAGAAGGTTTCCTAGGTGATTCTGGACATCAGCCACTCCTGGGATCTGCTAACAGTGCAGACCCCTCCACCAACTATGCAAGAATCCCAGCATCAGCAAAATGACCGCACCCCACCCCACCCCACTCCCAGCCCTCATCCTGCTTCCAGAGCAGCTTTATGGGGAGGGTGGGATCGCCACCTATGTCTTTGCTGACGCTGTGACCTGATGGAACTTACCCCGCCCTGCACCCCGCCTAAGTGTAGGTGGACGGACTTCAGAAAAGAGTGTGAACCTCTTGTTCTCACCCACCCTGTTGGGCCAGTCCCAGCTCAGGGGCCGCCCCATGCATTGGCTGGTGAGATGGGAGAAAGCAACTGGCAGATACCTGCACGCTGTTCTTGTAGGTGCTCAGAAATGGCGAGTCCTGTGAGAATGGGGGGGGGGGGAGGGGAGGGTGAGCAACACTGTGAGCCCCTTCCTGCCAGGCTGACCCTGAAGCTCCTTCCCAGGATGCACTGGGGCCCTCTCTGCAGCCCTGACCCAACCTGAACTCCCAGGAACAATTAGAATAAACCCTGCGGTGGCTCCAGGAATGGCCCGGCCTGCTCTTCACCTCCCACCCCGCTGGCTGGGCGGCTGTGTCACCTCTTTCTCAACCCTGCCCCTCCCAACAGAACACCCCTTTCTTCTCATACAAGCCCTGTCTCTGCTACCCAGGCCCCCTGGCCACCCCCTGCCACCCATACCCTGCAGCAGCCTGGGCTCCTTCCTGCCCAGGCAAGACAAGTCCGGCTTCCTGAGGTCCTGCCTCACGCGAGCCCAGCTCAGTGGGACCCACTGGGAACTCAGAGGAGCTCACAGAGGCGGGGGAGCAGCTGCAGAGGCCCAAGAATCTCCCAGCAACATGTGAATGAGCGTGGGGGCCTGATCGACGTTGCCTTCCTGGCTAATGTCTGTGTCCCAGCGCCAGCTTCCAAGTGACCACCCCACCCCCATCCCAGCAGATGTTATTCTGGAATCAGTTCCTGTTCCTCGCTCTTCCCATCGTGCCCTGGAGACAGTGGCCACATGGAGATGGAGTGTCCTTCTGTCCCATCCTGCCCTTGAGCTTCTCTCCCCTCCCCCTCGCCTTCCCAATGAGAGCTGGGTGGTGATGTTCACCTTTCTGCCTGGAAAGAGCTGCCCGTAGCCCAGGCCTGTGCTAGGGCTGGCAGTGCCAGGAAGAGATGGAGGAGCTCCCTAGGGCCTCCTGGCCACAGGGCTGTCACCCATCACAGTCCAACCGGAGAGGGCACCGTGGGTGGTTCCCCGGAGCCCAGGGTGGGTGAGCAGGCAAACAGAGCTGTGGTGTACAAGGAACTGAGAAACCTTAATGTGACTTTACAAGGCTGGGAATGACGGAGCTGTGGCAGGATGCGCTTTTACTGTACCTTGTTTGGACACGTGATATTGATCTTGCTTTGAAAATCATGCCATCTTGACTTCTGGCCAACGGGTTCCAGCTAAACCAAGAAGCAGGAAGGGGGGAGGGGTGAGAAAGAGGTGGCAAGAATGGAAAGGTCGGGGCTGGAGGAGGGAGGGAGGGACAAAGAGGTGGGTCTGATATCGGTGCTGTGCCAGGACTCACAAAGCCCGAGTGATGGGCCTCTGAGGTCCCAGGAAAGCTCTCTGGGGTCTTTTCTCAGCAGAGGAAGGACATTTCCCCCCGAACTCGAACATCTTACCATGTTGTTCCAGAGAGCACTGCCCGAGTGGGCATGAGACTTCTTGCTGAAGTGGAAACAGTCTGGAGCGAAGAAAGAGCTGTCCGGCAGCCCCTCCTGGGCACAGGGCGGAGAAGAGGGGCTGTGTTAAGCGACGCTGGGAGCATGGATTATGCTCAGACACAGCGGGGCATGACCTGGGCCTCCCATTTCTCCACGGCGCGAGCTTTCTTTACCGGGGTCTTCGGCATGTCCACTCTTTCGAAGAACGGCTGCACAACCACCGTGAAGTCATCCCTCGTGTCGTAGCGCCCACCCTCAATCAACTGGTGCGTCCGCTCCTGCAGGAGGCAAACGGGAGGGGGTCAGGGCTCCCTGCACCCGTTCCGGCTTGGTGCAACCCTCTTCTCCGCCAGAGAAGGAAACAGAGTCTGGACTTGGAGTGAAATCGATCTCAACTGATCAGGAGTCCACTATTTTTTTTTTTTTAGATCAGCCTTTATCTCAACCTGTCCTCAGCCTATGTTGCCATTGCATACATTTGACCATGGAATGTAGGGGAAGACCCAAGTCCATCAGCTTGATCCTCTTGTAAAGCTCTTGGTTAAAATTTGGGGAGAGGGCCTGGCTGGTATGGCTCACTGGTTGAGTGTCAACCTATAAGACAGGAGGTCACGGTTCAATTCCTGCTCAGGGCACATCGCACGATCCCCAGTGTGGAGCGTACAGGAGGCAGCTGGTCAATGATTCTCTCTCATCATTGATGTTTCTATCTCTTTCTCCCTCTCCCCTTCTCTCTGGAATAGATAATATATATATATATATATATATATATATATATATATATATATATATATATAATTAAAATTTGGAGAGGGGTACATATTTGATCAAATGACTTGTTGGGATAACCCTTACATTTACTTTATTTCTGTCCTACATTTGTTCAGAAAATCCAAGGTGAGTCCACGCCATTGAATGCCTATTTCTATAGCATGGTGTGTGAGCACGGGGCTCCCGGCCTGCACACTCCTGTGAGCCGCTCAGGTCTGTCCAGGAAGGTGATGAAGCTGTTCCTCTCACAGCTTCCACTCGGGCTCTGTTCCAGGAGGACCAATTAACCCAGTTCTGGCTCTGCTCCTGCCAGACTGTCGTCTCCCTGCTTGCCAGGTGCTCACCATTCGGGGCCAAAACCCTGGCTGCGGGGGGAGGTCAGGTTAGCAAACCCAAGAACATTAGGGTGGTCACTTCAGAAGATACCATGCACTGTCTCTGTCCAGGGACAGCCAGAAAGAGGGCCCCTGTGCGGGGAATGCCTTAGTATGACCTCCCAGGGGAGTCTCCTGGATACAAGCCGAGACTAGAGTGAGGCAGAGGGTGCGTTGCCACTAGCTAGATGGTGGATTTCAGCAAGATGCTTTCCTTCTCCAGACCTCTATTTCCTCATCTGTAAGTGGAGGATGTTTGGCAAGACCTGGACCATCACTTAAGTCCTTTCCAATGCTACTGGTTACTCCATGGATCAACCACAATGGCTCACAATGGCACCATGCATCTTGAGAAATGAAAGAAACTGTCTAGAATGCCTGGCACCTGGTGGCACTAATAGCAATGATCGTCTCCAGGGGGAACCCATCGCTTTTGCTGGAAGTAGGAGGGAAAGGGTCCCGAGAGAGGGCCTCATGGCCTCAGGTGGCTGAGGTGTGAGTTCCTCCAGGACACTAAGTTAGAGTCTCAGTGGTAGCAAGGTCAGGCCTGGAACAGCTGGCTAATCTAGAAAGGTTGAAGGCAATTTGGTGAATCGTTCTTCTTTTTGTCTACCCAGCATCTGAACCCTCTCTTCTCTCTCTCTCTCTCTCTAAATATATATTTTTATTGATTTCAGAGAGAAAGGGGGAGAGAGAAACATCAATGATGAGAGAGAATCATCGATCACCCACCTCCTGCACGCCCCTTCCTGGGGATGCAGCCCACAACCTGGCCATGTGCCCTGACAGGAATTGAACCATGACCTCCTGGTTCATAGGGTGACGTTCAACCACTGAGCCATGTCGGTCGGGCTGAACCCACTTTCTATGTCTGAGAAACTCCTCTGTTAGAGGGCAGCCTGCCACTAACTGTAGAAGGCGAGAAAGGGAAAAACTAGCTTCTCAACACCCTCACAACTAGGCAAGGGCTCGTGCCGAGGGTCCCCAATGGACACCCCCATTGGAGTCACACAAACTCCATCCTGCAGAGGGCAGCACCTGATCCAGTGGTGTCCATGGTGTCTCATGGACTAGTTCTTGGGCCTAATTTTGATTCTTAGGGCTTAGTCCCTAAAACCTCATGATTCTGGTGGGTTGGCCTCTGACCCTACCTTTCTAGCTCTTTCCAATATTTGGATGAAATGATAAATCTGATTCAATCAACCAGAATGGCACAAGCTTTTGTATCTTGAACCCAAGAACTCCACCTGGAACAGGTCTACTCTCATGGCCATCATCTCCACTGCCTTCCCTCTCCTGGTGCCGGCCTCGGAGACCAGGCGCCTGCTCACGGAGAGGGCGGTGCAGAGGGCAGTCACCCAGAGGGCTGGGCGATGGTGTCAGAGCCTGGTAGAGATCCTTCTCCTGAGCCCTGACACCCCTGGCAGGTGGTGTTCTCCCGAAAGGGTCTGCAGAGAAGTGGTTCTACTCTAAGGAGACCTTGGACTTGAAGGATGAACCCACTCTGGACGATGTTTGCAGGCTGGGAGTGACCGGACAATTAATTTGGGGGAAAGACAAAATAGAGTCAGGGGAGTCCGCTGCTCTGGTCAAAGTTTTGATGGAGAAAGGCTGGGCATGAACAACCCATAGGATGTCTGAAGGCCACCTGCTGACTTTCTTTCTCCTCGTGCTCCCCAGTAACACTCATTCCTCAGGAGGGGAGGACAAGGGGAATGCATGTTCTCTCACGGAATCCTTCAGACTCCATTGGGTGGAAATAGTTTCCTACTGGGAGTCAGAGGCTCCTACCCATTCTGCACGGACAACTGGAAATAACTGAGACTTGGTGATGTATGTTCAGTTACGTGACTCTATAGCTGATAAAGTAAATGAAACCACAGTCGTCCCCCCACCCCCACCCCCGTCTTGCAGGATGTCTTTCAATATGCAAACTGGTCAGAGGTAACCTCACACCCGGTTGGGATCACAATAACTTTGGCACAATCTCTTTCCAACCTGAGCAACCAAATCCACAGCAGCCCAGGACCCTTGCCCGCCTCACCTGATACTTCTTGTTTATTTCGATGAGGGTGGCAACCTCTGTTGAGTTATCATCATACTTCAGGACACAAGGACACAGATTCCTGCAGAGCAAATAGAAGAGGTGTCCCACCCCACCAAGTCAAGGTCTGAGTGCATGGTGCAGAAATGCTGGCCTGAGATTCGGAATCTGTTCAGCTTGGAGGTATCAGGAGTCTGTGCTAACGGACTGGCTAACCTGTCCGGTGTACCAGATGGAACTGAGAAAATCTCCCAGACCTGGATTTGCTCGTGAAGATGAGACAGTCACTTCTGAGATCTGCAGGTGTGATTTTTACGGAGTGGAGTTGCCTCATGACTGCCTGAGGACAGTGCAGCACGGGAAAGGAACACCTCCTTTTCAATAGCAATAGTGATACTGATAATAATAATGGCTAACGCATATTGAATAGCTACTGTGCCAAGAGTCTTCTGGGTATTAACCTGTTCAGTTCTCTTTAGCTATTCTAGAAGTCGTATTATCATTACCCCCATTTTATAGTGTAAAAAACTGAGGCTCAGTGTGGTGATTTTTCTCAAGGTCACATGGATGTAAAGGGTAGGAGCTAGGACTTGAACTCTAGTCTGTCTGGTCTGAACCTGAGCTCCTAATTCCTGGTGAAACTGCCTCTGTCCAGTCTGCAGCTCTGATCTGGGCTTTTTGTCCAAGGGGATAAGATGATACTAGTGTGGGGAGCTCAGTCTAGACTAAGCACCCCCTGCTGAGACCGAGCAGCAGAGAAGGCAGAGCACTGGACAGGTGGCAGGACAAGGTGACCTTGAACCTGTCTAACCCACAGTCTGTGACTTGGCCATCAGATTTGAAAACGAACCTGGCAAATGCAATGCTCTGAACCTTGAGCTTTAATTGTCTGAAAACCCTGCCCATGATTGGCAGCAAGAGGCTCTTGGGTGAGCTGCTCTGAAACGGAATGAAAACACTGAACCCCACGTGGCCCGGGGACTGGAGAAAGTGGGAGCCAGCGGATGCGTCAGTAGCTAAAAATAGCATGCCTGACACCGGCTGTGTTAATAGGCGTGTGTCATCCGGCAGCTGCCCCCCTGATCTCAGCTCCCTCAGGCCTCCTGGGGGGACCTGTGCAGTCTGGGCCCCGAGGTGAGGTTTGGCATGGATCTTCAGGGGACCAGTCAAGTATCCCTTCATTTCAACGAGCTAATCTGGCGCTTTTGAATTATTCATTCAGCCCTTCAGCCGAGAGCCGCTGAGCCCCCGTGCTGGCAGTGACTCAGACATAGAGTTCAGGGCTGTGGGGGAGAGGCACATGAATAAATACCATGTGATATGCTGGGGGAGAGGGGGAGGCGCTACAGAGCTGGGGGCAGCGGGGGGATGGGCAGAGCCACCATGACCTCAGCGGATGGTCCAGAGGAGGCCTTGTGCTGGGGCTAGAAGGACATCTTGTTCCTGAGGGTCATGCAGACATGGGATACCAGAGAGGGCACCCCCTCTTTTGGCTTCCTAGGAGCAGGGCGGCTGTTCTCCGGGGAAGACTCTGTCCTCTGGGCCCTCTTGGTTCTGATTGGAGCACCTGCTTTTCCATCGACTGACAACAGCCCTACGTTTGTGAGCACCCAGCCCGGAACTCCATGCCAGACAGAGGCTCCCTCTGTCCTAGAGATGGGCCCTGGGAGGAGGAGCTCTGCATACACTGAAAAGTAGGTCCACCCAGGCCCCCATGACTCACGCTCAACTCTTCCCTCCCTGGCCGATGGAGGCTGTCCTGAGCTGCCGTGAGAGCAGAAGCATGTTAGGTTGCAAATGCATATTCCAAGGGTAGCTGAGGTCATAAGAGTCTCCTCCATTAGACTTTGTCAGGCTAGAAAATGGAGCGGTCCTGGCACTGCTCACACTCTGCCTTGGGCTTTCCTAACTCATCAGAGTAACTTTCTGCTCAGGGTGCTATGTCCCTGGCAGGAGCAGGAGCTTACCTGAGGATCAGCCGTGGGCAGGAGACTTTCTTCTCTTGGTACAGCTCCCTCAGGTTGACGATCTGCATAGCCTTTACCAGGTTTACAAACGCCCGAGGGACCTGAGCAAAGGCAAGACCAGTCCCTGAGAGGCTGGAGGCTGGGCAGCCCCCCTGTTGGCTGTCAGGTCCATGGCCTTCCATCTATCCCCATCCACTTCCTGCATCACCGCCTCTCCCTGCCTCTCCCTCCTCCTCCCCATCGACATCCATGTGTTCAGGCTGCTGGGACCAGGACAGTCAGCATGGTCATTCTGGTCTCCAGGTCAAGGCACCAGGAAAAGGCACCTCAGCCAGAAGCCAGAGCCGCCTCCAGGCTGGTCTGAGGCCTGAGGAGAACTGTGGTTGAGCTGCTCAGAGGCCCCGTGACCTGGCCCCGGTACCTCGGCGTGGAGGATGTCCAGAGCCTTCCCAATGTTGTCCGTGAAGTTCTGGGGGGAGTAGCGGGCCTGCAAGAAGAGGAAGCATCTCAGACCATTCGTCACCCAATCTCTACGCAGACCAGGCGGCTTCTTCTCTTGGGTTCCCTCCTTCCTATATTTCAGCCAGATTGGGCACCACTGAAGCATAGGTTTGCATTGGGGTCCCAAGCCTCCATACCAACCCTACAGCCCTCAGGCTTTTCATGGCTGTGACCCCTTTCTTCTGCAGGGGAAGCACCCTTTCTCCTCCATGAAGCGATGGAAAGCTCTGGATCCACATCCTATCAACTCGATGCAGGGCCTTAGCTAAGCCACAGCCCATCTCTGGGTCCCTCTATAATGGGTGTTGGAGCAGAGGACCCCTAAGAGCTCCTGCAGCTTGAACATCCTCTGGTCCTCTGCCTTGACCTCTTCTGCTGAGGCAGGGGTGGGGGAGGTCCGTTCTGGGGGCCATCTAAGGCCCGAGAAATCATTTGGTCTGGCCCTGCCGAGGCATGAGGGATGAGTTAATGAAATGTTTGAACAAATAGAGCAGGCCAGTTTTTAAGTTGCTAATTCTGTATGGCCTGCCAATGATCTGTTATAAATATTCAGATGGCTCTTGGCAGAGAAAAGATTCCCTACCCGGCCTCACGTGCCAGGGAATCCACAGCCCAACCAAGTCACTCCATGAGATAATGGAGGGCAAGAGGGTCCTGTGAACCCCTCTCCCAGGCATAAACATACTTGAATGGCCATTTCTCTTGATTTCGGTGTGGTCCTTACACTTTTTTAAAGCAGTGGCATCCTTTCTGAATGAAGTCTAATCAAAAGCCTTGCTCTACCAAACTAATCAGAGTTGTGGCAAAGTGGTGGAGGGCCCATGATTCCACCTCCCCAACGGCCCCAGAGCCCCAGGGCTCCGCTGTGGGCCCCTTACATCATAGCTTGAAAAAGCCAAATGCTGGGACTTCGATGCCAGAAAAGGAGGGGCCTGGGAGCAGGGTCGCCCCTTAGGGCCACAGCAAGACTCACCACTTCCTAAATTTTGCTCAGCTTCCTAAATTTCTGCCTGACAAATGTCCTAGCCTTCAGTGCCAGCTGGGAAGTCTCCTAATTCTGTATAAACTCTGACACTCCTCCCACCCCATGCCAAATTCCCAAGTTCCCAGGGCAATTCCTTCTTCAGTGTATCACCAGACCCACACATGGGGTTTTCTCAGTTGTGTTATGGTGAATTGCCTGTGTCATCCTCCCCTGACAGTGGGAGTTTCTTGAGGACAGAGACTGTGTTTTCACTCGTTTGTTTAGCTCCTAGTACCATGCCTGGCGTATAATACGTGCCCGGCAAACGATACTAGAAATAAAATTTAAAAAAGTCCTGTTTATCAGAAAACATGTAAACAAAGCTAAATGGAAGATAACAAATAGGCAATGTATTTGAAAAAGAGTTAGTATACTTGACATAAGGGGTTTTTGTAAATTAATAAAGAAAGATAAATGCCTTAATAGGAAATGGCCAAAGGGCATAATGTAGAATTTATCAAAAGGAGAGATTCAAACAAAGGAAATAAAAATGTATTCTCACCTAGAAAGTAAATAAATGCAAAATTTGAAAATAATACATTTTTTTCATTGATCAGATTAGCAAGTTATTAAATAACATACATTGCCAGTTGGAATAGGGAGAAATAGGCATAATTGGTATAAACATTCTGGGAGCCATTTGGCAATATGTACACAAAGCTTTAAAAATATGCGGAGTCACCCCCAAATGAGATAGATGGACAGATATGTTAATGTGGCATAGTATTAAGAACCTTAAAATCTCTATGGTAGGCATATGGGCACTTACTGCACCAGTCTTTCAGCCTTTCAATATGTTTGGAAATTTTTCATAATAAAACATGGGGGGGGGGAGAAATATATATATCTTTTTGCTTAGAGAGCTTACTACTCAGAATATATACCAGGAAATAGTTCTGGATGTACATAAAGGTGGTTGCTTATCCTGGTGTTTTATATAATAGGCCTAATCAGAAGTAATATAGGCTAAGTACTCAATTATGGCCAATCTATATGATGGGCTACTATACAGCAACTAAGAATTAAATATTGATATAGGAATATCTTCCCAATGTGTTGCTATTGAAAAAAAAAAAAGAAAGCAGGTTACCAAACAATATTTTCAGGTAGATACTAGTTTTAGAAAATAAGAAATCATTTTCTCCATGGTTACAGAAAATGCTAGGCACATATCAAAATGTTAGCAACAGCATTTCTGGATGTTGTAAATATGGTACAGAGAACATTATTTTCTCTGGGCTTTGATATGATTTCTGTGTGTATTACTTACACAATAAAAAAAAAAAAACCTACTTAAAAGAAAGTCAGCTGAATTGAGTATAGAAGAGGCGTGCCCAGCATAGATATCACCATTGGCATGTATATCACCAAGTAGATTCGGGCTTAACACAAAGCAATTTACACCGACTCCAAATACTACTTAGGGCTGCCTTACAAGTTCAAGAGCTGCCCATCACTGGAAATGTTCAACCACTGGATTCTGCGGAAGGCGTTTTTGTTGTGGGTGGAGACTGGTGAGGATGGCTGTGGGTTTCTTCCAGCTCAGAGAACCTGGGATTCCAGGAAGAGGCACCGAACCCACAGGGCAGCCGCCTGGCTCCTGGGCTTCCCATCAGCCCGGAATGACTGGGCTCTGGACTTTGCCCAAGTGCCTGCATTAGGAAATCAACTTTCCCATACAACTGATGGCACAAAGGCAGAGAAGCGAGGCCGCTCAGCCCAGGAGAAAGGAGCTGACTTACAAAGAGATGCCAGGTTTGGGGAGCACTGGAATGTTATCTTGGTTTCTAGAATGATAGGATCAGGCCTCCTCCACAGAAACCTAATCAGGATTGATGGATTGATCTCACTGGCAGTGCTGCTCGTCCTGCTAAAATCTCATCCTGGAGGTCAATGCCCACTTGGTCTTGAGATTACTCCCAGGTTGGATCCATGCCAAACCACAAGCCCCAAGTCCCAACCCAACAGCACTGCTCCAGGCACCTGGGGTGAAATCCGTCCCTGGGGGGAGGGGGCTTGTGTGTGTCTTGAGTTAAGGGCCTGGGACCTACCAGATCATTGCAGTGATCACAGAGGTCATTGCCTCCTATAAACACGGTGATAATCTTCCAATCTTCCTCAAAATTTATCCTCTGAAATGAATAAAAAACAAACAAGTAAATGCCTTACCCCAGAGTCAAATCAAGGAAAATGCAAAGTGCTGAATACTCTTAGGGGAGGGTCCTCACACACCACAGGGTTTAGAGGACACTGATGTTTCCTGTTCATTGGTTTGGGGGCCCTGAGGTCATAGTCACAGGTCATAGTTTCTAAGTCATTGTTTTTTGTTTTGTTTTGTTTTTTTTTTGTTGTTTTCAAAAGGTGGACTTTCTGGACTTCCACATGGCCCTGTCCTCCCCCTAAGCTGACTCTCTCTGTCTCCATGGATTTCTCCCATCCAATCCCTGCTCTGGGGAGTCTGACCTCAAGTGGCCCCAGGTGGCTCCTCCCCGAGACTTACCGTGTCATTCTTCATCAGGCCCACCAGCCTCCTGGCCTGAGCAGGCAGATCCCTGTGGGCAGACCCAGGAAGAAGTCATGTGAGGAGCTGGGACTGTGAAGCTGGGCTGGGAGGGGACTCAGCAGAGGACAGGAACAAAATAAACAGCAGGGAAGTTGGACTGAAGGCCATGCCATCTCAGAGCTGGGGGTGGGAGTGGGGCGTCATGTCTACGGATGAGCAGAACACTCCACGGTGAGGCAGTGACCGCTGGAGGACTTGTTTCCTGACTGGACTACACACTTTCTGTCCCAGTCATGCTCACTCAGGGCACATGGAGGCTGCATGTGAGTGTTTGGTGTCATGCATGGCTCCTGCCGTGACCTCAGCCTCAAAGGGCCCTCACTCTCAAGGTGACATAGCTGAGCCAGACACACGTAGGTTTGACATTTAGTTACCTCTTGCTAACTGTGGGAATGTGATTTATGTACTTAGTAAAACAAAAGCAAAAAAACACACACAAAAACCTGCAAACATGGAGATAAATCCCCAATCTTAGAGGGTTATTGGGAGCAGTAAGTGAGATGGTCAAATCTGACCCATGGAGGAAGAGCCCTTATGAGCGCCAGGCAGCATGGGTTTGAGTGCTGGTCCCACCACTGGCCAGCTCAGAGACCTTGGCTAGAACTTACCCTTGCCCACTCTCAGTTCTTGCCTTTGTAAGGCAGGGATGGTAAGCATACCTTCTTCACAGAGCCACTGGGCAGATTAAATACGGTGCCCATAAAGAACTCAGAACAGCCCTAACTGGTGTGGCTCAGTAGATAGAGTGTTGGCCTGAAGACTCAAGGGTCCCAGGTTCAATTCCAGTCAAGAGCATGTACCTTGGTTGCAGGCACATCCCCACTGGGGAGTGTGCAGGAGGCAGCTGATCCATGTTTCTCTCTCATCATGTTTCTAACTCTCTATCCTTCTCCCTTCCTCTCTGTAAAGAAATCAATAAAATATAAAAAAACAACAACAAAACTTCAGAATAGCACATGGTGAGTGTCCATATTATAAACCATCCACTGAAATATTTGTACCATCATTGTCACCATCATTACCAGTAAAGTCCCTGGCACAGTGCCCTGCAGGAAACACGAGCAGTCTTCCTCCTCCTCTCAGCTGCTAGCCCAACTGGCCTGGTCTTAGTCACTATCAACCGGGTACCAGTCAGCCTGGGCAGGAATTCTGGGTAAGCCATGCAACCTCGTGGTGGCCTGATTTCCTCATCTGTACGTCTGAAATTATCAGTTGTGGGGCTAGAGTTTGGGGTGACTCATTGGCCTCTCTGAGCCTCAGTATCATCATTAAGAAAACATGGGTATCTGACCCTCTGCTTTGTCCAACTCACAGTTACTGTGCAGAACACAAAGACTAACAGAAACAGAGGCACTGTGTAACTTGTGCTCTGCTATACCGGTGTAAGGGGTGATGATCAAACCTCGGATAACACTGCAGGCACGAAGCCACCAGGCCATGTCATCGAGTTGATGCATCTTTCCAGGCCACTTGGCCTCTTTGTGCTCCCATTTCTGTGATACAGGGATAATCATCTCTCACTCTTCCCTGCAACTCAGGGTGTGCTTGGGCAAATGGATTACTTGCATGAAAGAGCCCCAAGGACCCTGGGGCTAAGGTTTCATTCTAGGGTGCCTTCCTGACATGGGCATGTGAAGTTCAGAGCCCAACAAGCATGTCTGAGGAAGGGACCGAGAAGAGGGTGTAAAATATGAATAAATTAATAAAAACGGAATCTCTGGTCACATGAGATTCACAGAGGAGAAAAGGAACTTGCTCAAAGCATATACCTGGCATCGGGGTCAATTGTGACGAGTCCCTGGGGTGGAGTTGGAGGCAGGCTAGCAGCTTTCTGTGTCCCACAGCAAGGGATACCCAGGAGAGCCCATCTCGTCCCTCAGACCCTCCCCCTGGACCAGCCTCTTCGGCTGTCATATATCCTAGTCTAGGCCACGCCCCCAACTAGGTCCCCAGAGACCTTGCATTCATCCCCGGGCTCCCCTGCTCACCCAGAGACGGCTCCAGCCACAGCCTGGTTTAGGAAGGCTCCGGGGCTGTTTTCTTTCCCAGTGCCAACGGAAAAGCCCGTCAGGTTCGGGTTGAATTCCCGGAGGATGTCTGGAAATACAAGGAAGAGTCATGCTCAGGAGTCTCCTGCCCCTCCCCCAAACAATGTTCAAATTCCTCTACTAAGCGCCATTGGTATTCAGGGCCAAGCAGAGCCTGGGCAGCACACCCAGCCACTTAATGAATGATTGCTGAATAAACGTGAGTCTGAGTAGTGCTTCTCCCATGCATTTCCCTCCCCTCCCCCAAGTGTATAACTTTATTAGGATAATGCGCACACCATTTCAAAGTATGCAGTTCAATAGCGTTAGTGCAATTGTGCGTCCATTACCACAGTCAACCTGAGCCCATTTCCATCACCCCCAAGAGAACCCTGTACCCATCACCCCAAAGTGAAACCCTCCATTCCCTCCAGTCACTCACTCTCCGTTCCCTCCAACCCATTAATCTATTTTCCTGTATACAAATATAGGCTGCCATTCATCTATTTTCTCTCTATATAAATGTCCTTATTCAGGACATTTCATATGAAAGAAATCATACAACACAATAGGTCTTTTGTGGCTGGCTTCTTTCATTTAGTATAGTGCTTCCAATGTTCACCCACGATACAGCAGATGTTAACACCTCATTCCTTTCTATGGCCAAATAATATCCCCGTGTACAGACAGGCCACATTTTCCTTGTTCATCCATCAGCTGAAGGACCCCTGGATATTTCCACCTTTTTGGCCATCACAAATAATGCAGCTGTAAACATTTGTGTACAAGTTTCGCCTGGATTTTTCTTGGGTGCATACTTGGGAGTAGAATGGCTGGGTATCTATTTAATCTTTTGAAAAACTCACAGAGTTTTTTCCAATGATGTTGTACCATTGTATGTTCCATTGGCATCGTATGAGGGTTTCAGTTTCTGCACAACCTCACGAATACTTATTATTATTTGCTGTGTTTTTATTATAGCCATTCTAGTGGCTGTGAAATGATGTGGTTTGATTCTCATTGACTGTCACTGATATCGAGTATCTTTTCAGATGCGTATTAGCCATGTGTATATCTCTTTTTGAGAAATGTTGATTCAAATCCTTTGCCCAGTTTTTTAAAATTGCAGTAAAACTAACATAAAATTTACCATCTTAACCATTTTTAAGTGTACAGTTCAATAATATTAAAATATTATGAGAACATGAGAAGAAAAAGAGACCTCCGGCCAAATCTTAGTGCCTTTGAACACTATGGATGTTGCCTTTGCCCATTTTTAATTGGGTTGTCTTTTTATTGCTGAGTTATACGAGTTCTTTATATTTTCTAGACACAGTTTCTTATCAAATGTATAACTTGCAAATATTTTATTCCACTCTTTGGGTTGTCTTTTACTTTCTTTGGGCTTTTTCCTTTGAAACACAAATGTGTTTAACTTTTGTCCAATATATTTATTTATTTTTTCTTTTTTGTCACTTGTGTTTTTGGTGCCATACCTAAAAAGGCATTGTTTAAACTAGAGTATGAAGATTTGCTCCTCTATCTTTTTCTAAGAGTTAATTTTAGGTCTTACATTTAGATCTGTATTTCATTTTGAGTTGACTTTTGTGTATGGTGTGTGGTAGGGGTCTCACTTCATCCTTTGCATGTGGCTGTCCAGTTGCCCCAGTACCATTTATTGCAAGGACTACCCCCCCCCCCCAATTGAATGGTCTTCGCATGGGCTAAGTGTATAAAGAAAGTCCACCTGAGGGGTGACATAGTCTCAATCCTTTGTCAGTCACTTTGGTGAAAGCTCGTGGGCCTGTTGATTTTCAATTATGTTTTCCATGATAACAGCGTGGGAATCAGAGAGCCCAGCAAGCTATTGTATAGGCTGGGCCAGCTCAGAGCCAGTCAATCACACTTGCAAAAGCAACCCAAAGCATCTCCTAGCAATAGGGAGGTTATTTATAGCTCTCGTGTGTAAATCTAGAAATAAAGAAGACAGGGAGTCCTTGTGCCATAGGACTGTACCTTGCTTAAATTCAACAGGATTTATAAATAGCAGAAACAGATAACCAATGTGAAGCGCAATCAGCTCTGCCTATGTGGAGATGAAGCAATCCCAAAATTCGTAGTGACTTAGAGCTCCAATAACTTCCTAGCTGTTAAAGATAAATGACAAAGGCCTATATTACAGGAAGAGTAAATGAGAACGGGACCGAGGGAATTCCTCTCAGGTATAATTATTAGCTATAGATTTTAAGGGGGGAGGGGAGATTCATTTTTAACATTTATTGCAGGTATCCTTAAGAACCAGCATGGTGATGTGCACCCACAAAGGGGAATAAAAAGATGAGTAAGGCAAGGTTTTCAGAGAACCTAGTCAGGCTTGAACACATCATTGCAAGCAGGCTGTGGGTGAAATAATTGAAAGAAAACGTCAAGCTCCAAAGGCGACTGTGTTCGCTTCAGTACGCGTTTCCTAAAGCAGCACCCGGGAATTCAAGGCCTGCATGTGGTGCCTAATGCAGCCCAAGCCTCCATCAATGCTGGGCACAAAGGTGAGGTGCTCTGCTCTTTGGATAGGCCATAGCAGAGATGGGTTTCCTTTCCTTCCTTCTTGAATCATTTCTTCATAATGACTTGCACTAAGATTTGGCCTGAGGTCTCTTTTTTTCCTCTCGCGTTCTCTTCCTTGGACAAATACAATTTCTCAAAAGAAAAGAAAAACCGCCTCCCAACTTTTATCACTCTCCAGAAGCAAAGCAGGGCGACCGCAACGGCGAAGCAGCGCCCCCTGTGGAATGCGGCTGCCTCCTGCCACCTGGTCCCCTGCTAGGCCCGCGGTCGCCACCAGGGGGCGCGAAAGACACACGCAGGGTGACTGCAAACCCGCCTAAATCCCCCAGGGAGGGAGCGAGTACTCACTGGCCAGGGTGATGACGCTGCTGACGTTCCCGTCTCCGCCCACGCTGTGTTGTGGGAATAAAAAAAAGAAAAAAGAAAAAAAAAGAATAAAAAAGAAAATGAAGATTAGAAAACCCAGCGATGCCAAAACACCCCAGACGCTAGCAAGACAGACCTCTCACCTTTTGAGAAACACCCAGGGGGCTTGGAGCCTGTCTTTCATTTATGATTTCAGTAAAAACAACAACAACAACAAAAACCACAAAAAAACTTTGAAAAACAAACCAGAATACAGCAACGCCTCTCCCCTCTCCCTTGCAAAAGTGAACATCTAAGCAAGAAACAGTCATGGCTGACTTTGCACATTTTAACTTTGAATGTTGACACTGGGGCAGGGATCCAAGTGGATCCTCTCTTCCCCAGCTCTCCTCCTGCCCCCTGGCCACAGGCTGGGCGTGGCTGTTACTGAGAACACAGTGAGAGGGTGTGCCCTCCACGTTCTCCTCCCCTTGGGCTTGGGCAAACCCGCTTTCTGAGGTGTCTGAATCGAGAGAGCACCAGCTCCCAAGCACTTCTAACATTCTGGGGATGTAAACGTTTCTAGGCATGAAAACATGCACCATTCCGGAGCTTATGGGGTTCCCTGCTTTCCATAGTCCTTCTTCCTCTGCCAACACGCCTGGGAACTTGTAAAAGACTCTCCAAGTGGGTGGGGCTTAACGAGCCAGGGACGATGCCAGGGACTCAACACCAGCTGGTGCCAGGGAGGCCGGATTCCAGGCTGAGCAACCCCCAGGCCTGTGCTCGCCTGGGTTCAAGTCGGGGCAGGAACAAGCCCGCAGGAAGCATCGGGCAATGGGGGAAGCCGCCGTGTGAGGTGTCCACAAGCCTCCACACTATTTCTTGGCCTTTGACCACCTGGCTGTGTGATCTGGGACAGGTCACTTGTCTTCGCTGAGCGTTCCTCACCTGTCCACCGGAAGCCCTTTCGTAAGGATGCCAGCTACCATTTATACCTACGTTGTGCCAGGCACGGCGCCGGGGAGCTTCGGTTTTAACCCCCACGACAGTGCTCGCACAATATTATCAAAGATGAGGGGACGAGCTCAGAGAGGGTAGGTCAATTGCCCAAGTTGCACAGAGCTGGGCAGCCAGGGTTCCAGACACACTCTTGGCTACAAAGACCACTGCCTCTGCCTGAGATCTGTTCCCACGGGGAGAAGTGGAAGCTGGAGAAGCTCTTCCACCCCAAACGTTTCCTTAGTGTCTCCCCCAGACGCCCCCTCCTGGTCCTAGGCCCTGCTTTGGGAAGTGCAGTGGTTAGGGAAAGCTGATGAATACCTTCCTCGAATTCAACCCAGAAGTTTCGCACGAAAAGTACGAGACGTCGCATCCCTCTGTGGGAGGGATGGCTTTCTACGCTGCCCAGGGCTCCTCCTGACACTGGGGCAGGGATCCAAGTGGGTCTCGGGGGGCGGCCACACCTCACTCACCTCCAGGACAGGCCTCGGTACTGCGTAAACACGTCCAGGATGTTCCCGGGCGTGGACCCGGCCCCGTTGCCTGCCTGAAGGGAGCAACACTGTGGTGAGTGTCCCTGTCCGCTGGCCAGAGGCCCGCACCTTGCTCTGCTCAGGACGCCTGGGTGCTCTCTCGAACCCAGAGTCCGGACAACTCCTGTCTCAGAGCTGAGCGGCCACTCTTGCTGGGACCCCGGGCCGTCCACCGTTCGACGCACCCCGAGCAGCCCTGCCCGGGCCAAACAGGTGTCCCTGGGTCTAGCCAGAGGCTCGAGGATGAGGCCGCACGTCCACGTCCCAAAAGGACACACGTCGGGGCCTGTTTTCTTCATTTAAAAAGGTTGTGAGATCTGGCGTGAAGGAAACACATCACCATTCTTCTATATGGCGGTGCCTCACGCAGATGGCTGAAAAGTGGCCATCAAGTGAGAGGCTGCATGCCTACCCCTCTGCTGAGGGAAGAGCTGGGTCTTTTACCACCACCATGGTGACCCTCTCGGCAGACGTCCCTCGCCTAAAGCTGCTGCTTCTGAGCAAGGCCATGCCCAAAGGCACACGGAAGGCTCCCCAGCAGCCTGGGAAGGAGGGCAGGCCTCCAGGAGAGCGCCTGCCCCCCCGCCCCCCCCAGTGGTCCCTGCTCTGGTGCCCAAGTCCTCTGCCGCTGCAGGTTATGTGGCCCTCAGTGCGGCCTCTCCAGGGAATCCCAAACAGGCTGGGATTCCTGGGGACTCCTTCTTCCCAGAGCTGTGGTCGGCAAACCGAGGCTCACGAGCCACATGCGGCTCTTTGGCCCCTTGAGTGTGGCTCTTCCACAAAATACCACAGCTTGGGCCAGTCTATTTTGAAGAAGTGACGATAGAAGAAGTTTAAGTTTAAAAAATGTGACTCTCCAAAGAAATTTCAATCGTTGTCCTGTTGCTATTTGGCTCTGTGGACTAATGAGTTTGCCGACCACTGTCCCAGAGCCTCTTCAAGGAGCCATGGGGGGTGGGGGTGACACCAGGCCACACCTGGCCCGTGGAGATGGGGTAAGCAGTGCTGAGAACCAGCCTGCCCATTCTTCCTGAGGGCTATTAGCCGTAGGCCACTGGGGTGAAGGGCCACTGAGGGGTCAGGAGGAGACTGTCCTGGGATGGGGTCCGGCTCTGCCCAGCACTCACGAGCCAAGTGGCTGGGGTCACTGACAGCCTCACCCAGCGTTGCAGTCTTCATCGGTTGAGTTTAAGGAGAGGCAGACTTCAGGGGGTTTTGTGGAAGAGATTGAGTGAGATAATATCACTGTGAACAGGCCACAGGCAGGGAAGGTGCCCGCTGGCCTTTGGGGGTCACTCGGCTGGACCAGCTGCTGGCCACGCGGTAATGAGCTGCTACTGAGTAGAAGCGTCTGTAGGGGAACCTCAGGGACCCCCCACGCAGGCTCTCAGAGAACCTGCGCTGGCTTTCAGGGACAGCTCTTTGTAGGGCCTGGGAGTCGCGGGGAGAAGCTGCAGAGAGGTATCTGTCTTCCCCTGACCCGTTTCCTCACCCCCAGGCCCCCCATCAGACTGCTCCTGTCTCATCATCTCTCTGCCCCTCCCTCAGCTTTGCCACATGGACAGACAAAGCCCCAGGTCTGAGGGACTGCCGTTCTGCGGGTGGGGGACCCGGTCCAGTTTCGTTGTGCGACCTGTGCTGGGTCACTTCTGCCCCAGATGCTCCCTCTGGGATCCCCCGACTTCCTGCTCTCTCCTTCATCCCAGTGTAGGAAGAAGAATGAATGGGGAGTGCAGAGTATAGGGGGAAAACCAGATGGGCAAGGAACGCCGGGCTCCAGGGAGCACAGGGATGAAGAGGGACTGGCGATCCGGACCTGAGATGGCAACACTTGAGAGCCAGGGGTGAGGCTTTCTCTCCCAGTCGCCCCATGACCCCAGGCCAGGCCCTTCCTGCTCCTCCCCATTCCCTCCACAGTCAGGGTCACTCACCGTGAGGGAGTCGCCCAGGGCTGCGATCACCTTGATGTCTGAGGGCTTCAGCCTGTGAACTGAGAACCAAGTGGGAGTGAATGGAAGATCGGGGTTCCTGCCTCCCAGGAACGTGGGGCGCAAGTCTGCTTTCCACAGCAGTTCAGCTCGGACAGAGAGTCCGGGCCCGTCCTTGCCTGGAGGGTCAGCAACAGCAGGTCCTTTGGGGGCACCTGGACACAGGGCGCGGGGCTGAAGGTGGCCCCGCTTGCAGGGGGCAGTCTGCTGACTTTTGAGGAAACCTGAGGCCACAGGTGAGCATCATCCTCAGGGCACAAAGTGGCCCCAGACATGGGGACGAGGGAAGGAACTCTGGTGGACTCACGGCCAACACAGACTCTATTCTAGGATCTGGTCACATTCAGGGCAAAGACTCCTATCATCCTGCTAAAAATAGTAGCTCAGCTTCTCTACAGTGAAGAGGGGAAATGCTTTCATACCGCCATTTTCTAAAATTGAGGTGAGATTCTTACAACATAAAATCAACCACTTTAGTCAACAATTCAGCGGCATTTAGTGCTACTGTCACAGTGGTGCTCAACTACCACCTCTATCGCATTCCCAAACATTTTCCTCTCAAAGGAGACCTGGCCCCTTCACAGTCACTCCCCAACGCTCCTTCCCCCCAGCTCCTGGCAACCACTAGCCTGCTTTCTGTCTTTGGATTTGCTTCTTGAGGACATTTCCTACAAATGGCATCATAAGATTGCAGCCATATGTGTCTGGTCCTTTCACTTTGCATGTTCTCAGGGTTTGCCCATGTTATAGCATGTGTCAGTGCCTCGTTCCTTTTCATGGCTGAATAATATTCTATTGCATGGACACACCATATTTTTTTTGTCCATCTGTCCATCATTTGAAGGACTTACATTTGGGTTTGTTTTCACCTTCTGGTGATTGTAAACAGTGCTGCTATGAACATTCATGTACAAGTGTCTTTATGAAAGCCTGTTCTCCATTATTTTGGATATATATCTAGGAGTGGAATTGGTGGGTTATATGATACCATGGTTTTTTGAAGAACCACCCAACTGGTTTCCACAGCCTGACTCTATGTTTCATCTCTTGGGTTGCACATACTGTGCTGTGGCTAAGCAGCTACCTACTCACACAACAGACATATTCAACACCACACTGTGGCTGGGAGCCCTGAGACTACACAGTGATCAGAAAAGTTAGGTGGCCTCAAGAACCTCATGGGCTGAGGAGGAAATGGGAAACAGCCATGGTTACAATAACTGATAGGCTGGTAAATATAATAACTGAGAGCTATGAAGTGATAGGAAGTGCTGGAGCTGAAGGAGGATTGACCCCTAGGGGTGTTATGGGTGGTTCTGAGCAGGCTTCATGGAGAAAGTGGTATTTGAACTAAGCCTCAGGACATTATGAGATGAGATGGAGAGAGAGCCAGGCAGGCGATGGAAAGCATACAGGACGGTATGGTATGGTATGGTATGGCCTGGGATGCCTATGAAGAACAGATAGTCGTACGGTTTGGTTAAGGGATGGGTATGGAAGACTAACAAAAATAATGTTGGAAAGTAGATTAGGGCCACAGGCCTTTTATGCCTGCAAACATGAATTTTGCTAACCAGGGTTCATATGGGAAGTATGATAATTAATATGTAATAGTACAAAAGTAAATTCTGTATTTTGCACACTCACACCTGTAGACCTACTTATGCCCTACCTTGTATATATACAGACTAACTTGCATGGGTATACCTGCCACTATATTTATCTACCCCTTCACCTTATACACGTAGGAATGCGAGTCCAAGTGCATGTTGGGAACCACACCTAAGATTCTTTCTGCCTTGTGTAGCTCTGTCCTTTCAGATCACAAGCCTCACCTCCTCCTACCTCCGATATCTCCCGTTCCCCTAGAGTGCCCTGTCCCACAGTCATGCTGACTTTGCCATAGCTCCACATTCCTCTTAGATGAGCCTCCTCCTCATCTCTGGTAGTGCAAGGCGAGCTACATCGTCAAACAGCCTTCAGGCTTTCGGAGAAGTCTAACAGCATTTGTGCCAGGGAGGGGCCCAGTCCCCGAGGGAAGAAGCCCATCCTTTCAGCAGCCATTGCTTAAAACGGATGAACCGAAACACGTGTGCAGGGAGGCTTTCTCGACAGCTCTTCTTTGACAGGCCACTTTATAAATACACAGTGACACCCAGGGAAAAGATGCTTTTGACACAGCTGGACAACCTAAAGCCCACTTCACTCATCAACATCCCAATCGTGGCTGTGTCATTACACCTCTGGAGGAAGCAGCATCAACACCTGGTATACCCATGTCTTGTTTCCTTCCATGAAGACATCTTGTCTACCTGACTGACGTCTGTGCTGTCGGCAGATGGGGACCTGCCACCCCCGAGGAATCGTTATCATGATAGAAGTACAAGTCCCTGCCTCTTCCCACGACAGCAGGCAAACTAACACGTACACCGTTGTGAACGTGCGTATGCAGGATATATAGGCTCACGGTCCTCAAATGTGAGCACGCATCGACCATCTGGAGAGCTTGTTCAAACACAGATGGTTGGTCCCCACCCTCAGAGTCTCTGATTTGGTAGGTCTGCGGTGTGCCCAAGGATATGTGGTTAGAAGAAACAATATCAAATCACAAAGCCAGCTGCACACATTAGCGGGGCTGAGCCTAAGAACTTCAAAACGACCTCTTCCTCAAAGAAACCAGAAGGTTGATTTTTAACTCCTGTTGATGAGAGTTAATCACCATATTCTTGTTGCCGTGATGGGTAACACAGTGAATTCTGTGAAACTCTAAAGGAAAAAGGTTAGGGGAAACCCTTGGGGTGACTGACACCTGTGGAAGAAACGGATATATTTGCATCAAAATCACATTATCATTTGATCAAGAGGCAGCTGAAACAAACCATTCCTGTCTCCAAAATTTATAGCAGACAGAAAATACATTCACATGCATGCATATGTGTGTCAGATTAATTTATGTGTGATAGAGGAGGGGGCTTCTCCCGTTGGTCATCCTAAAGGATTTCCTGTAAGAGATAAGAAACCAAATGAGCCAAGGCTAGATGGGAGGAGTTTGACTTATCTGGGGTTTTATTAAGATAGAGTCCAACACATATCATCAGTTTCATATCTGTAGACCTTGATTTGAGCTTTGTTAATAGCATCATGTACAACATAGACACAGCCTGGAAACACAGCAAGCACTTTAGCAATGGCTTTCCTTGGGAAAAGAACTATTTAAAGATAAGATTATATTTTTGCGGACTGATTAGCTAAGCATTATCTGGTACAAACTGTGCAGCACCTTGGAAGGAATGATAAACACATCATTAGCTCATCAAGATTTCTTCAGAGGGGACCTCTTATCAGAAGGCCATCAGAATGATGAGGAAATACGATGAATAGCAAGGAAAGGGTAGGCAAGAGTGGAGAATCTGGGAAACTACCCTCTTTACATGAAGAGTTACACCCAGGAGAAAGGCTTGGCACTTTGGAGTTTTGTCTTGTGAAATCCAACAACTTAACCAAGTGGAGCCATTTCAGAAACAAAAGCTCTCTGATTTTGGGGACCTATGTAAAGACTTCTTCAGTGGTGGTAAACTGCTGGAATAAGAGGGGTCCTTGTTTTCTGCCTTTGAAGTGCTTCAGTGTGAGTTTATATAAAACATGTGCCTCGCACATAGTAGGAGCTCCAAGAAAAGTGTTAAGGTCAATGCCAGGCTAAGAAAGGGACTCTGTGTCAGGGATCTGACAGCTCTCCAAGCCTAAAATGATGGAAACTACAGGGAAGAGAAACACTTATATATCCAGATGTCTCGGGGTGAGTTTGAACTTGCCAAGCAGGCTGGTCCCACCTAGGCATAAACAGCTGTTCCTCCCTGAGGGGCATCATGACTTCCTGGTCACAGGCTGGATTAAGTGGCAAGAGCCAGAGCAGCGGGTAGCTAACCAAACAGCATCAGGTCTCCACTGGACATGACAGTACTGGTCCCAATGCAGTGAAAGCCTTAGGGACTGCTCAGTGCTGTGCCCTGGGGTGTTTTTCACATCAGCTTTTGAGTACAGGCAGTCTTCGGGTTACGTTACGTTGCCATCTCCTATATATATACATATATATATATATGTGTATATATATATATATATATATATATATATATATCCGTCATTTCAAACTATGTACATATGTGCTTTATGCTTTTTATTATTTATTTACCACAAGTAAAGGTCAGAAATTGTTCTCTCTCTTTTAAATTCTTTTTACTGTCTCACTTCATTATTGCTGTAGATGTGCCCCCATGTGAGTGACGTCGGTGCTTATGTAGGTGGGTTCCGACTTACGGCGAAACGTTACTTAGGAATGGATCTTGGACGTAACCCGAGGACCTCCTGTAGCTCATTTTAGCCAAATGGGTAGAATAAATCATATCAGAGACTCAGAAAGGAATCAATGGCTTAAATGAATGAACGGTTCTGAATCACACTGTTGGTGACAGTGGCATATAATGAGCTTTGTGGATCCCTATTTTCAAATACACTGGTTTTTATTTTATTTTTATTGATTTCAGAGAGGAAGGGAGAGAGAGAGAGAGAGAGAGAGAGAGAGAGAGAGAGAGAGAGAGAGAGAGAGAGAAACAATCAATGAAGAGAGAGAATCATTGAGGGGCCGCCTCCTGCACGCCCCACACTGGGGATCAAGCCCATATCCCGGGCGTATGCCCTGACCAGGAATTGAACTGTGACCTCTTGGCTCATAGGTTGTCACTCAACCACTGATCCATGCCAGCTGGGCCAAATACTATAAGTTTTCTCCTTGCACAGAATTTGAAGCTTGACTTTAACTTCAAAAGACAGCCAATGAACCATGTCCCTCTGGTTCCTTACCATTGCCACTCTTGTTTGCAAAATGCGACTCCTTTTCTCACTGGGAAAACCTTAACCCAGCTACCAGGCCCCAACAATTTTTCTCTCAGTTATTCCAACTATGATAGGGACAGGGCCGTGGAATAATGTAAAATGATGCAAGTGTTTATGAAGTTGTGAAGCCCACAGGAGATAGTGCCTAGCAAACTGCACAGGTGAGCGGACTGGGAGGAAAAAATCAGAGACTTGCATCCATTCATTCATTTATCCACCCACCTGTTGGCTATCAAATTCCAATTGGTTACAAAATTTCATCAATCCTATACATCTCACCCAAAGCCCATAGACCAGTGGAAGAGGTTTATCTCCTGTGAGCTCCCATGGAATGAGGGTGAGGTTGCCAGAAGCTCTGGCTGGCCTGTTGAGGAAAGCAGTATCCTATTGGGAACCATCACCTTTGGTTAGCTAGGTGTTGTCTCTGGGTTGGGTTGAAAGAAAAAAAAAAAAAGCAGGGGGCGGGGAGGTGCTAAAAAAGGTTTCTGAAAATTACTCTGAGGGCAAAACAGTTATTTTATAAGAAAAATGGTTTGAACGGGAGATACTTTGGTCGTCAAATTGTGGCTCGAGAATCACATGCGGCTCTTGGGCCCCTTGAGTGTGGCTCTTCCACAAAATACCATGGCCTGGGTGAGTCTATTTTGAAAAAGTAGCGTTAGAAGTTTAAGTTTAAAAAATTTGGCTCTCCAAGGAAATTTCAATCGTTGTCCTGTTGGTATTTGGCTCTGTTGACTAATGAGTTTGCTGACCACTGGTCTAGTTGGTTTGAAGGTCTTTTTCCACTCAGAAGTTTGTTGATTTGCTGAATTAGAAATACTCAATAATTCAGATTAGTTCAGCAAACATGTATGGGTCTTTACCAGGTGCTGAGTCATTGGGGATATAAAGATAAGATAACCTGTTATAAGTATGTATCAGATGCCTTCATCTTGATTAGAAATTGCAGATGTGATCTCTAGAAAAGTGAACGACCTCACCAGAAAGATGATCATTATCAAGGGAAAATAATAACTTGGCCCTGTGCTAAGTCCATTTGCCTACTCCATTGTAAGTCACACACATGCTTAAAATGTCCAGTCACAGGTCATGCACAGCATTGAAATGTGTTTTTCATTATGGGCCAGTTAGCAGTGGTCATTTGCCTAAATAATATTTTCCAGGAGGGACCCAGTACTGATCTGTGAGCACTGCCCCACCCTCCTGCCCCTCTGCCTGGGGAGTGTTTCCGCCCCACGCCTGCTTGGTTAGAGCAAGCCAGCCTAAATCTGCCCATCTGCTTATCCAAACAGCCCCTATCACCAGCGTATCTCAGATCTCAAGGCTCTGAGATGTCTGGCACTTACATTTTCAAGTGCCAGTGAATACCAATCTCTGGGGTCAGGGCATGAGGAGGAGGCTCAGATTTTATGTGGCTTTTAGATGCTGAGATATGCGCTCATGGATTGGTTGGTTATCACTGTCATGAAAGGAGCATAATCTAGGCAGATTGCAAAAACACTTTGTAAATCATTCTTGCAGAGTGATAAGATTAATGAGAGGACGGATAGCATTTCACTGTAAGGACTATGGCTATTAAAACATGGATATTCCTCCTCTCCTCTTCTTTCTCTATACATAGACACATAAATATATGCATGCACCTTTAAGGTTTTGCTATAGGAGGGCCTACATATGAAGCTAATAATAAAAATCTACTGCTAAAAATCCTGCTAATAAACTAACCAGAGAAGTGGGTTGTCACCAACTGTATGGGGGGAAAGTCAAAGACTAAAAGAGCGAGAGAGAGAGAGAGAGAGAGAGAGAGAGAGAGAGAGAGAGAGAGAATGAATGTAACTCAACCACCTATTCCCTTATTCTGCATTATAGAACAAGAGCTAGTTATACACCAAAGTTTGGGGGAGATTTGGCTTAATTAGAGTGCACAGGGTCGAGACATGTGTGAGAGGTAAGCTAATAGCCAGACATTTATTTGTTCAACTAAACAATCAGCAAAAAGAGGCAACCTGACTAAAGATTTACATCCCTTAATAAGGAACATTATAAACTGATGAACAAAAAGATAGATACAGAGACAGTAAAGAAACAGACTGTCAAATTACAGTGGGGAGGGTAGGGAGATATGGGGGAGATAAGAGATCAACCGAAGGACTTGTATGCATGCATATAAGCATAACCAATAGAGGAAAAACTATGGGGAGGGAGGGCATGTTTGGAAATGGGGTGGGTGGGGTTGGGGATTGGTAAGGTATGTACACATATAATATCTTAATAAAAAAGAAGTTCTCAAAAAAAAAAAAAAAAGATTTTCATCTCTGAGATTCCTGCTAGACACTGCGGCCTCTCCAGACTTAATTATCTATTCTGCAATAGATAATTGGCACTCAACAAGTATCTCAACAATGAATGAGCAAGTGAACAAGTCAATGAACCAATGAGTCACCCTCCAGGACCCCATTTCACTGCTGCAGAAATATTCCTGTGCTGGTGTTTGGAGTTGCCTGGGTCACCATATACTCCCCCAACCCCACACCTGTGAGTTCCCATAATCACACATACAGCCATCACTCCAGACTGGCAGGCCTGGAGCAGAAGGCTCGGCCCTTAGGCAACCCTTCTGTGGCAAGGTCACTGCCTAGAACATTTCATGACTTTCATTTTCATATCCAACAACATTTTAGAAATGTCAGCAGCAAAAATAACACATTTGTAAGACAGCTTTCCTGTTCTGTGTGGGGTTTGAGTGTGTGTCCTGCATGTCGCTCTGACAGGGACTGTGGCCTAGTTACTTCTCTTTCTGCTTTCAGGTAGCAAATCACCTTTTGGAGAGCAAATCACCTTATCAAGGCTTGATGGCAGGGCCAATAACATGAGCTCTCTCTCTCTCTGCAGAATATGGCCCGGCACGCGGTTAATGCTTAATAAATGCTTTCTGATCATATCATATCACATCACATTAGAACATATCATATCTTATCACATCACATCCCATCATATCTCATTTCAGTTAAAGAATAATCAAACACAGGCATGAACTTACAAATGTACAGGCATACTTCAGGGATATTGCGAATATGGGTCCAGGGCACCACAATAAAGGGAGTGTCGCAATAAAGCGAGTCATCATCTCTTTTGCTGGGGGAGGGTTTTGCCTTCAATTATGTGACAAATGCAACATCTGGGAGGCGCAATAAAACAAGGCGTGCCTGCACATGCAGAGCTATTGCTACTGTCCTTGAAAAACCTCCCGGTATACCTCAGGCTGTGTGCAAAGCCCTTGTGACTCTATGCGTGCCCTTACTCTGACGAGTCCAGGCCTCCCACGAGCTCACAGATCACTGGATTCAAGCGTGTACCTGAGGTGGGAATCTTGTTGGAGGGATCCATGGGAGGGCACCTGAATTCCGTTCCATCTCTCACCTGAAACAAGACAGAGAAATAGGAGAAATGGGACACATTAAAATTGGATGAGGCGTGGGGTCTCTAAAATTGGAAAATAATAATAAAAAAAAAAAATAGCAACCCAACCATCTTTTAAGATTTCTTCCTCTCATTCAACACGCAGATTCAGGTGCCCACAACATCTTCTCCGAATGCTTCCAAACCTGTCCCCTCTTCTCTGGTCCCTCCACCAGACTCAGCCGACGTCCAGGCCTGGTTCTTCTTGCCTGGATCACTGCAGTATTCACAGCATCACCACCTCAGGCCCTGGCTTCCTTCCCAGCTTCTTGGGGGGGCCTCTCTCTCTCAACATACTACAATCAGGCCACTCCCCTGCCCAAATTCTCAGAGAAAACAGCATTCTTTTAAAAGTCTGTTTTGGGTATTGCTACAGCCCCAAAGCCGAGAACAGTACACAGTAGATACTCATAAATATTTGCTGAATAGTAAATACATTTTTACTCCAATTAATATCAATACAAAGTCCATCCTTCTTAGCATGGTCTACGCAGTCCCGGTCATTCAAAACCCTAAGAATTGACCTAATGCTCTGCACTCTCCATGCCTCCATCTCTTTGCCCAAGCTCTTACCGCTACTCTCCCTTTTCCTTTCCTTCCCTCCATTTCCCCACATTCCCATCCGCCTGGTTTAACCTCAGTCATCCTTCAGGGCTGAGGTCGTGGGGACTCTCTGGGAAGTCTTCTTTCCTTCTTTCCTGCCTCAGTTAGCTGCTCCCTGAAAGCTCCACGGAAACTTTGATTCCACAATGTCTTTCCTTGTGCAATAGTCCTGCTTGGCTCCACTAGACCGAGTCCCTTAGGACCAGCAAGTATTTTATTGATGTTTTTGCCTCCCATGCCTGGTATCCACCCATTCCACCCACCTACCCATTTAGTCACTCAACAAATAATGATTAGATACCTACTCTGGGTTCCTGCTCTCACTGACCTTGAGTCCTAGAGGCATAGAGCAGGTAGGTAATCAATAACAATAACCTGCAGGAATGTATCACTCCCTATCATCAGATGAAAACAATGGCAGCACAGAACGCATAACTCTAGCATGCCGATCCTATCACACATGCTTTATACTTATTATTTGTTATGACTTCAAAACAACTCCAAGAGGTAGGGCTATGACTTTCACCACTTCCCATATCCAAATAAATAAGGCACAGAGGAGTTCACTAGCTCGTCCAGTGACACAGAGCCTGCAAGTGCAAAAGCCTGTACTGGAACCTAGAGCCAGTTCTCTGCCCTCAGATTGTCCTCATTGCTGTGGTGACAGTTAGAAGGTGCAGGACAAGTGGATGTGCAAGAAGAGTCTTCCACACTGTGCTTCTCAGGCCCCGGCCATCAGCACTGCCTCCACCACCAGGAGTAACCTTCTCCCTCTTTTATACAGTAAGGAGGCAGTGATGGCACGAGGCCGAATTTGATGTAACCCGTATAAGTCCCCCGTCCCCAGAGAAGGTGGACATCAGCCTGCAAGTGTCTCGGCTCCTCAGAGCAGTGCAGGTGCCCTATCTAATCTGACAGAGAGGATCAGAGTCATGAAATAAGCAATAAGCAGGACATGAGTAAGTGTGAGGTGGCTCTTGAAGTAGGAGCCAATGTCAGAGGCCTGTTTGGTTGCAGATTTTGCTATATTTCCCGGCTTTTCCTGTTGACTTTCTCTTCTGATGAAGGCCTCGGATGAATTTAAACTGATGAACAAAATAGAAACAGAGGCAAGGGTACAGGGAACAGACTGACAGCTATCAGAGGGAGGAGGTTGGGAGACTAGATAAAAGAAAAAAGAAGGTGAAGAGATTAAGCAAAAAAAAAATTATATATATATCACATCACACAGACGTAGACAACAGTGTGGGAATAGCCAGGGGAAAAGGAGGTAGGGGCAGGTGGAGGTGGCCAAGGAGGGGGAAATGGGGCCGGAGAGAAACTTTGCTTGGGGTGATGGGCAGACCACACAGTGTGAAGATGATGTTTTGTTAAGTTGTACACTGGATTGCTGAAACCTGTGTGGTTTTGTGAACCAATGTCACTCCAATAAACAAACAAACAAACAAGACTGCAGAATTGTTATTCTCTTAATTGCATTTTCTTAATCCTCAGAGATTGGGCTTCCAGGCTAGTCTTCAGTGTTTGACTCAAATAAACACTCCTAAAAGCTTCCTGTTAAAAACAAAGGGGCTTGTTCTAGATTGGGGAAGGGCCTGAAGAGCCTTGCATTACAGCAGGACAGACAAGTGCAGGCAGTGCCGACACCCAACCTTCCCCCCTCCTCCCCCAGCCCCAGGGAGCTGCAGGACGCTGGCTGCCAGGCTGCTCTCAAGGCGGAGATGGAGGGGAGACCTCCTTCAAGCACCAAGGAGACAGCCACACCCCTGACTCGTCACCCACCCAGCCTGCCCTTGGGGTCCAGGACGTTTCCACAGGCTCAGCCAGCGGTTAGGCCCCTGGCTCATTTGCATGAGTGTCAACCACAGCAAACCTCTCTGTACCTCAGGCTTCTCACGGGGCTTTGGTGGCCAGGACAGGTAGTTGCTGTTGTTATAGGTGAACAGATATGGCTTTTCCTGCAGAGAAGAGTAATGCGTTGTAACCAGGACTCAGAAATCTGCTCCCTGTAATCGCCAGGCTGTGTCACCCACAATGCCTCTGATCAGCTCGGAGCATTCACACCATCCCTTCAATGAAAGCCATTCTCTGGCTTTTCCTCTCTGTGCTGCCTATGAGGTCCCTGAAGGAGCCCATTCATGCTTTAAGATTCCCGGTTGGCCATAGTTGGCATCTCGGGCTCTCTACCTTTAGCCCACGCTGCCAGCAAAGTATGTATGCTTCCATGAGAGAAGAACTTAGTTGAAAGCGTCCTGGCAGCCAGAGCAAAGAGGGAAACAGGGTGAATTACACTGTTCATATGGCCTCGCACCAAAAACTTACCACTTCACCCAGAAAGCCAAAACCTGGACTACCATTAATGACAAAAGGAATTCTACTCATTTTTGGTGTTTTTCCCATTCATTCATTCATTCATTCATCCACTCAGTCATTCATTCAGGAGAATTACCTACATGTCTATTACATATGTGTCATGTGGTGAAGAAACCCATCTTCCCATTTGGGACACGTGGGGCCAGGAGAGATACGGCCTTGCCCCTCTGCCCTCCCCCTGTGTGGAAGGGGCCATAACGCTACAAAAACAGCTCAGTGCTGCCATAATGGCTACGTTTGGTAAACCTTACGTGTGCCAGGTATGCAAAGCCGTGATGGGACCCGGAACAGACCCACAACATGAGAGCGGCAAACACCTCGGCCAAGTGAGACCCCACCTCACAGCAAAGCCCAGTTGGTGGCCCCATCTCTCTGCCAATTCAGCGAGAGGTTTCCTCTCTCCAGGCCTGGCCTACCTGAGACGGACACTTCATGGGCCAGCTCTCCTTGGCACTGAGCAGCTCATCTTTCTGTCCTGCGGGCTCCATCTAGGAAAGAGGGAGATCTTTAGAACAGAAGGTGATGCTCGGGCGGCGGCAGCATTCCACGTGCCACCGAGAAAGACTCGTCCGTCCAGCATTCCTCCAAGTTGACCCTGGATGCGGTATCACGTCACCTGGGAACACGTGAGAAATGCAAGTGTCCTCCCACCCCCTCACCCCAGACCTATGGAATCGAAACCCTGGGGTGGGGTCCAGCTCTCTGCATTCTAGCATGTCCTTCGGGCAATTCTGACGTATGCTCAAGCGGAGCCCACTGCGAGCGAGGAGTCACTGACTTCTGCCCCCCCCCCCCACTCCCCCGAGATCACAGAAACTGAGCACCGGGGAGGCTGGGCCAAGACAAGGACATCGGAATCCTTGATCCAACTTAACGGCTCTCCGCTTCCTATGTCTCTTGATTTGGGAATGGGCGATGGTGGCATCAGCCCTGACACAGGCAGCTACTTAAACGATAACCAAAGTCTAAACGATAACCAGTCTAACAACCAGACGAAGCGTGCACGGTGTCCCGGCAGGTACGGGCATCAAAGGGGAGAGAGGAGAATGAAGGCTGCTGAAGGACTTGATGTGGGAGCAGTGTTGTACAGTTCCCGTTGTTATTTGTCAATGCCCTGGCTGCTAGCCCGCCTCTCACACATGCCTCATTGTACGTCCATAAACACGGAGAGAAAAACGCAGAGGCTTTGAGCGCACGGTTTCCTCCTGCAGGAGCAGTCTTCTCCCACGGGAGCACTACTCCCCACAGGTGCTAGGCTCCAGGGACACCGCAGGCCCTTGACCCTGACAGGGGACACAGGGACAGGAGGCTGCAGGACGGAGCACCCTGCCTGCCTCAGCCACAGCTCTGCCAGCCTCCACGCAGCTTCTGGCCCTATCTCGTCCCAGGATCTGTGCCCACTAAGCAAGAAGCAGGAGGAGAACTTGAACTCTTCTCGGGGCTGGCTCTTCACCCAAAAGGGCAGAGTCCGATAAGAGGGTGCAATTAACCTTTCGGAAAAGGAGTGGCCTCGCTCCCCTGGGGGAGGAACTGCAGTCCCTTCTTCCAGTTTCATTCTGAGGGGAGGACCACCCACAGAGGTCAGCCTGCTCCGAAAACAGGTGTCCAGTGGGCCCTGCTTTCTTCTTTCCAATCTCTCAAAAACTTAATAACAGAGTCTGGAAAGGAACATGGGAAGAGCCACATCTTCATAATTCTAGTAGAATAAATACAGCAGAGTCATGGGACTCACTCAAAAAACAGCCAGAAGACGCCCCTAGGGAAACCCCTCCCTCTTCCCTGGCCTGGAGCAGGAGCCCTGAGGACTCTCCGTGGGAAATGCCTGATTTGAAGAGAATGGGGCAACTGCTCACTCAGGAAAGCCCGCGCCTCTCCTCGGGCCCTGTGACATCTGCTGTCACACTGAGCGGGAGACCTTCCTCCCCCGTGCCCACTCTCGTCCTCGCCTCTCTCACAAGGAGTTAAAGTATGCGTGTGTGCCTGTTTAAATGGACAGGATGTCACCTGGGCTCAGTAAAGGCGTTGCCACTACTGCCACCATCACCAGATGACACTCAGTGGCAGGATTAAAGAAGGAGAGAGAAGGAGGAGGGAGGAGGGAGAAAGGATCCTCCCTCCCTTGTCTGCTCTCCCCAGCTTCTCTCTGTCTGGCCTTCTGAGGGCTTCCTTTGTTCCCAGGGCCTCCTTTGTCCTGTTTCCTGTCCTGTCAGACCAGCTTCCACTGTCTCTCGGCATGCATTTGGCTTTTGTGTTTCTCTAGATCCTTCGCTCGCGAAGGCCTTGGCCTGGGCATGCCGGCCTGTCCTCCTCTGCCACCTCTCACAAGCCCCACCACCATGGGGCTCTCCTGACCGCTTGCTCTGTCACTTTGGGTGCCCAGTCCAGCATCACTACTGGCTAAGTTCAAGTCTACTCTTGTCCCTCTGAGTCTCCTGACCCTTCCAACTGGGCTGGGTGATGGCAAAGACCATGTGGTGTGTCTTTGTGTCTGCCTTGGCCCCAGCACAGGGAACACAGTAGGTTCTCTCTCGTTGCCTGGGAGACAGGTGGCGTGGGAGGGGAAGGAGGTAGTTTGGGCTGAGCTGGAATAGTCGGCCCTTCTGTCCAGAGACAGGGCGGTGGGAGGGCGGCCCTGCCAGAGGGGGCAGGTTCGCTTCCTCTGCCTCCACAGGAGATGAACAGCAGGTGGTCCCCTCGGAGATATTCCACCCAAGGGCCAGGCCCACTGACAAAGAAAGCAAATGCCTTCTGTAAGGAGAGTGTGACTCCATGGACAAGGGCTGCAGGGGCCGGTCCCGCCCCCGCCCGCTTGCTCGCTGCTGGTGATACTCAGCAGAGCACTTAGTAGAAAAGATGGAGAAAACATTTTCTAATCCAAGGTAGAAGAAAAACAAGTTCCTGTCACTGGAATTCTAAAAATAGGGTAGCTTGGATAGGGAAAAAATAGGGAGAAAAATAAACGGCAAAATCAGGTGCCTGTCTGGTACCAAAGCTCAAAGTTTTGACATTTCATCCCACCCACCAGGCAGCCCTGGGGGGCCTAGGAGGTGGGGAAACCAGGCACAGTTATGTGAGGAGCGCCAACACGCGTCCAATATGAGCTGTGGGCCAGGAGTGAGCTGCACACACACCAGGTCCCGGCTAGTGTTAGAATCTGGGTTTTTTTGTTTTTTTAATATACTTTGTTGATTTTTTACAGAGAGGAAGAGAGAGAGAATAGAGAGTTAGAAACATCGATGAGAGAGAATCATCGATCAGCTGCCTCCTCCACAACCCCTACTGGGGATGTGCCCGCAACCAAGGTACATGCCCTTGACCGGAATCGAACCTGGGACCTTTCAGTCCGCAGACCAATGCTCTATCTACTCAGCCAAACAGATTTCGGCAGGATCTGGGTTTTGCAGAAAGGAAGGGGAGACGCTCAATTCACACAACCTGTGAGAGATGGCATTAGGGTTCGAGCCAGGTCTCCATCGCTCGAAAGTCCATGCTCAGCCCAGGTGCCACCCTGGGCCATGAAATCACGTGCTGGTGCTGAAATGTCACGTGATGGAAAGCTGGCCTGGATCTCAGTGTGAGATGGCCCCTAGGCCCCACTGCAAGAGCATCTCCTCACACACTCCCAGGACATCCTGGCCTCTGCACGCTGCCAGGCTGTGCCCTTGCTCTAGGAAGAGGCAGTGAAACTCCCGGGTGGGCAGAGCTAGCCATGCCCACGTGGGAAGGATCCCTGGTGGCCTGGCATCATTGCTCTGGGACCCGCCAGCATCCTGCAGTCCCTCTATCAAAGCAGTGGACAGGGTGGGTGTGGTGGTAGAGGCCCTGCCCCTCCTTAGGCCAATCCCCGGGCTGGCCCCGCAGCCCCTGGGACCCCTCACAACTCACCATGATGTTCCAGAGATTCAAGGCGAGGGTGTTGGGATCCTGGTGTGGCCACTTCCCCTGAAAAAGAACCACATGAGAGCGCCTGGGCCCCAGAACGGGAGGGCTTGCCACGCCCTGGAGCTGTCCCTGGCAGAGACAGGGTGGCCCTGCTCTGTCCGGACTCCTCCTCTCAAACTCTCCACAGCAGCAATGGCAGCCGCACGGGACCACTGTCGGGAGTCAGGCATGGAGGTGAGGGCCTGCAGGAGCTGGTCAAACCCTCACCATCACGACTTCTCCACACCTGAGCCGAATAGCTGAAGCAGCGTGATTTCTGTGTGGTCTGAGTGGCAGGGGGTTTGGGAACAAATATACCTCCTCCTTTAAAAAAAATATTTTTATTGATTTCAGAGAGGAAGGGAGAAGGAGAGAGATCAAAACATCAATGATGAGAGAGAATCGGCTGCCTCCTGCATGCCCCACACTGAGGATCGAGCCCACCATGCCAGCCAGATCCTCCTCCTCCTTTTAAATAATCATTTAGACAGTTTAAACCCAGCCAGTGTGACTCAGTGGTTGAACATTGACCTATAAGCCAGGAAGTCAAGGTTTGATTACTGGCCAGGGCACATGCCTGGGTTGCATTTCTGGGTTTAAGTCCGAGGGTGGGGGGCACAACTCCAACAGGCAGGATCCAGAAGCCTGGAGGGGTGACTGTCCCAGGCACACAGTATGTCAGAGAGACCCTACTGACCACGTGCGGACCCACCCCATGCTCATGGTCTAGGCACCCCACTGGGAGAAGGGGTATTTGCCCAGTGACCTGGGGGGAGTAGGGTCAACTCAAGCCACCCTTCCTTCCAGGGGTGGAGGCAGAGAGCCTGCAGCGGGGGCAGGGTGCCCTGTGCCCTAAAATTCTCTCCTAGGGTCACACAGCCGAGCAGGACTGAGGGCTCCCTGAGCCCCTCACACCTGTTCACTCACGCCACTACCCAAGAGGGCGGGGACAGCAACAGTGGCCCCGACTTCACAGCTGGGAGCCGGGCAGAGATCCGACAGCTTGCCCAGGTCACACAGCTGGCCCATGTCAGAGCTGGGAGCCTTCCGCTCAAGCCCAAGCTCTGTGCCCCTGGCTACTCTGCCTCCAAGAGCCTGCCTCAGGGGCTCTCCAACCCCATGGGGAAGTTGCGCAGCAAGTATAAGGGAATATTGCAGCATTTCCCCCTGAGAGCGCCTGTCCTGGGTTCAGTGGGTCCCACCTGGGCAGGAGAGGGAGAGGGAGAGGGAGAAGGAGGGGGTGTAGGCTCGGTTGCTCACAGCCCCCCTCACTCACCGAGCGTGGGGACAGGGTCTCCTCGTAGAAGAAGGGCTGGAACACCACCGAGAAGGACTCCTGCTCGTTGTACCTGCTGGAGGCCAGGAGGCGGTCCCAGCTGTCCTGGAGCGGAGAGCGGAGCGTGGGCACGGGGAGCACAGCGAGGCCCCGCCGGCCTGCCTCGCCCCCCCTCAGCTCCCAGCAGCCCTCAGCCATGAGCAGCACATGCCACACGCTTTCTGAATTCATCCCAGAGTCAGAGCCGAACTCTATTCCCTGGGAGCTCACGGAGGAGGGGCAGCCGGGCACGCAGCGAGGGTGCCATGCTCCGAAGGGCTAGTTCGGTAGAGAGACGTGCTGTTAACTGTACAGAACGTGTCGCCTCTGGAGAGAAGGGCCACAGGCTTTGCTCAAACCAAAGACCTTGTGTGAACATGTCAACAGGAAGTGTGTTTGAGCTGTTTGCTGGCAGGCGTGGTAGCCTCCACGGAGCCATCCTCACCCTCTGGGGGTCTCATCTCTAAACCAGCGGGCCACCTTCAGGGCCTCTGTGTCGCCTGGGGCTGCCGGCTGGGGTACGGGCCCAACCTGGGCACACCCAGGTCAGTAGCCACAGTGCAGTGGTAGGCACACTAGGTGATAATGACCCCAATCCTTTCTGGATGACTCTGCCCAGTCCTTCTCTAGCGAGGGAACCACCGCTGCTAGTATTGTCCCCACTTCACATGCAGAAAAATCAAGTCACACCCGGCGTGAACCGAGAGCAGCTCCCTGCTTCCTGACTCTGTGGGAGAAGGGGGGACTTGCCCCCTAACCGTCCCTGCCACCCTGTTCTCCTCCATGACCTGCCCCTGAGAGCCGCCAGCCTCCCCGAGGGGCTCACCTGGTAGGACCACTGTGCCACCACCCGGGACATCTTCGAGGTGTCCCCCGAGCAACTGCAGGGCTCTGCTGCGAGGCTGCAGGGAGAATAAGCCAGACTGAAGCTCGGATCAGGGGCTTGGCTGCTGTGGGGGAATGAGGGGGCTGGGGCCTGGCTGCTCGGGGAGTGGGAAGGAGAAGCTGCGGTCTCAGGGGTGCACTGTGACCTGGCTCCCGCCGTTCCCCCATCGGGTGGGGAAGGGAGGAAGGGAGGTGGAGACATGCCCCCCTCACTCCATCTCCGGATGCACCGCCCTCCCTGCCTCCTCACCACACACCCACCTCTATGTCTCCCCCCCGACTCCCTGTTCTTTCTCTTCACCTCCCCTTTCTGCTCTGACTGTCCTCTCCTCTCCATTGCCCCCACCCCCAGCTGTCCCTACCCTGACTCTCGCCACGTGAACTTTTTTTCTGAGTACAAAGCCAGAAATCTCAGGATCTGGGGTCAAGGAGTTTACATGGTATGACAAATCTCAGACCTACATGCCAATCACATTCTGTGAAGACAAAGTACATTTAGGCTAAGTTTTCTTTCTTTCCAGTTTCTACAAGTACCACTTCTTGGCTTATGGATATTTTCCCCAAAAACTGCTATGTAAACTCTCAGGTCATTCTAGTGGGGGCAGGCCATCTGACTAAATCCCCAAGGGAGATTTAGTGTGCAGGGACGTAGTGACATGCCCCGCCCAGCTCCTGGCACCTGGCAGCTCCTCCACAGATGCTGGTCCCATTACCTGAGCTGGGTCCCGTGGTGCCGCGGAGAGCCGCCCACAGTCTCAGAGAGGTCCACCAGGTTCACAAATGCTCTGGGGACCTACGAGGAAATGGGGGTTGGTGGTGGGGGGAGAAGATACGGTCATCATTACTTCCCAGGGTCTTTCCTGGAGCCCTTGGTGGGAGCCCATTGGGGGTCTGGCTAGCGTGGTGGACCTCTATGGGAGAAGTTTGGTTGGGGTTGGTCCAAAGCTGCCAGCCCTGCTGGTGATGCAGAAACGTGGCATTCACCACCCTCATGGCGGGCAGGGCACCGTCCCACCAGGTGTCAGCAAGGAAGCAGGACAGGACCATGCTGGTGACGGGACTCCGGACCCTCCGCCACAGGGACGCTGCCTCCCAGGAGTCAGACCCGCAGAGCTTGTCCATCACGGTCCCTCCACAGAGGGAAGCCCTAGGTGGGGGGAGGTCTCAGGGACCCTCCCGCCTCACTGCCCCGCACTGTTCAGGGGAGAGGGGGGTCAATGAGCTTCAGGGAGGGGCTGTGCGTTCTCCTCTTCCTGCTCAAGAGTCTGCTGGAGATATCTTTTGCAAGAGTTGAGGGCGCTAAAACCAACCCAGGTTTTTATTCCAAGTCTCCTCCAGACCCTTCCCCTCGTCTTGCTCTCCCTCCTGGGAGGTCTGCCACTAGCTTTCTCTCAACCCATGGAGGCGGTTCGAGTAACCAGGACCTTCCCTGCCAGCCCCCAGCCCTCCGAAGGGCAGCGCCCTCTATCCTGCAAAAGGCAGACACCAGGCAGCTTGGGGGCGTGGTCCATGGAGGAGGAGAGGGAGCACCCAGAGCCTCACCTCCTGCAGCAGGTAGTCCAGCATCTTGGTCATCTTGGCCATGCTGCCTGTCACATGCTTGTGCTGGGAGAGGAGACACGTGCTGAGTGTGGGCGGGGCCAGGGAACATGGGGCCAAGGATGCCTAGACTCAGGCCGCCCTGTCCCTTCCCCTCCCTACGCTTCACTCTCAACGAAGATGACAGTGACCAAGGCCCTACAAACGAGATGCCTATTTCCCACACACAAACAGTAGAGTTTCCAGAGCTCCGGGCATTTTGTCCATTCTGACTTCCCCCGCCCATCATCCGCTGGGACAAAATCAAACGCCCCCGAGTGAGAAGTTCCACGTCAGGAAAGGGCAAGCTCAAGGTCAAAGAGACGCTACAGCTCGCATTGCATCATGGGATGGGAGATAGGAGACAGGACTTACTCCCACAGGGCAAACACAATTACCCTTGGGTTTAAGGTCCCAGATGGGCCTCGAAACTTCCACATGGCATTCTTTCATCAGACCTCTCCCTGCCACATCCACTGGAGTAAGAGTATTTAAAAACACCCTTTTCCCACTAATGCCCTGCAGGTGATGAACGTAAATACACAAATGAGAGCACTCTGAAAACAGACCCTGGTTTACCTCTTCAGGGTAAAAAAACAACAACAACAAAAACACAAGACAAACAAACAAAGAAAATAAAACACACCAAATAAAAATAAACTTGACGAGACAAATTGCTAAGCCGCCTGTAGATCAGCTGTCCCCCGAAGGAAGACAAGGCAGGCCCAGGAGCTGTTCTGCCTCCCAGGGGAACGCAGGCGGTGATGCTGGAGACAGCTGCCAATCACCGCGCTGTGACCGCACTAGACTCTCTCTCCACCCAGGTCCCCAGGCAGGCGGGAGGCGGCGGGCGGGAGCTTGGCCTCCGGAAGCCAGCTGAGCCCGCTCTGTAGCCAGAGATAAAGCCTGCTGTCTCCCTTTCCTCAGGCAGCGGGAGTCTTTCTCTGAACATGACCATGAGCATCTCACTTTTCCTTCTGCAGAGCCTGGGGAACTCTGGGTGGAAAGGCCCTCCCTGCCCACACTCAGGGCATCGAGCCTCCTCAGGGAACCTGGGGGTCCCTGCGTGCTTCTCCCCACCAAGGTGCTTATCCAAGGCTGCAGAGTGAGTGGGGCCCACTGGTCCCTCGGGTGCTGGATGCTTGTCCCCTGGGCACCAACTGTCCCTGTTCCTTAATGGAACACAGCAAACTCTTAAAGACACGTCCCTCGTCTGTAAGATCACACATAATAAACTCCCCCTTGAACCCAAAGTCAGGAAAAAGCTTGTTTTTCCACATGAAAGGACACATTTTTGTGTGTATCTTGCTTTCACAGTCAGAAGAATGCTTCAGTCAAAAGGTACAAACTCTTTTACGTTCCTGAAGCCTCCTGCCACCGTGCCCTCCCAATGCCGACCGAACCCTGTTTCAAAAGGCATTTGCAACAAATGAATGATAGATTTCTTGCAGTGTCATTGGCTTTGAGTTTTTTCTTCTTCATGTTTTTCTCTTCTTTTAACTGATTTTTCTTCCATCTTCCTCATTCACAAAACTAGATTTTAACCTGAGAGCAGTAAAGAGTCCAGACCCTGTAAGTGTCTGTTTCACTGCAATGGGCTAGGCCAATGGTCGGCAAACTGCGGTTCTAGAGTCAAATGAGGCTCATTGGTCCCTTGAGTGTGGCTCTTCCACAAAATACCACGGCCTGGGCAAGTCTATTTTGAAGACATGGCATTAGAAGAAGTTTAAGTTTAAAAAATGTGGCTCTCCAAAGAAATTTCAATCATCCTGTTGATATTTGGCTCTGTTGACTAATGAGTTTGCTGACCACTGTCCTAGATAGTCACCTACTAGAAATTAAAAAAATGCAGTCACATAGTTCATGTCCTGCATCCAGGAATGCTAAAGAGCCTGGAGGATGGTCTATGGGAATTAACAGTAGCCCTCCCAGTTCAAGAGGTGATGACAAGAGTACACATCCTGCTTTATTTCCTAAATTCCGTACTTAAATGACATCAGAGTTAAGAGAAGCAAAACAATTTTCAACTAGGGGGCTGATTTTTCTCAATTGTATAATGATCATTGACTCAGCTTATCTATAACTCAATTTCTTTTACCTGATATCAAAGATGGTAAAATACCTTTCCCTGTATATGTTTCCTTGAATCCTTAGGTATCCATCTATCCATCTACTCACCCATCCATCCATCCAAACCCTGAAATACTACCCTGTTTCCCCAAAAATAAGACAGTGTCTTATATTAATTTTTTCTCCCATAGTTGCGCTAGGTCTTATTTTCAGGGGATATCTTATTTTCGGGGAAACATGGTAGTAGGTGCCATCAGACCCAGCCCAGGTGTAGATTAGTTCATTCACTCTGCCCCCACCCTGGCATTTGCAATTCCTCTGACCCCCAGCCTGTGGGTTACCTGTTGGGTGGAGGGACACAGGTGACACTGGCTTGTGTCACTGAAGAACACATTGATTAGCTTCCAGTCATTTTGAAAGTCAAGTTGCTGAAGAAAAAGGCACAGCATCAAAAAGCGATAGTGGTAAGACCTGATACCAAAAGGGCTTTCTTTTCATATCTTTCAATTTCACACCCCCACCCCCATAAAATCTATTATTTTTTTAAAAAGAGAATTATATGGTGGGAAACTCAAATTGTATAACTGATTAAGAGGGCAATTTGGCAAAATATAGTTAAAAGACTTTTAAGGGCATACTCTTTGATTCAGCAATTCCATTTCCCAAAACATATTGTAAAGAAATAAGAATACAGGATTTAGCTGCAACAATGAAGCCTGTTTATAACAGTAAAAAAGTGGAAATATAAGTGTCTAACATAGGGGATTGAGGTGCAGATTGTTAAACACTCATAAGATGAAACACTGTGTTACCCTAGCTGGTTTGGTCTGGCTCAGTGGATAGAGCATCTACCTGAGGACTGAAGTGTCCTGGGTTTGATTCTAGTCAAGGTCACACGCCTGAGTTGCAGCTCAATCCCCAGTAGAGGGTGTGCAGGAGGCAGCCTATCAATGATTCTTTCTCATCATTGATGTTTCTATCTCTCTCTCCCTCTCCCTTTCTCTCTGAAATCAATATATATATATATATATATATATATATATATACATCAAAATATATATATGATGAAACACTGTGTAGCTACTAAAACGGTGTTGGAAAATATAATTATTGTCATGGAAAATACCACACTTGAGAAAGCAGTTATAAAAGCATCTACACCGAGTAGCATCCTAGTTTTATAAACTATACACATGTGCTTGGAATAAATGGGCAGCCCCAGGCACAGAGCCAGAAGAATTCTTACCTGGTTCTTTTTCATGCTCTTCACCAGTTCCTTTGCCTGAATCCACAAGTCTCTGCACAGAGGGAGGTGAGCAGAGAGGAAACCAGTTCCATATCACTTTGTCCAAAGCTGGAGGCTGGCCCCTTGCCCTGCCCAGGAGCCAGTCTCCGAGTTCAAAGTTACCCTACCAATCCTGTCCTGGAGGGCAGACCGTGTCCCGATTTTTAAAATTAGGCCCATCAGGCAGACTTAAATCGGTGCAGGAGATGCACTGTGGCTCCAACTTAACATGGACCTCTATTTTTAAGCCCTTTGACTTTGCCAGGTCCCCCCTTCCCCAATGTCCCTACCCCGGAGAGAGCCAGGAAAGGAACTTACTCAGCACCAATGTGGGGTATCACTCTCCTCCCAGGGGTGCACGCGGGCCTCAGAACTGAGGGGTTGAAGTGTTTGATGATGTCTGAAAGGACTAGAGAAAGGGAGGGCTGGTCTGAGGGTTGTGGCTCTGACAGCTGCAGGTCACCTGTAGGGACTGTCCCCTCTGGGGTGAGGGGCCCAGGGTCACCGACCCTCTTCCAAACCATGGCCTTCACACCGGCCTTGGGCCGTGAAGTCAAACCTCACGGCAGGCCCCCGGAAACCGGACGAATGGAGCTAAAAATTAACATCTGTCCAGCGCTAGGCCAGGCTCAGTACTCAGCCTCTTCTATGAGGGAAGGGGACACAAGCTAAGAAGCTAAGCAACGCACCCGAGGTCCCCAGGCTGAGAGAAGCTGAGTGGCATGGACCCCTGGGAAAGCGTGCAGGACAGGGGACCCGGGCAGGCTGTCTCCCGGCCCCTCTCTCCGGAGAGTGACAGCAGGTGGGAGAGCTCTGGGGAACGGAGATTGGAGATCGTGTCCCAGCGCTGACAGCCAGGGGCCGCCAGAAATAGCGCTGCCGGGAGCGGTGATGTGGTGTCTTGCTCCCGGGAGAGAAGAGGGCAGAGCGGGGAGAGTGTCGTGAGAGGGAGATGCCCCCTCACACTTCCCCCGGGTCCTCCTCTCTTTCTGCCCCCACCCAGAAGTGCCGGGGGCTTCGTGGGAGCAGAATCCAAAGGGCTCCCGCTGAAGGAGCCGGCACTGTGCAGGCAGCAGACAGGGAAGGGGTCGGGGAGAGAAGCTGGGCTGCAGGCAGGACACTGGCCACTCAGCCTTGTCGGCTTGGCAGCCACCAAGGTCCCGTGTGACTCAGTCTTCTTCATCCTCCACCCAAACTCATGAGCATCCCTTTCTAGGCCCCAAGCAGCTTGCAGAAGGAGCCCCTTCTCACGTGTGGTGAGAAAATGGGGAGCTCTGTGGCCAGGGGAAGACTACCTGTGTGTGCATGTGTGTGTGAGTGTGTGCTGAGTGTGTGTGCATGTGTGTTGCAGGGGTGCGGGGGGTGGGGAGGCTGGCATTTTTCCTCCTGGGCATCAGGACAGCTGTGAGGGCGAGAGACCTATCTGGCACTAGGTCTTTAAAACAGAACTGCTTTCCAACTACAGGAGTTTGTGCTGTGTGGCCACTTCGTGCTCAGACAGTTCCGTGGTTCTTTTCGCATAAACCTGCCTGTCCTGTGTCTTCCTTCCGCTGGGCACCTGTCCGTCCTCTCTGTCCTCTGCCTCTCTCTGGTTCTCAGGCTGCGGGGCTGGCCCCCTGGGCTCACAGGACCCCTGCCATGTACTGACCATGTAATCTGGAGAAAGCCCTGCCTCACCCATCCCGCCTCAGTTTCCCTCTCTGCACCTGGCTGTGGTGGGGGAGGGCTTGGTTGAGACTTGAAGAGCTCTGGGCTCCAGGGCTGAGCAGGGTGGGCTGAGCGTGGGCGCCGCCATTGCACACTGCATGGGTCTGGGCATCCCCAGCGCTTTCTCCTTGGAAGACCTGGTGCCCTTTGTTGGCTCATGGCCTGCACACCGGCCTTGGGCCGTGAAGTCAACCTCATGGCAGGCCCCCGGAAACCGAACGAATGGAGCTAAAAATGAACATCCCCTCCCCCCCCCTCCACACACACACCTGCTGAGCTCCCAGGACCTGCCCTCCACCCCGCCTGCCTGCTTGCCCTGCCCTGCACATAGACTGGGTCCCCGGGCAGCTCCGGAGTCCTGCCTCTGAGGACACTCAGGGGCCAGACCTGTCCTCACTGTCCTGCTTGTGCGGCACCTCTGGCCCGATGAGGTGAGACTCCTGGCCTCGCTGCTTAAGGAGGGGCTGCCAGGACGTGGCACCAGGCGGGCAAGCAGGCACAGCCCCTGTGTTTGCGTTTCAGGATCTAAACTACACCCTATCTTCCCCGACATCACAAATACACCACCCATTTCTTTCTTCCTGCCCCTGAAGGGTAAACAGGGCCAAATCTAGGAGGGCTGTGACAGTCACCCAGTTTGTCGGGGCCTCCTTTTTCAGATCCTCTGGCCCTTTCCAAGGGACCCTCCCACCACTTTGGCCACCAGTATCCCCTCTCCTGTCAATCAATCCTGGAGGCGGAGCACCAGTCTCCACCTGCCCCGATAGAGGGCGAGGCTGAAAGCAGGCCCAGTGCCTCCCTCACCCCGTCCTTTGCAGGGAGCCCAGTCACCCCCAGGCCCGTGGGTACCCTCCTGGCTGCCCTGAGAGGCCACCGGCCCCCTCACTGCCATGGCTCTTAGGAGGTCAGCTCAGCAGAGCACACGCTGCATCCGAGCCTCCTCTCTCTAATTGTGAGGGAGCGAACGGTGGTTTCCTTGTCGTCGACTCTAACATCCCACGAGCTAGTTCAGCAGGCGCTGAGGGACTTGAGGTTTCAGGGTGACTTGTAATAGAGTCACAAGGGGTGTCTGATGTTAAACGAAGGAAACAGGTTGCAGAGAGCACATCAGCAGCACATTCATATGTAAAGTAGCCCGAGTGCTAACAATGATTATCTCCAGATGGTGGCATATCGTTGATTTTCATTTTTTTTTTTCCCTTCTGAATCCAATTGATATATTTATAGCTTCGGGAGTTATTGCAGATGAAAGAGGCTGAAAATTAGACCGGGCCCTCTCCTCTGGTGGGGGGTGGGCAGTTCCTGCAGGTGCAGTGCTATTGGTCCAGCTCCGGGGGCTGGTGTGTGGGGGTGGGGGAGGCTCAGGACTCCGGCCCAGCCATCCCGACCCCTCTCCCACGTCCTCTAACCCACCAAGGCCTCCTGGCGTCTGTTCACTCAGGGACCCTCAGACGCAGCTTTCATGCCCTCCTTTCAGGGTGACTGTCCCCCCTTTCTCCTCAGACTCCACAACCAAGTGGCCAACAGGGCACATTCTCTCCATTTACCAAAATGTGCTCTGTTGGGAGGGATGGGACAAGCTGGGATCTGACCCCGAATGCCCAGGGCTCACCTGTCACCACTCCCATGCATGCCTGCTGTGTCCTCTTCCCAAGCCTGCAAGCAGAAGCAAACATGCACGTGTCAGACTGGATGTGTCACGGGCCAGCAACCCCCTTGGCCTGGCAAGCTTTTGCTCAGCCTGGCTCTGCTTTTTTGACTCTCCTTCCTGGAGTTGGAGACACAGCTCAGATGGCAAAGGAGTCGCCCAAATGAGGTCCACAACTCGGTCTGGGCCCTTCTCCCCACACCCCCAGCTGGAAAGGGCTGCGGGCCCCGGGAAGAATGAGACAGACTCTGGCCCACCCTGCGCGTAGCCCCTGAGCAGAGCAGGGCGCCTGGATGATGGAGGGAAGCAAGAATGTCGAGTGTGGCCTTTCCTGCTTTTCCTCCGGGGGATGCACAGGCATGGGGCGTGCGGGCCGGGGGGCAGGAGACTGGGGCTCCTAAGGGACACCTCTCCGAAGGGAGCCGGAGCAAGGCCTTTCCTGCCTGGCCCCGGAGAGCAGAGCAGGCCCCCTGAGTCTCGCCCCGCTCCTCGGCTCTGTGATTCCAACATAGTTACCATGGCTGCTTCTTCGCACCGGCCGTCCCCGGGTCCGGGAGCTGGAAGAGACAGCAGGTGTCAGTCCAGCCGGGAAGGCAGCCCAGCCCGTCCCCCTGAGGCCCCAGCTGCCCGTCAGACAGCCCCTCCCACCGACTAAAGGGGAACATTGATCCAGAGGAAGGTCACATCACCCAGACCAGTTTTTCAGGGAGGAAGAGTGGCAGGCTCCCTCCACAGCACATGGGGCAGAACCCAGAGAAATAGAAGGTGCATGCATGTGTGCGCCTGCGTGTACTTGTTTGTGTGCACGTGCAATGTGTGTACATGTGTGCATATGTGCACGTTGTGCGCGCGTGCGTGTGAATGTGTGCATGAGCATGTGTGTGTTTGTGCATGTGTACTGTGTGTGCATGTGTGTGGTGTGTGTGCGTATGTGTACTGTGTGTGTGTACCTCTCCTGAGGCAGAGGAATAGGAGCTGTGAATGGGTCTTCAATATTTTACAGTCTATGCATGTGTTGTGGTTGACTTGTACTTATATTAAACATGAGCCACAAGTGTTAGTTTGAAAATGATTTTTACATTTACAGATCTGATGTTTAAAGTTCTGTGAGGAAAAGGGAGTTCAGAGCAATTAACAATCCAGTGCCGGTTCCTGTCACAGGCGAGTCCTTGTGCCTTGGTTACAGAAAGCCCCGGGAACTCAAAGCAAAAGTGTCTGCATTACGGGCTTTCCCCAGGTTAAATTCACTGTCTCTCTTCCCCAGACCCGCCTGTTTATACACCAGGCTCGGCTCACACAGCCAGCTCTCCGGGCAGACAGGTCTTACTCTGCGGGTGGAGGTGCCCGTCAGTGTCACAATAATGCCTCTGGGGCTGGGTGCCATCCTGGACGGAAGCTGTGTTCTGGGCCTCAGGCTCACAGACGGAGAAAGGATTCCCTGAGTGACAGGCAGGAGCTGGGATCTGAATAATTCATGAACACGGAGCCTGGCAGAGCTGGGGCCAAAGGCTGGAAGTCATTGATTGGCTTGACTTTGGAAGCCTGACACGGAGTGATTTTCCTGCCCAAAGTGGAAGGCTGTGAGTCCTCCAGCGAGTGTCACACATTCCGGGCTCTGGAATGCAAGCATCAGCATGCAGGGCACACGGCTCAGCAGTGTCAGTGCGCTCCCCGTGACACGAAACCTTTTTTCTCACCATCTCCCCTCTCCCAGCTCTCCCAGCAGGAAACCTCCACCTTCACCCCAGCCCACACACACACACACACATACACACACAGACACACACACACACACAGACACACACACACACACATTACACACACACACACACACACACACGTCACACATGCAGCTTTGCCACCACCGGCACAGCTAGAGGAAAACGAGGACAGGGACTCTGTTTGCCGATTTCATTGGGTCTGTGGTCAGTTTCTGAGTGAAGTCCCAGACTCAGCACACAGCCGCCACTGTGCACGGGGGAGTGGGCTGGGGCCTGTGCGAAGTGGGGAGCACAGCCTGCAGCAGGGACAGGGGAGGGACACTTGTTATATAGCAATCCCAATCCCTGTCTCCCACCTCCATCCCCTTGAAATACTCACAGTTTCCACATGGCCAATGGCTGCCACGAATTTAATATCAGAAGGTCTCAGAGAGTGGACTGCAACGAGAGGAACCCAGGGAAGAGGGTCAGGTCTACATTCCCCACAATGCGGGCCAAGGATGCTGGATGGAAGGGGCAGACCCCTGTCCTCCTGTCTGAGGACAGCTGTGAAAGCTGAGCCACGGGAGCGGAGAGCTGAAGACCAGGTGGTGGCTGGGGACCTTAGGAACCTGCTCCCAAGAGGCTCACTCCTCTCTGGAGGCCACACTGCGAACTGAACTCCGATCTCCAAAAGGTGTCCCATGGTAGGTCACCATGGGCCTCATTTTCCCTCCTACCTATCGCACGGCTCTATTTCTGGACCACCCTTCATGAGAGGGCAAAGCATTAAAATGAGAACCACTTGTGCACATAAAGGATCACACTGGCTTGAAGATTGCCGGAGAACAGCACCCAAAGCCTATGAACAGACGTAAACATTGGATGCAGGCTGTACGTGAATGGCACACCAGCAAGCCTCCATGTCCATGTGGGCTGCCAGTATTTCTAGAATTCAGTCTCCCTAGAAACCCCTTTCATCCAATGGGCTCCCCAAGAAGCCATTTCCTAAGAAATGCATCGGTTTCTTTCCCGCCTACACTCCTTGTGTAACAGTTCCTGTTACATGGTCTGCGGTCTCTCCTGGAAGCTGCTCTCATCAGCCAAGCCACTATGGGGTCCTGTTGGTTTTAACTCTGACTAGTGTGTCAGTCTGAGTCCCACAGTAGAAATAAATGAGGGGGAAGGTGAAGGGGTGAGGGACTAGGGATGGGAAAGAGGAAAGATGCGAATCACCAAGGTACAAGAGAAGGCGGGCTGGAGCCTCTGTTGGCCACACCAGAGCCATGGCTCAGGGGTCACATACCTGACTCAGAAGGCACATCGGGTCCTGACTTCCTTAGGTCGCATGCAAATGGAAAACTCTTCAGGCTTTGCAACTGAAATCAAACATCAGAAACATCAACTGCCGTGGATGGAAACACTGCAGGTCCTAGAAGCCTGATGTATTATAGAAACGAGCATGTACTTGTCCTAGCTACATTCAAAGTCCAGAAGCAACAATTGTCCACAGTCATGGTTTTACTAATCCCATACCGTTCACCTAGGACAAGGGGACACTTGGGTGTTTTGTTTTTTTTTTTCACAACAATTTTAGCAGGTGGGACGTCAGGGTGCCTCTGAAAAGTGGGATGGAGAAAGAGGGAGCCTAAAAATCCATTCTTGGGATGATGACAAAGTTCTGGAGGTGGACAGCAATGATGGTTGTGCAACAATGTGAGTGTACCTAATGCCACTGAAGGATACTTTCAATATGATTATAATGGTAAATGTTATGTTATGTGCCTTTTACCACAATAAAAAAAAAAAAAGAAATACATTAAGAAGAGACCCATTGTGCCTAGATGAAAAGATTTTTGAAAATCCATCTATGATATATTTATCTTTATTATCTACCTTCTCTCATCTAATTTGATTATTTGCACCAAAGCAGGTGGATGGGGCACTATGTTAATATGCTGTTGGAAACTGGGTAAACTTGAAACTGGAGACTTGATTTTTCACCAGATTGGCGTGTCCTGAGCCCAGAGGCCTCCTGAGAGCAGAGGAGGGGCTGGGTGGCCAGTGCTCGGGTCCTCAAGGCCACTCAGGCGTCCTCAGCTCTCACAGGAGTCCAGAGCATCTGCTTCTGGGAATCACATGAGTGGCTGTGGGAAGGGAGATCCTATGTTTTCTCCCCAGAACGGAAAGGGGCAGAGGAAATACTGCAGGCCCTTAAATAAAGTCATTTCGCTCTACTTCTACCCTGTTTCCTCAAAAATAAGACAGTGTCTTATATTAATTTTTTCTCCCTAAGTTGCACTAGGTCTTATTTTCAGGGGATGTCTTATCTTTCCATGCACTAGGTCTTATTTTCGGAGGATGTCTTATTTTCAGGGAAACAGGGTAACAGAGATGAGATGCCCACGGAAACGTAACTCTTGTCTAAGGCAATTAGCCTCTGGTAAAACCGGTTCCATTACAGGTCCTTTCAGCGCAGTTTTAAGAACCCCTACGTTCATAGCAGCACAATTTACAATAGCTAGGATTCGGAAACAGCCTAGGTGCCCATCAGCAGATGATTGGATCAAAAACTAGGTACATCTACACAGTGGAATACTATGCTGCCATAAAAAAGAAGGAATTCTCATCATTTGCAGCAACCTGGACGGAAATGGAGAACATTATGCTGAGTGAAATAAGCCAGTCAATGAAAGAGAAACACCACATGATGTCACTCATTTATGGATAATAAAGAACATTATAAACTGAAGAACCAAAAGATAGATATAGAGACAGTAAAGCAACAAGCAGACTGTCAAATTACAGCGGGGAGGGTAGGGAGATCTGGGGGAGATAATAGATCAACCGAAGGACTTATATACATGCATATAAGTACAACCAATGGACACAAAACTCTGGGGAGGGAGGGCATGTATGGGAGGGAGGGGCACTGATATATGTACACAGATAATAATTTAATAATAATAAAAAAGAACTTATCAACAGTGTTAAGTGAGGACTCACTGTACTCCAACTCAGGGAAATGTGCAGTAAATGAGTTCTTTGGCCACCTCTCTCACTATCACAAGACACAAGTTAATTCCTCTTGAATTACTGATGGCAGTAAGAGATAAAGCATTTACTCTCAGTTCTTATCTTGTGGATATGCTGAGAAGACGTAACCCAGATGCCTTCAGATAACTCACAGCATCTGCTTCAGGGTTCATAGAGATAGCAGCCCATTTATAACTCGCCCGGGACACTTCTGGGAACCACCCACTCTGTCTGCAGGACTGATGAGCCCCAAATTCCAGAAGATACAGTCATGCTGCCCTTGTCCTGCCTGGCAGGCTGGCCATCCCTGGGGGCAGCAGCTGATCCGGCTCATTCCCTCAAGGAAGGGACCTGCCAACTTGCATAAAGCCTTGGATGTCAGTGTGGCTCACTGGTTGAGCATCAACCCCTGATCCCGGAAGTCATGGTTCTACTCCCGTCAGAGCACATACTGGGGTTGCAGGTTCGATTCCCAAGTGTAGGGTGAATAGGAGGCAACCGATCAATAATAATCTCTCATCACTGATGCTTCTCTCTCTCTCTCTCTCTCTCTCTCTCTCTCTCTCTCTCTCTCTCTCTCTCTCTCTCTCTCTCCCTCTCTGAAATAAATACAGATATATTTAAAAAAAAAAAAAAAAAAAAGCCCTACCTTGTTTGACTCAGTGGATAGAGCATCAGCCTGCAGACTGAAGGGTCCCAGGTTTTATTTCAGTCAAGGATACATGCCTAGATTCCGGGCTCAATCCGCAGAAGGGGGCATGCAGGAGGCTCATGCCCCTGCATCAGTGATTCTCTCTTATCTTTGATATTTCTATGTCTCTCTCCCTCTCCCTTCATCTCTGAAATCAATAAAAATATATTTTTTTTAAAAACTAACAAACTTGGATTTGCCCACTGGAAGAGATCCCTTCGTCCCTCAAAGAGGACAGCGCCCTTACCTCTGGTGACAGCTGCTCTTCCGATGCATTCTCTCCAGGGAAGGAATGGGCCTGGGTGGTCCCTAATTTAAAGCAAAAATAGCTCCGGTTATTTAGCTGGAATTAACTCCCACCCAGACGTGCACATTGCCTGCCCTTCCTCCCAGCCCTAGCTGTGTGCCCAGCTCAGTCACATCCCTGTGCTAGGAAAGTCTGGATTCCATTCCTCCCACTATCACCTCCATTGTTTGGAACACCCTACTTCCATGAATGCCGCCGATTAGAGCAGAATCCCCAGGCTGAAAAGCAGACGTGTTATCTGAGAGGGGTCAGCAATGACCCTACACTGTGCACAGGCACATCAGGGCACATTCCTTCACTGGCTCCTTAGCAAAAAGGCAGAACGCTCGAGGAAGGTCACGTTGGACAAATAGCTGCTGAGGTTTGGGAGCCAGGACAAAGCAGGGGGGTGCAGGCCTTTCCGGAACAGTCTCACCAGGGCCGTGAGCTTAAGAGAAGAGCTCCTCATGGGATTCCCAGCAGCCACGACTGTACGTAATGGCTGGGCAGGGGCTGTCTCAGGGGGTCTTGCTGAATGCAGTGAAGGGGAGAAAAGTCAGGTAGCAAGATGGCAGAGACACTACCCATCTCAGCTTCCTGTGGGACAGTCTTTTAAACACTTTTCTTTAAAAAAAAAAAATAGACCCCTCTAAGTGTACAAATTAATGTGTTTTCCCATAACGCATTGACCTTTTAAATATACAAATAATAGTACAGTGCAATGAACAGTCCTCTAAATATGGGAACAACAAAAATCACCCACAGTGCCACTACCCCTACAACCAAAAGCGATGTCACGTGTCGACACTCTCATGTCCACCATCAGGCTCTGACCAGGCACACTTTTCATTCAGTTGTAGTCAATGTGGATGCAATTTTGCATCCTGCAAGCTCCCTTTAGTAAGCATTTTTTTATGTTGTTACATAATCACGATGCATTTATGATAGTGATGTGACTCAGAGATCCTGGTCCCTTGCTTCCTCTGACTTCTCCCACTCAGTTCCCTGCTCTGGACACCATGTAAGGTCCGACCATGTGAGGTCCTACCATGTAAGGTCCTACCATGTAAGGTCATACCATATGAGACCCCATTGGGCAATGCCAGAGGGCTTTGGGAAACAGGGTTTAATTTCTTTCCACCCCAGCCTTCTTCTGCAGCTTTCCTTTTTGACCCTGAAAAGAAGTTATCTGGAGTTTGATGAGGAGCAAGAGTGTACTTCCATTTCCTGCCCAAGGGGAGGTCGGGCACTGATTTCTATTCCTGCTGGAGCTTCTAATAGGAATGATGGCTGCCACCTGCTTAACTTTATTTATAAAGAGTAAAATTTGAGTTTCATAAAATTTTTATGTGTCACAATTTTTCAAATTGTCCCCCGCTACGTAAGAAGTAAAAGCCTTTGTGAATCTCACCAAACTGCTTTTGAAGTCTAATCACCAATAGAGAGCTGAGGGAGAAGAACAGTCAGAGACACGGCGAAACTGCAAGACGTCATCTCTGGCCGCAGGAATCGAGACAGTGGGATCTTGGCAAAGGAGTAGACAACCAGACCCACGAAAGGACTGGAGAGCCCAGCAAACCCACATGAATACAGTGAACTGATCCTTGACAGAAGAACAAAAGCAACACAATGGAGCAAAGATGTCTGTTCAGCAAACAATGGGAACAACTAGACATCCCCGTGGAAAAAGAAATGAATCTAAAAAGGTCAAAACCATTCCTGGCTCACAGGTCCTACAAAAACAGGCGGAAGGCTGACTGGGGTGCACGGGCCATGGTTTGCCAACCGGTGCGTGATCTAGGCTGCAACAGAAAGTGGTCATCAAGGTGAATGGGAGGGTGGCATCTCATGGGCAGTAGCCCTTAGCCCAAGGACCCCAGGGAAACCTGGGATTGGCCTCTAGATTACCAGGCTGCTGCTGCCACCACACTTCTGCCCTGGGCTTTGCCAGGACCTTCACAGACAGAGGAACACAGGTGCCAGCAGCCAACTGTCCCCTGGTCTGAGACACGTTCCATCCAGCACCTCTCATCCGCCAGGCTCCTCAAGGAAAGCCATTGGTCCCCTGATGTGTGAGGTTGTTTCCTTATAAAAAGGGTTTTTATGATAGTGAACTTATTCAGAACTCTACCCAAATTTTAAATGAATAACACAAGCAGGAGATCTAGCCCACTGCCTATGCAAAGTATATATTGAAACAGGTTAATTTTGGTAAACGGTGCTATTGCTTTACCATCCAAACAATCCAGGGGAACAGATGTGATTATTAGTACTCTTTTATAACAGCAAAAGTGAAAAATTATTTTAGAGCATCAGGGCTGGGTTGAGAGATCCTGTCTGCTGACTCTAGTTCTAAAGGTTTTAAAGGGGCTCAAAGAAGCTATTTTTGAAGACGGTTGATGGATCCCTACATTTTTTCCCCTGCAACTATTCTGTACTATGCTGGGCCTTATTTCTTTCCTCTGTAGACATTCTATTATGCATTTCCACAGGGATGGAGAGAAGAAGAGTGGGAGGGGGTAAAGAGAGATAGAGGGAGAGACAGAGAAAGAGAATTGTTGAGAGTCATAAATGCAGCAAGAATTTGAGGGGTCAAGAGCCAAAGAGAAGTAAAGAGAGTAAGCCCAACAGTTGATGCTGTTTTTACCCTGAAGCATTTGCCAAATCACAGGCCACAGATATCAGCAGGTAGGAGGCTGATGTGCTGTGAAGCTTCAGCAGTTCCATGGAGGTGGGGAAACATTGGGGCTCCATGCCCGTCAGGAGGAGGGTTTGCGGTAAATGTCCCATGCTTTCAGCTGGGACTCAAAGAGCTAGACCCTAGGCAGAGAGATGCATTTGACACCGACCAGCCTCCAAAAGGACTAAAGCCAGGCTTTCTTGTTTGTTTTAGTTTTCAATTAAACTTTACATTCATTTATTGTTCTGTATTAGTCTCAGGTGTATAGTACAGTGGTTAGAAAATCATGCATTTTACAGAGTGGTCTCCCTAATATTTCAAGTACCCACCTGGCCCCATATAGTTATAACATTATTGACTATACCAGGTATTTCCTAGTCTGTCAGTAACATCTCTGTGGTTATTTTGTGACTACCAATTTGTACTTCTTAATTCCTTCCCTTTTTTACTCAGCCCCTAAACTCCCCACCCCTCTGGCAACCATCAGTCTGTTCTCTGTATCTATGGCTCTGTTTTTGTTTGTTTTGTTCTTTAGATTCCATCTGTAAGTGAAATGATATGGTACTTATTTGTCTTTGTCTGACTTGTTGCAGTTAGCATAACGCCCTGTGGGTCCATCCATGCCTTCGCAACAGGTAAGATTCCATTGGGTATATTTGTCACAGTCTGGCTCCAGATTAGATTAAGGCAATCTGCCTCTATCTAAACACCTGCCAAAAGCAAAAGTGAAGCCTTGATGGAAAAAGATAGCAACACCCAGAACATGAAATTATCTTTCTGCTTTTTCCTATCCAATGCCTATCGTGTAATAATAAAAACAATTCCCAGGAGACAACACACACACACACACACACACACACACACACACACACACACAATAAACAGAAACTAAGAGAGATAAACAAAATAAACAACAGAAAGTGAAAAGTGGTGGAATAGGGGTAATGTCTGCAGCTCTGTTAGCCTGAGTTTTGTTCCCTGTTTGGGATTAGAGGTGAACTGATCAGATATTTAACGGGGAAACCCCAGCAATGAGAACTGAAATATGCTCTCACATATTCTGGGCTGACTGGAAATCTATGTATGTGGTAAAGAAACCTGCAAGAGCCCTATGTACAAGTAAAGGAATGAGAAATGGGAATTGGATGCAATTTTGTGTTTATTTTCCCATCTACTCACAGACCAATAAACAGAACCTTACAAATGCCAGGAGTCTGAGCATGACCTCTGTCCAACCATTGGGTGATCAAGAAGCCATGTAGACCCAGGCCTGAGCCTCTAGGATTCCAGATTAAAAAATAAATAAATAAATAAATAAACACAAGAAATAATAAACTGCCGAAACCGGTTTGACTCAGTGAATAGAGCGTCAGCCTGGGGACTGAAAGGTCCCAGGTTCAATTCTGGTCAAGGGCATGTGCCTTGGTTGCAGGCACATTCCCAGTAGGGGGTGTGCAAGAGGCAGCTGATCGATGTTTCTCTCTCATTGATGTTTCTAACTCTCTATCCCTCTCTCTTCCTCTCTGTAAAATATCAATAATATATATATATATATATATATATATATATATATATATATATATATATGTGTGTGTGTGTGTGTGTGTGTGTGTGTGTGTGTTCTTTTTAAAGAAATAATAAACTGAGCAAAGAAGACATCAGTGGCAGGATAGATGAGAGAGACTGATTCCACAATTTAAGTCCAGACAAGTTCCTAAGAATTAAACCAACGACTCCCAGAAAAATAAAGCTGAATCCAGAATTGCTAAATTTTATTGAATACATCCAGTTATCAACCTAAAGTTGCTAGAAATGCCTCAAACCTGAAAAGTTAGGCTTGTGCTCAGGAAAAAGAGCAATGAATAGAAACTGGCTCTGAGTGGGCTCAGTGTTAGATTTTACAGGCAGCTATGAGTTAAAAAGAATTTTAAAAATTATGTTCAAAGAACTATAGAACTAAAGACTCTTTTACATATATTTACATAGCTATAATATATACTTATAATCAATTCCAGAGCTGAGAAGTATAATAACTCAAGGATTTACTAGATGGGCTCAGCAACAGACTTAAGATGGCAGAAAAAAGAATCTGTAAATGTAAACAGATCAATAGAAAGCACATTTCTGAAAAAGATAGAGGGGGAAAATAAATAGAGTCTCAGAGATCTGTGCATACTGTTAAGCATTCAAACATGCAGGTAATAATTCCTAGAAGAATCAAAGAGAGAAAGAGGCAGAAAAAGATTTGAATAGATAATTACTGAAAACTTCTCATATTTGATGAAAAATATTGAGCCATACATAGAAGAGCTATATAAAAACAAAACTGTAAGTAGGAAAATC